CCAGATCGCGTCGTCTTCTTCACGAGTCCCATCTTCATCGCCGTCCAATCCCAAATTTCTTCACGAGCGAATGGGATTCAGGGCTACAAAATAAAACGAGGTTCAATCTCCAAGGAAAGTGCGAAGGGGAAATTTTTGAACTTGACGCTATGAGTGGGTAAGTTAACCCCATCTCCACTGCCTCCTTCATCAAGGCCGCCATTAACTGCGGACCTGCATGCTTAACAGTGTTTTTGCCAATTGTGCTGCTGTTGATAAAGTTGAGGTCGACGATAACGACAGCGATGTGGATGTAGAAGCGCGGACGCGGAGCTTGGATAGCGAAGTGATAATGAACGATTCAGTGAACACATGGGAGATCCCGTTGGTCGTGCTGTTTCGAGTCTCTGAAATATACCCGACGATACACTATACATATGTTTCAGAATTGAGTAAAGAAGGCCAACGAGAAAACTCACCAGCTTCCCATACTAGCGACGAACCTCAGAAACAATTCAAAATATGAGGATGGCGTTCCCTAACCCGTCAAAGCCGCAATCTGAGAACTAGAAATGATGATCAGCACGGGTAACATTACAAGTAAGAGAGGCTTAGGAGCACACGATTAAGACGCAAAAGGTAACATCGTTGATCTCGATGGTCGATGGTGTGTTCGGAACTTCGGCCATCGTAGCATGACATATAGAAAAGAGGAGGAATGGGTGCTTGGTTCAAGAAGACGCAATTAAAGGGGAATGATATATCTGTATTGCTTGGATGGGAGCCGGGGCAGGTGCATAAATGATAGAACGTTGATGTGGGAGGGGTATTCGGATAGCAAGGAGTATGTGATGGTGGCGAGAATAGCGACGACGAAGGAGGGAAAGGAAAAAATAGAAAGAAAAAGAAAAACACGCAACGAAACTCGATATGAAGCTCATTCCTCCTCCTCCTCCATCCTATGCGTGGGTGAAATCGCCGCACTCAGCAGGAATTTTTATTGTTTGCCGGCATCGTCCTCCTCGCGAGTCGCTCCTAACATTGTGTTTCTCCCAGCTGGCATGCTTCTCCCTCCTACGACAAGGGTGCTTTCTCCATTCACCACCCGCGGGCGTGCTCCCCCTTCCACACACAAGCGTTCTCCACCTGCACCAGCGCCGTTCTTCCCTTCAGCGGCAGTTACTCCACTATCCTTCACACCCGCCCGACTCTTACTCCCTACCCCTCCTCCCCTCCCAACGATTGCAAGCGGCAACTACTCTGAATCGCCATCCTCATTATGCTCCTGTTTACGCTCATATTCAGCGTCCTCATCCTCCCCTTCGTCCTCCTCCAACGCAGCTATAGAAGGCGGAGAGCGACGGTTCGGACCAGGTGTGACCGTGGGGGTTTGCAAATGCGACGTGTGGGATGGATGAGAGTGTGAGTGCGATGAATGAGGTGGAGCCTGCGTCTGCGCGTGCGATTGGGACTGCGACTGCGATTGCGGGGGCTGCGAGAAACTTCACCCTCCGCCATGATGTGTAAGAACTGTATTCGTCCTATGGAACGATCGATCCGATTCTTGAGAAAGCGGAAGCTGCGACATCTACCCCCCTCGTGAAGGCTGCTGTTGCTATTGTTGCTGACGTTGGTGCGTGACCGCCATTGGCTATTGCGTCTCAAGGGTTCCTTGCTTCTCGACGTGTTTCATTGATTGCCTATGTGGGGTTTCGTTAGCACAAGCCGCTTTTTGAAGGAAAATGGGAAGAATGTAACACAGAAAGAAAGAAAAAGGGAGACCTATGGATCACAAACACCCCTCGACAAGAGTTTTACCCCATAGAAGGGAAGGGAGCGGAAAAGGGAGAAGGGTGGAGGACAAAGGAAGAAAGAGGAATCTAGAGAAGAGGTTCCAAAGGCCACGTCTGAAGATCGAACAGCGAGAAAACGGCAGAAAAGGGACCCACCTCCTGCTCCTCCGGCACCCCCAGGCAAAGCACGCACACTCCCCTCTTCCAATACTACCCCCACTAACCGGATATTTTGGGCTTCTTCATCGGCGCGCCCGTAACGAACGGCGCAAACACATGCAGCTGATACTGCTGAAACCTGGCACCTGCTGAGCCAGTGGACTCGAGTCTCGGTTGTTGTCCTCCCCCAGACTGTTGCTGCAATCGACAACATCTCCTTTGTATACCCATGCTCCGCTCCTTCTTGTGCTTGTTGATGATTGACGTGTACGCGCCTAATACGACTAGTACCATCCTCGCCGTGTCTTCGTGAGTGGTGGCGTAAATGCGGGAAACCATTTTGACTACTCGTCAAGGTTGGTAAAGGTGGTGCTTGATTCGTAGCTGTAGTAGCACGGATGGGCATCTCATGCAAAGTCCGCTAGAGCGGCTTGAAGACGTCGAATACGGTCTACGCGAATGTACATGGTGCGGATGATGCTGATGGGAATGTGAATGTGGAGGGTGCCGGTGATGATGATTTTAGGAGCAGAAGCCGGTGGTATTGTTGGGCGCGGGGATCCATGGTGCGAGTGCCGACGTGAGTGTCCGGTGGTAGTGTACATAAAGGTGGTAGGCGCCCAAACGCAAGGGTTAGAACAAAGCACGTGACGATTACATCACGCCACTTAGTGTTGCGACCTGCGTCTCACTTTCTATCTCAGTAGAATTTGCTCGAACTTTCTCTCCGCACCCTCTTTACTTGCTCGCTCGTCCAAAGATCGTCCTAAGTACCGATTTATCTGAACACCAACCTTCAACAGACTGTCCAGGGACGAATGTCGTATTCAGGAAGCGGAAGCGCACTGACAGCGGAGGTACTCCTGGCTGGCACCCCCAAACCGCTCATTACAGGCCGAGAAAGAGCATGATAACGTTCAACGCACACAACCTGTGCACGGTCCTTTAGACTGCGCACCCCCGGATCTAATCTCCAAGCGGGACAATATCCATGATTCAACTTCGGTCCTATCCTACGCGCTCGCGTCGGTTTGTAAATAGTCACGGTCCGCTTCACGCTCGTCCAGTTCTGGAAGTGCCTCGTCCCTCGCTATATTCGTGGACACCATCAACCACCATCGCAGATTGACGCGCCCAGCACTTCGCGACTTTCGGCACCCGCATTACCAACCGACAAGATATCAACGATTTGTCAAGATGTTACGGATGGACCGCGCGTAGGCGAGTTATCAGACCTTTTTCACCAGCGCTGTGAGGGGTTGACGTTCTACGCTATGCACAACCTATCCATGCATCAATTTCACATGCTCTTGTCCGCTTTTGACTGAGCTATCTCCTCCCTTCCCCATCCTGACTGCCTTACCTTGACGCGCCCCGCTTTCGCTGGAGCACAGACAAACAAAAACCGGGATCATTTCGCTTTTCCCGACTTCAGCCTTTAAACATTCTCTCCGTTATGAACAAATTTTGACAGCATCCGCATTGAGGGCCACAGGAAAAAATGTTCCAAGAGTTTGGTTTGCTCTAGGCCGCACTTCAAGCTTGGGACGAATTGAAACCGTGCATGCGATCTACCAGCGACACTACTTTCCCGATCTGCAACACGTCCACAGCATTGAGGATTCACTGTCTGTCGTTCCCACATATACTCCAACCACTGCGTCCGGTTCACATCCTCCCGAGGGCTCAGCGACTCTTCGACGGCTGCAGTATGTCCGTCAGGACCTGCTTGTTGAACGGTCGTACTGTTGCAGGTGAAGCGCGCGGATACGGGACGCATGAATATCCTAACTATGCAGCTCTCATGAACGCCTTTCTTGTCGACATCACTCCATCATCACTGAAGATTGATGAAGCTGAGAAATTCCAAGGCTTGTACCGCTACATTGCGGTGCGCGAAACGTAGGCGCAGCCACAGGGAAACGTTCTTCGAAAGCCAGAAAACGGAGGGATCACTACCCAGTATTCGTTCTCGTCGCTCTTTATCAACAGCTAGACCCCGCTCAGCTTCAACTTTCTCGTCAATCGCTCCACCGTGTTTTCCGATGGTCCATGACGCTCTGAAGAGACTGTCAAGTGGGTATTCTCAAGGGTATTCTGCGAATCTTGGCAAAACTCGCAGACTCCAGAAATGTCTGGACGTGGATCTTGAGTTTGCTCTTCGGAATTCTGCAACCTGTCCACGACATTTTCCCAGTTGCAATCAGCTCAGACGGTCCGCATGGACATTACCAAGCTCGTCATGTCAGCGTCTCGACAATCACGTACCTGCCCTCCTTTTCGACACAAAAGAATGCAACTGCAGAGCGCCTTCGATCGCGTAATTGGAAAGTTCTGGTCGTCGGCCCCTGGTGGGCGTACTCAGCATGAGGCATGATGCATGATGCCTGAAAGGGGGCGGGTTCGGTGCACAGCGATGAAGAGATGGTGAGCATTGTGGGCATCGATCACCATCCCTCGTTCATTTACAACCTCGTGGATTCGGTACGTTCGTCCCATTTTTCTATGTCCCCTTTTCTCTTATAATCTCTACCCCTAGATCTGCCAACACCTTCCACTCAACGCGGTCCAACCCCTGCTTCTCCCGAACGTGCTCCCAGTCCCATCCAAAATTTACGTGTGTACGTCTCTTCAATTTATGGACAACCCCTTTTCCGAGCTCTCACGGAAATGTACCACGCGCCCGCATAATTTCCTGTTCTACTTCTCCCGTGTTGAACGAACGTTGACGGTATTGACAGGAATGGAAAGTTCTGGACGGGAGGAGCGTGCGGAATGAGCCATTTATTTGTGTATGGCCTGATCAGATCTGTTGAGTTTCGGAAATACGAGGTGCATTTCCGAACATTCAAGTCAAAGACGGGTGGCTTACGCTCATTATACCCAAGATTGTTTTCCTCCCTCGTGGAGCCTTCCTCCTTTCTTCCATCAATCGTTGGTCATGCGACTTTTCCCCTGCTTACCCTTAATACACACCTCCTCCGCTCCTTCCCCGCCATTCCAGCTCTGTTGTTATTGCCCTTTTCATCTCACCCCCACGCTCCCCCCGCTCGCCGTCTGTCCTCACACACCAATTTGTCCCGGCCTTCCCCTTCACAATTCATCAGCCGGTACCATGCTTCTTTCTTTGATTCTCATGCGCGCTGCCTGATGATAGGTCGACCAACGCTAATGACCCAGTGTGCAAACTTCCGTGTGGGCTTTAAGACCAAGATGGCTTCTCGAAGTTACTACCATCTTTACACTCAATTTCCCTACAATTCCCTCTTCTCGTCGGCGGCTAATCTTGAGAACATTTCCTGGAGAACGGTTTCACGCCGTGGAACATTCTGCCAACATTCTGCGTTCTTGCTGCAAATTGTAAAAGTGGGCCTATTTCTTGCAGTATCACGGCGGAGTGAAACCGATTTCAAAGCACAGTATGTGAACGGTGGGTATGGCGCGCTTGTACATTATCTGACGTTATTGTTCATACCCGCATTCTCCCTTGCTTCCCTTCTTTGTCTTCCCGGTTCTATCCCCTCTTCCAAAAATGAAGCTTGACCAATTTGAATATCAACAACCCGGTTTTGTAGCGAAGGTCTTTGACTCTGGAGGAGGTGAATCCTTTACTCAGCTTAGCCTGCTTCTCATAGTTCCCCTATTAACCCAGGGTTCCCAGAAGCACTTTTTACTAAAGGCAGACGGAAGATGCGTCTTGAGATTATAAGCGTTCCAGCAAGGAAAGGCTTGATACACACACCTTTGCAGACGTTCTTCGGCGACTCTTCCATTTCCCTAGTCCTATGACCGCCCCCTCCTTTGGAAAAGAATTCAATCGTGATCCCAAGAATCCTATCCTTGGCGTATAAAATGCGTCGCTACTTTTCCCCACCTCCTTCAGCCTCAAGCTAGTTGAGCAACGCTAAATATGCACTCATTCAAGTTTACTCGCCCATTCGCACTCGTCCTCGCAATCGTCTGTCTCGCAATCGCGACACCCACCCCGGACGTTCACGCAGACCCAGGTCACGGTTCTGGCGCTGTCGTTCACGCAGTGGGCAATGCCCCCGATAGTGCTGTTATCAAGGACACAATCACGACCCATTTGCCCGCAGCCACCTCGCCCACCGACAAAACACTGGGTGGTTCGACGCTGGAGCCCGACTCTTCGGAATGTTTTGGTCTAGGCTCACCTTGCTCATTCAATAGTAATTGTTGTTCGGGATATTGTTTGATCATTCCCCCTACCATTGTTCTGGTAAGTGACCCGCTATTAGTTGCTGAAAATGGTAAATCTTGATGATTGACTGTATCACTTTCACTTTATCAAGGGTTTTTGCTACCCTAAGTAGTGGACTTTTGGGGACTGAGGCAGGTGATCGTGAATAGGTTGGGATGTGTATCCGGACAATAGTATTCCATTTAAGTTGTAGTTCTTGCACAACTGAAAAAATTTGTTTCTGTCGACTCAAGCAGGTGTCACAGCTGAGGCTCGTTCATGCAGACGGACATAAATTGTAAATTAGAACGAAGTGTCAACAAGAATTTGACACGCATCTAGTTTCATATTTAAAATCTCGAGTCCACCCGAACAACCCCCCACCCTCATCATGCACACTCTCGTTCAATTCGCTCTCAAGATGGAACGAGAGAGCTCACACTCTTCCCATAGCGACGAGACTTACAGCTGGTTCAAGATATGAGGGTGGAGTTTCCTAACCAGTCAAAGTTACAATCCAAGGACTGGCGAAAATGATTAGCACGGATAAGATTGCAAGGAAGAAAGGGTTAGGAACACACAAAGACCATCGTAACATGACGTATAGAGAAAGAGGAATGCTTGGTTCAAGTAAAGGGGGATTATAGCTGGGAGCGGTGCCCGTATTGCTTCGATGAAATGTAGGTAAAAGCCGCGGCAGGTGCATGAATGATAGCACGCTTGTGCAGGAGGGTTATCCCGGATAGCAAGGAGCGTGTGATGGTGGCAAATAGTGACGACGACGAGGGAGAGGAAAAAATAGAAAGAAGCAACCAAACTCGATATGAAGCACCATCCTCCCATCCTATGCGTGTCAAAATCGCCGCACCCAGCAGAGATTTTTCTTCTTTGCCGGCATCGTTCTCTTCGCTCCTGACGGTGTGTTTCTCCCAGCTGGCTCCTACGACAAGGGCGCTTCTCCCTCCACCACCCGCAGTCGTGCCTCCCCTTCCACCCACAAGCATGCTCCACCTCCACCAGCGTCGCTCTTCCCTCCAGCGGCAGTTAGGCCGCAATTCTTCACGCCCGCCCGGCTCCTACTCCCTACCCTTCCTCCCCTCCCCAGACTTGAAAGCGGGAACTGCTCCGAAATGCTCCTGTCTATGCTCATGTTCAGCGTCCTCGTCCTCCCCTCCGTCCTCCTCCAACGAGCTATAGAAGGCGGAGGGCTACGGTTCGGACTAGGTGTGACCGTGGGGGTTTACAAATGCGACGTGTGGGATGTATGGGTGGGTGAGTGCGGTGAATGAGGTAAAGCCTGCGTTTGCGCGTGCGAATGGGATTGGGATTGCGACTGCGATTGCGGGGGCTAAACTTCCCCCTCCGCCATGATGTGTAAGAACTATATTCGTCGTATGTATCGATCGATCCGACCCTTCAGAAAGCGGGAGCTGCGACCTTCCCCCTCGTGAAGGCTGCTGTTGCTGACGCTGATGCATGACCGCCAGTTGCTGTTGCGTCTCAAGGGTTCCTTGCTTCTCGACGTGTTTCATTATTGATTTCCTGAATGTGGGATTTCGTTAGCCCGAGCCGGGTTTTGCAGGAGGGAAGAATGTAACACAGAAGGAAAGAAAAAGGGAGACCTACCGATCGCAAACAGTCCCAGAACCCCTCGACAAGAACTTGACCCCTCAAGAGGGATGGGAGCAGAAATGGGAGAAGAGTCGAGGACAGAGAAGAAAGGAAGAGGCTTGTTCCAAAGGCCAGAAAGAACACGCCAGACGAGACCCTAGCGAGGAACGTTTGAGAATCAAAGACCTAGAAAATGGAAGAAAAGGGACTCACCTAGCACACCCAGGCAAAGCACGCACATTCCCCCTTCCTCCAATACTACCCCCACTAATCGGATACTTTGGCTTCTTCATCGGTGCGTCCGTAACGAACGGCGCAAACATCTGCATCTGATACTGCTGATCCTGGCCCTGCTGAGCCAGTCGGTTGTCGTCTGTTGTCCTCCAGCCGGCTGTTGCTGCAATCGACGACATCTCCTTTGGAGACGCATACCCGCTCCTCCTTATCCTGATAGATGTGCACGCGCCTACTACCCCCCGCCGTGTCTTCGTGAGTAATGGCCTAGATGCGGGTAAGCATTTTGACTTGTCGTCGTGGTCATAGGTGGTGGTTGATTCGTAGTGAACCCGTTTATTTTGTCAGCGCGAGGGAGCTTCTCAACGCGCTGCTACTTAGACAGATACGGTCTCCGCGAATGTACATGATGCGCCGAAGGAGCAGAGCTGCAGAAGCAAGATGGATATGCCAAGATTGCGAGTGCCGAATACAATTTCATTGATGCATCGAGTGCCTTGCGAAGGAGCAACGCACGCTTCAACAAGACACGTGATGATGACATCACGTCGCTTGGCGCTGTTCTCTTTTTTCTTTTGCTCGAACTTTCCTCTTGACTTGCTGTTCCTCCAAAAATTGTCCAAAGTACCAATTTTTCGCCTGTCCAGAGGAAGCTGAAGCGCGTCAACTTGAATCATCACCAACAGGGGAGATTTGGGTGAGGTATTCCTGGCCATTCTCAAACCGTTGATGACAATCCGATCATGATAACGTTCGACGCACTTAGCTTCCGCCTCACGCTCGTCGTTCCGCAGCTCTGGAACTGCCACGCTATAATCGTGGACACCACCAACCACCATCGCCGATTGACGCACCCAGCACTCCTCTTCTCTTCTTCGGACCTCGTATCACCAACCGACAAGACATCAACGATGTGTCAGGATGTTATGGACGGCCCGCGTATAAGCGAGTTATCACCCCTCTTTCACCTGCGCCGCGAGGGGTTGACGTTCTACCTATGCACAGTTTATCCCTCCCTCCAGTACGCATCAATTTCAGATAGTCTTGTCCACTTTTGACAGAGCTATCTACGTTTACCTCCTTTTCCCACCTTGACTGCCTCACTTTGACGCGCCCCGCGTTCGCCTACGTGTACGAAACCTCAAGCTGGCTGTGGAGCACAGACAAACAAAATTCAGGATTATTTCGCCTTTCCCGACTTCAGCCTTTCGACATTTTCTCCGTTCTGAACAAATTTCGACAACCCGGTATTGAGGGCCACAGGAAAGGAATACTCTAGGCCGCACTTCGAGCTTCGGACGAATCGAAACCAGGCGATCTACAAAGCTACGACAATACTATCCATACTTTCATAATCTACTGATTTTCTGCCGAGCTAAACAACTCTTCGACGGCCCTAGCATTTCCGTCAGGTACTTACCTGTTGGACGGTCGTACCGTTGCAGGTGAAGCGCACGGATTAGGTACCTATGACAACTCTCATGAAATCACGCCTTTCTTGTGGACGTCCCTCCATCAGGAGATGATGGAGCGCAGGAATTCGTACCAACTATTCGTTCTCGACGATTTATCAACAGTCTTACCCTACTCAACTTCTATTTTTTCGTCGATCATCACAGTGTGTTTCGATGGTTCATGACGCTCTGGAGAGACTGTCGGGCCGGTAAAACACGTTACGGGATTCGGGCTCAGTAACTGCTTGCGTACTCGCACGTTCCCTCGCCAACATACTCCGGCACCGACTCCCTCTTCTTTTTCTACTACTGCAATTGCCTTCCGGTTCTCTTATCGTCATGTCTCTCCTAGAGCGTGTGCGCGCCATTCGTGACGCCTACTACAACGAATGCAGGGATCGACGTAATCTTTTTGACGAACGTGGCCGACGACTCGACCACCCGTCTGATAAAGGTGCTGGGGCGAGTTACCCGCGACCGAGGGTAAGACGCGGGGTGTGGCGTCGTGGCGTCGCAGGCATGAGTGGGAACGACGATGAAGACGCAGACGAGAGTGGCGACAGTGAGCAGGAGGATAGTAGTGGAGAGGAATCAGATACTGAGAGCGAGGAATCCGGAGACTCAGAAGATGACGAGGATGAAGATGATACGGAAGGTGTGTTCTCTTCCACCCCATTTGTGCACAGGGCCAGTAACCGACTCTGAAGGGAGTGCAGAGGGTAATCGCCAAAGAGGGAGTACGATTCCTAATCAACCTGGTAATAAGCTCCCGGCATATCTTCCAAGACTTTCACACTCATTCGGCGTTTGCACCAGGATCCTCCTCCCGCCCTCATCACCCTCCTCATATTCACCTCCCACGAAATCCCTCCCCCCATCTGAGAATGGCTGGGCATCAACAGAGGTCTTACGAGCGGTGGATCCCACCGCAAGAAACCATGCGTCAAACAAATAGGGCGCAGGTCACTGCCAAAACTTCCAAGGCAGTTGACCATCGGTATGATATCTGGCTGCCAGCCAACATGGCATCTCGCCAGCCTGAGAAAGGGAAACCACCCACGATTTGATCCAAGGCGCCTTTCCTTTTTTCATGCATTAACCCACCAACTCTCTGTGCTTGACCGCAATCCACCCAAACTAGCGGTGACGCTTAGTCTATGTACTACTACCATGAACCGTCTGCTTTGCAAACCAGGCCGCTGTTTCGAATGTCGACGTCGCCTTTGTGATGGATCTACATCTCGGCAGACGGACGCTTTCCCGAGTCCTCTCTTCTTTTGCAACCCTCCTTCCACTCTAGTAATATCTACTCGCTGCTGCTCCTCCCCTATCACTTACGTTCTGGAAAAGCTTAAGCTTGTAGCTCAGTCAGCTTGAAACGTCTGACATGTAGTGAACAACAAGTAGGTATCATTAAGCAATGAAATATACAGTATATAGGCGAGAAACAAATGTCCGTCAGTTAATCAAGGTTCGAGGATCGAATTATCCGATCTGGAGGGAATGTCTCCAGGTAGTTGGAAGTCCAAACACATCTCAAGCTCCACCCGCTCCTTAAAGAACAGCATCAACAGCATCCACCGTATCACGCCTTACATCACCGTCCACATCCCACTAACCGCGACCACAACACCCATCGCCACCATCCCTACAAATTCACCCCCAACCAACGTGCTCGCACCGTTCTTCTTCGTCCCACCCCCACTCGACGTGGTCCCAGTCGAGCTACTTCCAGATGAACTAGCAGGCGCAGTCGGTGCAAACGTCGCGCTAAGGCTGGCTATACACGAAGACGCGACGCCAGTGGCGGAGACGGAGGTGGACGCATGAGAGTTGACGGTTCCGTTGCCTGCGAAACTGCACGCCTGTGCTTTACGATTTTGGGACTCGCAGTATTTGGACATGACGTAGAAGAGTTTGACGGCTGTGAAAGAGGGGTGGATTGAGGGAAAGACGATGAAATAAGGCGATGAGACTCACTCGGATCACACACCGAGACAAGACCGTACGTGCCCTAACCCACCGGAGGGAGGGACACAGCCATACTCAGAAAAGTAGGCTGCGAAGTTGTACCCAGCGAAGTTGTTGGTGTAGGACTCTGCGAAGGTGGAATTGCCGCACCACTCGCTGTGACGTGTCAATGGAGAGCGGAGGATGGGGAAGAGCAGAAGACTTACTAGTTGTTGAGTCCGAAGAGGTCAATCGCCATTGACCCAAATTTGGTGTTTAAGACCGCAGCTGAAATGGTTGGCCAGTGGGTCTCGGGAAAGAAAGGAATTACAGGTATGCCTTGATGCCTCGAGCAGCTGCTTTTACGAAAGGAGCGACGTTGGTGTTGGATGAGCTGTTGATGACCTCGTTTCCGACGTGGCATGCCAGGATGTTGTCGTACTTGCTGAAGGCGTCGATGGCAGCGAGGTATTGATCCAAAAGATTAGTAGACCACGCAGGCGAACTGCGGTCGATTGAGCCGTTCAAAGAAAGGTGTGAGGCTGATGCTGGCGTGCTTTGTCAGGTTAGGGGAGGGTGTGACGGACGGCACGAACGTACATGGTATAGACGTCTGCACCACTGAAGGCTTTCATGCACAAATCGTAGTTCTTGATCGAATCGACGCTGTACACACGAACGGTGTACACGCCCAGTTGTTGTAGGCATGGAAGATCATGAGCGCATCCGTGCATCCGCGAGAGGGTCATTTTAAGTCGAAGGCTAGTTGAACGGGTTATTAGCAGAGGTATCAGTGACAAGGCCTATAAGAAGTGAGCATCGAGCGAGAGGGTGATGAAGAGGAAGTTACCTTGTTGTTGGTACGGCACACCCTTGAAATAAAACCTCGCTACCGACATGTGCGAGAGACTTGTGAAATGGCATGCACGTTGTACACCAAGAGGGCCGTGAGGACAAGGGAAACGGGGGCAGGAACCCCGAACGACTTCATGCTGAGGGAAAGAGTGTGAGTTTGGTGCAAGCTAGCTCTGGAGTGGAAACAAAACGTGTCACCACTACGAGAACCGCACTCACACTTCTTTGTCTTGGATCTTGGACGATTCGACCTCGAAGGTGATCATCTTTAAGGTCGAGTCGGTCGGGGCTCATGAGCGCCCTCGCTTGGAATTTGATGCCAATTTCATATTGCACTCTGTTGTAAAGTTAGGATTTCATAAGACAAACGAGGGAGGCGAACATAACATAATTTACCCAGGTCGAGAGAATGTCGCAGATTGTCCATCCTGTCCTCGTCATTCATCACCACAAGGTTGTTCCCCTTATCGCCAAACTCGTACTTGTGCGCGTCTCGTCGGGCCATCTGCCACGTAACGCCGGCGTCTGTGCTGATAAATGTGTCGCCTTCCTCGTACGGTAAGAAACGCTCGCGTATCGACCCAACGCCCATGGCAAAACCAGGTGCTGGTGACCAAAAGATGCGGCCATGGTTGTGTGGGGTCGTGACGGAGTGAAGGTGGACTGAGGAAAGATCGGTATCAGCGGGGTTGCATGTGATGGGTTTGCCCTCGTCGTCTTCAGATGGGAGCAAAGCGAGGTCCATTGCTGCCTGTAAATGGTTAGACGAGGAACGGACGACAGAAATAGAGCGATGTACCATCTTCAACAGTGATCATCGCCTCACTCGCCCCATCGACATCTTTCGCCTTTGTAACAACATTGGCAAGGCCCACCCCATCGACTAGGCAATAAAGCCCTTTGCGTTCTTCTCAATGTTGAGGTCCTCGACTTTGCTGTCTTGGTTGAGGAAATCGGTGCTGGAGAAAAGGCGGCTGGAGGAGAGGACGTGGGAGCTGTCGACGCTTAATACTGTACTAATACGACCAAGTCCTCGGGCCCTATGGGGCGTGACACATTTTCACCATCTCTTCGCCGCTTCAACAGCCGATGTGATGCGTGACGAAGAGTGTGATGGCTTCGGCGCTTCTGCAGTTGACCTGAACAGGGACCCATCATTGGTTTCAAGCTTAAAATCAACTCTAAAAGCAACTCTAATTACTGATGCGTTGCCCACTGTGTAAACCGATGTTGAATGAAAAAAAGTTTATTCTCTCTCTTGTTCATCATGTTCCCGGAAAAAATCCCACCACGTATGCGCGCCGAGTTCCTCCCATCTCCAATGCTCTCCGTGACACAATTCTTGAAATTTCCCCTACCGAGACAGCTTCCTGAGACCCATAACACCCATTCTGGCATCAACGCCCTGGAACCACAGCTCTCGTTTGGTTGCCAGGAGAATTCGAACGTTAACCTTTCCCTGGAATTGCTAGTAAGCCTTGCAATCGTGAGTATGCCTCATAGGAAGACATGAAGACTTCAATACAATGTCCATGCGCAATTACCCCCGACAACTAGCAATCGTCTCCGCCCTAATCGTCTGCGCAAACCTCACCAACTCATTCACCTGCACCCACCGCTCGTCCTCATGTCCTTCATATGAACGCACGCACTTCAAGCCGGGGAACAAACCATACAAATACCGTCCAATAAGAAAGGCGTCCCGCGTATCCCAATCGTCTACTACCGATGCGATCGTGAGCGTCTTTAGTTCATGTTTAAGTTCTGGATATAATGGTTTCCTCGATGACAAAAAGGGTTGTACAGCCTGTATGTCGCTCGAATCCAGGGGTATCCGCAGTTCCGTAAGCTTGGGACAACGTTCCGCGAGGACTCGAAGAGACTTCATCCTCGGCCGCACATGAGTGGGAGGGAGGAACGGGAGGAGGAGGTCGTTCAAGTTTGCCAGGTCTTCGCCCACTCTTCCATCAGGTCATCGCTGATATCCATAAGGTATCCACGTAGACTGAGCATGCGGAGATTGTGTAAAGGGAATAAAGGCTTTAATGTGTCGAGAGGTAACTTCTCTTCCGCCTCCGTGTCCTCCGGTGTTAATCTGAGCCCGAAACATCGTAAGGAGCTAGGCCAGCGCGAAACGACGTCCTCAAACAAAAGTTTCATGTCGAACCCTGGTTCAGGGGGTGAGAGGCAGACAAAGGTGTCTAGTTGGTCCGTTGATATGTTGACAACGAACGACAGGATGAATGGGAGCGATGCGGAGATGGATAGACTCCTTAGGTGTTTGAAGCCTACGGTTTTCGCCAAGGGGAGTATTGGTGAGTCTATGAAATCCAAGTCGAGGTCTGTAAGCGCCGACAGTGCCCCAACGCGTTCCAACCACGGCAAACTCAGAGAGTCGCCCATTCCTCCAAGTTCCAACACCCTCAGCTTCTCAAAACGAGGTATTAGCGCCATCGATTCCTTCCCCAGGCCCTCTCCCCTCAGTATAATCTTCACCAACTCCGCACCATCATTCAAAAGCGTATACAAAAAAGTCCCACACAATTTATCTTCCACACTTGTAATCTCCCTAATCTCGACTGCTACCAAAGACGGGGAGAGAGAGAGACATATGCCAGAGATGAGAAAATCATTTGAGCTGATGGATGGACAGCGGATGTATTGGAGGGAGGGGAGGAGGATGGGTGAGGGGAGGAGTTGGGCGATGCGGAAGTAGACGTGCAGTGCGATGTCGAGGTGGTCTGGGTCACGGATGTAGCTGAAGTTTTTGACGCGGTTGGCGTAGAAGTCGAAGCGGGACCAGTCGGTTGGTCCTCGAAGGACCTGATGCGAGTTTGCGAGAGCTCAAATTGAGATGCGCGGACTCACTCACGTATGTTCCTTCACATTGTATGAATGATGGGAGGAGTTTGAGCAGTGGGAAGAGAGTATCGAGGCTACACCAGAGGCGATCTAAAGTTTTGCATGTCACTGCTGCCTGCGCTAGGGCATGCTTGCACGCTATTGCGTTGTCCGAGTTTACTTAGCTCGTCATCGTCATCCCACAAAAGATAATCAAATATTTTCAAGAGCAAGTCGGTGTTGCTGAAGAAGTCGTTAGCGTTGAGTTCTTTGTGGGTCGACAACGACACCGTCCGTGATTCCGTATGTCTTCTTTGGTGAACGGACTTGTAAGTAGTAGAGATGACGATCAATTTGCGATCAATCATTAATCAATAGCCTTGCTGATGTAATCTCATCTCAAGTGCTTCCTGCCTTCACCATGACGTCCTTCGCTGACTTTCCTCCGGAAACCGTCAAAGAGATCATCGATGTTCTTCAGGACGATCTACCATCCTTGAAAGCGTGCTCGCAGACATGCCAATCGCTTTTGCCATTGTGTCGCCAACACATCTATCGGACCATCAGCCTCACTCGCCATCATGCTCGTGGCCATCGCTCACGCATGCTTAAATCACTGAGGCTTCTTCTCGACAAAAACGCAGATATTGCACACTATGTTCGAAATCTTGTCTATGAGATTGACCATAATGACGAGGGGGATGACAACGTTCGCGTACTGGAAAAACTCCATCCAGTTCAGACCTTGAAGCTTGATGGTTCTGGTGCCCACTGGAACACATTGCGTTCACCGATGCAAGAAGTATTACTGCGTCTCATTCATTCACACTCATTGACGCGTGTGCGAATTTCCTTATTCTGGAACTTTCCAGTCACCGCACTCATTCCCTGCATCACTCTCAACGACCTCGCAATAAACTCACTTGGTCTTACTGCCGCCACAAAATGTGATAATGACGAGGAGTATACTACCTTTGATCCCGTCCCTCATATAAAGTCGTTCACTTTCGATTGTGCCGATGACCCTTTTGTCACGAAAGTTTTTCATGCCAAACGTTCCACCGGCGTTCCAATGCTCGACTTCAGTAACCTCAAGGAGTTGAATATTCATGCGCGCTTCAAGGACTACTTTGAAGGGAGGAAAACATTGCTACAAGCCTCGGAAGAGCTTGAAATTCTACACTATCGAGGTATGCACGCCGAAATTCGTTTTACACTGGGGATTGACGTTAATGCTTCTAGTGACATATCTGGAAGACGGATGCGAAGATCTGGTTGCTTGGATGAACAAATCCTCCTTGTCAACGTTAAGAAGACTTCATGTCGTGTTGGGAATCAAACCAAGTTTCAAAGACCCCCTGTGCGGTCTTTGCGAGGAGCTCGCTCAATTTGCGGGACTCAACGTAATCGAAGAAATCACCCTGAACGTCTTCACCTGGACTGACAAACAATGCACCACAGACCGTACAAAATGGGGGCGGCTTGACACCGTACTTGCCGACGGATTTCCTATGCTTCGTCGGGTTTCGCTTCACATTGATATCAAAATTTCTACATGTCGGTATGTGGGTGAGGATGATTTAGCGTTCCGTGAAAAGTTACAGAAGATTCCTGAATACTTTCCGTGGCTATCCCAAAGTACCATTATTGCTTTCAAGTTTTCGACGGAAATAGTTGATAGTGATGATGATTGTGCTGTAATGTACTTTGATTAACTTTTTTCGCCCGGATATTTCCCGGGAGCCCCAATACTTTGCTCTAAAATTGCCCGACGCCAGTCTCCTTGAAAATTCGTTTCCCCGGTCAAATATTATTGAGGTCCTTGACGATAGCGAATGCCAGAAAGCGGTCGTCCGAAACATCGTATGATATGCGTGAATTTGTTTGAGTAGATCTGGCGATGGCTCACATTCGTCATCTTGAAATATCTGAAATATGTACAAGTGAATGCGGATCTCGGCGAGTATACTTGAGATCGCAGCTAGAAAAATAGAATAACTTCTGAGCTCGGTGAGCTCGAATCTTCCATGCCGTAAGTGACCCATTAGCACCGGTTTGAGCTCACTACGTGTTCCTATTTACATTATCTTCTCACTGGCGCCCCCTATGTTCGAATAATGTAAATAGGATTGTTCCCTTCTCACAGCCAACTGCCTCTCCCTCCGTTCCGGATGACAGCTTCTCAGCTTCTGGACGTTCATGGACTCGCAAGACGTCGGTTCCGGCAATTAATTCCTCCGATGATGATGGTGAGGGAATTTCTAGCGTTAGCGGTAATCCCCTCTCTGCCTTGGAAGAGAAACGTCGTAGAAATACCGCTGCCAGTACGCGGTTCAGGTCGAAGAAGAAAGAGAGGGAGGCCGCTCTTGAAGGTCAGGTCAAAGAGCTGGAAACGAGGGTCAACGAACTTGAGCGGGAATGTGAAGAATTACGTAGAGCAAATGATTGGTTGAAGGGACTTATCGTCGGCGTTGCTGACGTTTCTGAAGGATCAGTGGTTCCAGCCCCTTGCGGGAACGAGACGACACAAAGATCCTAACGATTCCATCCACTCGTAGGGAGGGTGAGGGTCAAGGTGAGAAGGAGAGTTTGTAGTAATATGAATCAAATCCCCGGCGCCCAAAAAAAAAATTCCTACGTGATTCGCCATATCCTCACTGACACCAAGATAGGTAGGGTGAAACGTTTCCGGATTGGAGAAGGCTCGACGAAGAGAATAGTTGGTCGAAATTGTTTGAATGCTATTTGAGCCATAGCGACCACGGTCACCGTCAAACGCGATGATGGGATACCTAACAATGAAGGATGGTGTCGGGCGTTAAGCCCGGATATGCTATAGCATCAAGTGGCGAATTGGAGAATAAATTCCACGAAATATTTTTGCAATTCTTGGCCTAGAAAATAGAATATACACCATCGAGAGTATGCAAGGAGTACGATGGTGTTTCTGCAGGACGACTGTTCAAGAATCCCGAGCCTAGTCACGAGAAAGGTAGTTGTAGCCGCGTGAGATACTGTAAGTGACAGTCGGTTCAGAAGGTCCATTGAAATCCTCATACCGTGGACAGCTAACGAGTTGAACCTCTCTAGCAATGCTACCTACCCCACGAGGCTTTAGGCTTCGGAATGTTATTCCGAGGGTCAAAACTTGGAACAAAATGTCCAACTGCCAGGGATCCCGCAACAAGTACCGTCAGGGCGTTGGTCGTTCAGGTGAGGAACAGCGAGAGGAGGTTGTGTCGAAAGCTCTTAAACTCCAACCATCAAAGGCGTCTTTGAGTGTCGGCATGACGCAATTCATGTGGGATTTGTGCTTACCAAGTGCTTACTTATGGAGGGATTTGATGTCACAGCAGGGAGAGAGAACCAAAAAATCTGCCCAACGGACACATGATGTTGAATTCCGTCATATTTTGCGATGTCATATACCCTGGCAATTGCATCATACGGTTCCGATTGACTCTCGTGAATCTTCTCGCTCTGCAACACTGGGGGAAGCGAACTGTATCTCGACTGAACACGGTAGTAAGTGGGAGACCGGGTATAAGACGCGCTTTGGACTTTCAAAGGAGGTAGACATGAAACACAGTACCTCGCGGCTGGTTAGACACTGCCATTGACGATTCCCACCGTTGTTTCGCGCATTCCTTGCAACGTCAGCGCGCACGCTTCTTGTTCTTCTTCTCTTCACGGAAAATCCTGCCGCCGCTGTCGTTGTGGCACGAGACGACTTCATCGACGCTGAGGAACTCCAAGTGTTTCCCTCATTCGGAGTCATTGGGTCAGTGACGGGCTCGACGACTCGAGACGACTGAAATCCGTATCTGTGACAACGCGGACAGTATAAGCTAGCCACTTGCCGGAAGAAGTTGTCGACAGTTAGAGTGGTAAGCTTTTGTCGATTGGTCTCGAAGGTTTTCGAGTGCAACCCGTTACAATTAGGGGGTCGTGAGCACCGAAGGTGGCTGGTCATACCTAAAATGTTAAGCACTTTGAAACTTGAAGACGTACTGATCCCAACATGATGTCCAGTGGTCACTTCCGGTGGCGAATCAACCGAATTCCTTGCTTAAACACGCTGCCAAACATCAGTTCTTTGACCGTGCATACAGATTACTGACCTTCAGCCATCCTCGTCAGCTTCTGACCCTCCTCAGAGCTCAGTACAGCTAGCCTCTGTTACAGCGACTCTCGTCGTCGTTGCCTCAGCGCCACAACCATGGCAGCAGTCTCGCCACTGTCATTCTTGGATGTAGGGATGTGAAGTCGTGGATATGAGTGTGCTGTGTCGTCCGTTGGTCGTCCGGAAGCTGCACGAATAGTGAGGTACGTGACCCTGGAAGTCAACACTATTGCTAGGTCCCCTCCTCTCGACCGCCCATTTGGAAACGGGAACAGGTTCGTCAACACGTCGTTCAGCATGCTGAGAGTCGAGATTAAGTAACAGAATGTCTTCGGAGGAGCTGCGAGAGCTTATCCAACGACGCTGGCAAATCCGATAAATACCGAAGCATAGAATACAGTGACGAGACCTGTTACTCGCGGCAGGGCGTATTCAGAGGAGGAAGGCTGATCGGGAAGGCGGGAGCGAAGCTGGAAGATGCAGGAACTACTATGCATTCCCCAAACCTGGGCCAGGCGGAAGAAATGCTTATCAGCACATAACGAACCGAGAGATCATTATTGAGGTGTAATTCCAAACTCCGACCCGGAGCTCACGCCGAACTTTGAAGACTAAATAGGTATATATAGTAGTGCAATAGTAGCGCAGCCGTGCGGTCTGCATCTTTAAAAACGAATTATTGCAGCATATTCAAATGAGATATAATTTTTTCATCAAAATCCGTCCACCACACTCCAACTTTCGAAGCACGCTTCAAGCTGATTCATACTCAGGCTCCGCTCCAATGTATCCAGAACCCTGTAGAAAAATGAGCTGTCACATGTGCGGACAGGGATGGAAGACTTGCCACCTTTATAGCCGAACCTTTTTCCATATCGTTCCCAGAATCCGTGGCAAAGTCTTTCTGTGTATCGATCTTGATTGAGATATTCTGCTGCTGCTGGAACATTACATAAATAGGAAGACTCAAGACGACGAAACTTGCTCGACTGGATGAAATCTTTCCGGTCTTGCTCTGTCCCAACGAGTTCAATGATAAATTATTTCCACTGGTGCTTTCAATGCCGTCGGAGAGTTCACGAATCTTCTTCCGCGCATTGAGTGTTGCGAGCAGAGAGTTTGTATAGACTATATTTGGTATTAATGAATTAATAAATTGTCTGCAGCGAGAAGAAATCTTACGGCGTCCTATGCAGAAGAAAAAGGCGATATAAATAAACGTTGTCGGCCACGCGAGGATCTGGTGATGAATGCTTATTATACATTACATATTATAAGACTAAGAAAGGAAACTTACCGAAACGAGGGAAGCTAAGGCACAAAGGCTGTATGAAATTTATGAGACTGCTTCACGAATGAATTTGGTGACGTGGGTGTACCTGGTGAGAAGTCCGGTATTGACGGAGAAAACCATCTGCGCAATGTTCATTCAAGCCGAGACAAAGGATAGAATAAGCACGTACGAGTTTAGTAATGATTGTATCCGATCTGGGTGAGAGTGTTGATCCATGCCAAGAGGGGAACGGTAAATTTGACAATACCTGTGGAAACCAGTGCGAGAGCGGTGTAAGATTGTGCACAATGAGGCGGCGATGACGATGTCGGCCGCCGCTGCTAGAGCGTTGGTTGCGAGCGATAGTCCCTATTCATTGGCAGAGAAATTGATGTTAGAGGAATATGAAGTCTAATAATTACTCTTCACCTTCAGGTGAGCGAGTTGAGCGAAGGTTTCAAATCGTAGCCTGTTTTTGCTAGTTACTACAATTGAGGCAGGTCAGGAGGTGGGTCACTTACGATATGATCGTATAAGCTAATTGAGTCAATCAAGTCAGTAATTTCACAAGAGAATAGACCATTGCTGAGGACCTAAGCTGACTCCTGTTGCGCAATTGGGCAAAACGGTACTTAAGATGAGCAACTGATGATGACGAACCAAACTCCCCGAAGATAAGTAAAACCTGTGTCACTGTTAGCCGCAGTCCACGGTTCAAAAATAAGCACATACAACGATGACTATGAGCCACACTTTTCGATCGCTCACTGTAAATTTAATGAGATTTAATGGTAAAAAAATTATAGTCAACGGAAACTGACATCGCCAGATACGCGTTGCGAGGAAGCTATAATGTTACAGAAGTCAATCAAAAAGGAAGTTTAGAACGGGAGGGGCTCGCCATTGCACCATGAACGTGGTGAGTCCCTACCAGCAAAGTGTGATTCAATTCGCCCACAAGTGCAAATAATTGGGAGACGCACGTTAAATAAGACCTCAACCAACAGTGTTCTGTATTCAAAGGTCGACGAGTGAGTATAGGAGACAAAAGCATCATCGCGTACCGAACGAGCTCGCCACGAAAAGACACATTGCCCCAATTTGTGATGGTATACGTGTAAACTGCGGGGAATCGTCAACTAATCATACGGCGATAAAGTCGGGATAATTCTACCGGTGTGAGTGATGAGACCTTGGTGTATGGTGTCCGTAAGCATCACAGCCCCAACCTATGCAAAACCATCACTTCAAGGGAGAAGTAAATTTCAACGTTGATATTTACCAGGGCTTTCAGGTGCCACCGATCGCTTTGGTGGGTAAAGTAGTACCAGGCTTGAATACAAGAAACTGAGACAGTCCCGTCAGAACTTTGAGAAACAGCGAAGGGAAAAAGGGATTCAGACCCCCAAAAAGGCTGTTGAGCAGTCAGCAGAACGGTTATAAATGGATATCATAGACACTTACCATCCAGAAACGACAACCCCGATATAAGCTGCACCCAAACTGTGTTGAGAGAGAGATCAGACGTCTTGATATTATTAGCTTGATTGGTACGCACGTATCGTTGAGCACGATTTGTGATAACGGAGCGGAGTCAGCCATATCAACGACTTGAGCTTGAACGTCGAGGGAACGCGATCGAACCGAACGGAAGAATGCTGGGGAATTGAGCTTGAGCTTTTATATTTTCGGCCGCATGGTGGTTCTTGGGAGATTTCACCCACTCAGGTGCGGTGTGATCTGGATGATGCCTGCCATCAAGGGAGATATGAGTATCTCGGATAGAGCCGAAACCACTGAAGTACTGATCTTTCACTGTTTCACACCAAGTTTGCTTAGGTCAAGAACCTCTACTCTGACGAAAGGATAAGGACTTTGGATTTGAAACCTTTTCACATGCACTTTGTTCAGTGCGAAATTTTATGGCCTGCAACTAAAAAGGTACGGTACCTATTCGACCCTTCAGATTTCAGGGATCGCTCTTGTGACTCAATCTGTCCGGAGGTTTTGGCAACCACTTTCGTGCATAACTATATTCTCAGAAACCTGAACGACGCATCAGCTCCCCAAAACATCGATGGCCCTGCGTCCGGCATATTTTTGAGCTAAAGAAGTGATGATCGCAACTCGCTTATTTGCAATTTCTTTGGACGTATCGAATGATTCATGTGATAATTTTGAACTTTGCGGCAATAACACTATTACGGGGGAGAACTGCGCGTTGCTCTGCCTGAGATCTACAATACAACAATTAGCCAGACAGACAGACGTATCGGCAGGATTTGTCGTGGCCCGCCAAATTCCAGAGTTTTTCGGGGCCGCCACGTTTGTCTTTCCATGTTTAAGGGGCCCTTTAAAATAAACATGGGTAATGATGCATGCTTCCAGCCGATCAAGCATGGAGACGTAGCTTGACTTTGTTGGTCAATCATCAATGCCAGTCAATTAAATTCTATCTAAGGCCGGTTTTCAAATTCGGCGAATTCGACGATCATCGAGTTCTCATTCAAAATTTTAAAAACTTGAGAACCTTACTTATCCTGCAGGTTGTCTCGGAGAGGCAGACTCATCTTGGCATCTGGCCGGCGTCTTTCGCTGATGCACCTTCAATGATGATTTTGCATTCGATGTTTCCAGTTGGACCTTTATTTTTATTTTGAAAAAAATGGGACAAACGTTCGGAACGATCAGTCCCTTCAGGCCTTCAAGATATTGAATTAGGGCACGACTTCGTCAAGGTCTCCGTGGAGTAATTTTAACAGTAAGCTAACATCATCCAGGCGTGCGAGGAATTGCTCAAGGGAAGATCAACGGAGAGGAAGCGTATCAAGGGCCAACATAAAATCACGCACCACCATTTCACGTTGATAGCGCACTTTGGAATGCTAAAGCGGTGATTCGCACCATCAATCAATCCTTGTCCCGTATAAGTATGTGTATCTCTTGAAGACTTGAACGCCACGAATTTCAATGAATGGGAATATGTCCCATTCTGTTTTGTTGTTTGTTTCGCATAGCTGTAGCCTTTCTACATGCTACGAGAACTCCACTACTCACACTTCTGATTTTATAGTTACGCTTTTGTAACCTAGCCAGAGCCCAGCCATCAATGGCTCTTCCAAAAAAGAATATTAAGGGTCTTCGTATCCTGAGTTGACTGCTGTTTGCGCCTCACAACTCTCCAGCTTACATAAGTAATCTGAAGCGAGCATCAAGTTTCCGATTGATTGCCGATTGAGCGAAGGGAAACAACAGCTGTGCAATGTTGATAAGGATACTGCGCACGTCTAACGTGTACACCTTCAGAACTGAAGGCCCTTCAAGCAAATCATCCGGGGCACTGGCCAGAGACGCCGTCATCTATCTCTTTGATATCTCTTACTCAAAATATTTCCAAAATATTCAAAAAATATTTCTATTACCATGCGAGTCAATAACCAATTAAACCGGTCAAGCGATCCACTTTAGTGTCACACAATACATAATTGTTCATTCGTTCAAGAAAGGAATCAGGATAGTTAAAGATTTTGAATCGGGCTATTCAGTTGGAGGTCCCAGACACCACGCCATAGCCCACGGTAGAAGCCCAAAAACCTTCCGGCGTAATGGTCCGAAAAGCACCGTTGTCACTGTGGTCCAGTGGCGAACCTTTTTTTTTTCCCCCGTCATAAAAAAGAGGGAGGTTGTGGGATCTGAGGAGATAAAACCTGTAAAAACCTGCTTCGCTCACCCTCGTTCACCACTCAATTGGTGAGCGTTCAGATCAAGAATTTGATTATCGATCCCAGGGAGGAAAGAGGCCCCATTTAAAGAAAACGCGTCAAAATTCCACGTGTCCACCTAGCCGGATAGCTCCCGAACAATGTCGCCGAATTTGCACCTTATGTAATGACCATTGACCATATGTTTTCCGCTATCGAAGCGCCACAACGCCACTCTTGTATCTCACCGGTGATGCACAATCAATTGCTGTAAGAAACAACGGGAAGGTAGGCAGGGAAAGCTCGATAAACCAGATGAGGATATCTACAATCACAATATTATTCTGTACAGCAGTTCGAAGCCGCTTGACGTTTCAGCATTGCTATCAGATTCCCTGCATAGCTAGCTGGTCGCGTCTTTACGATCCGTCATTCAAACCCTCAAAATGTCAATTTGCGACGCAGAAAATCGGCTTCTGGTGGCATCTGGATGAGGGTCTTTGATGTTGCGTCCCTCAAACGTCAACGGCAGAAATGCTCTCACTGTCGCTTGTTTAACAGAAGATAGACCGCCAGAAAATAATAAACGCTCATAAAAACGTATCACAACCGTCACTCTTCTCCAGTGATGATGAGGGCAGCTATTACTTCGATGGAGAATACATCGAGTTTTTTCTTGGCGCTCCACTTATCCCCACCTCGATCGCAAGCGGTTGCACTCTTCTTCACGATGAACAAACTCAAGTTGCAAGGCAGTCTCGTGTCAGCACACGAAGATACCGCACTGCATGTATCCATTGTTGCGAAGTTTATTCATTGGAGCAGGAATTCGTGCCAAGGAGTCTGGACTGTTTGATAATTCAACAATGCGTACATTGGTTGGTTGCCACCCTGCTGGACCTATGTACCTCGCAAAATGAAGGGGGGAAGTCACTTAATATAAAGAACCCAGCTCGAATCACTAAAGGATCATTGCAACTTCCCCGCCCCCACCCCAACGCTTGCAATAGTGACATCAATGCAACCCCGTAGCCCAAGGCCCGGGGTAAGGTGCCAAAAAACCAAATTGAGCCTACAGACTCCACAACGCCTAGAACACGAGTTCAAGATCGGACAAAGCCGGACGGAGGTAAGGAATACCCCAGCAGGGTCTTTGCTGGTCTTTGGGGTTGTAAAAGGTGCGAGAAAGTCCGATATACCGGGTGGCGGATGAGGACGTGGGTGACTATCGACTTGTCTCTGATCCTTTTGCGGCCCGAGATTCCCTTTCTACCTGCATCAGGAAAACTACACAAGTGCTCAAAACAAGCCACCTCCCTGTACAGGCAGAATAATCGTAACGAATTATGGATTCTTGATTAATCGCTTGAGTCCTTGCATCACGAAAGCGGGGAAGTCTTTGCCGCGTCACGGAAGGAACCTTTCCCTTACCTCGCCCCCGCAATGTGCATATTAAACGGTAATCGCCATTATCCGATCTCACTTAAGCATTTAGCGTTGTAGAAACCCCAGTCGATTTATCCGTGAGGTTCGAGTCATGAGACTTTATGGGGTGCTTAACCGCGTGGCATGGATGCCCAACTATCCGTAGTTCATGGGATGAAATCGCCGTGTCCAGCTGACACGATCTGCAAAGTTTGAAACTGGGATGACCCGCCCCCTCCCCTCCCATTTTTGTAGATTTTTGTTACACACCACACAACTCCGCGATGCCGCGCGACCCTACGTGTAATTCGGATTCGGGACTCGTGTATTAAGGATAATAGGTATATCCGCTTCTGCCCTGGATATTGAAGTTTTCAACGATCCGAACACGTTGCTGTGGGGACGGAACAAGAAGTCCAAGAGACACGCGATGAGGACCGAAGAGATTCAAGATGAGTATTAGTAAGGCAGCATTTCCAGAGCCACACAGTTGGGGAGAACGCCATGCTTATTATTCTGGTTAGGATGTGACGTCTTAGAACATCACCATGAATACGTAGGACAATAGATCAAAGCACCTGGAGCAAAGAGGAAAGGACCAGCGGAGGTATCAGATAACGATTCGTGTGAGTGGGCATATTCGGCACCGAAAGAAGTATTGTTGAACGCGGCGGTGACAAGTTCGAATTTGGATGACAGATAGGACACGACGTTTTCAGGGCCATCCCAAGGCGCTAAATAAATTGCACTGTAACAGCACCAAATTTTCCGGAACATAAATTGAACAACGAAAAGGAAAGTGGGATAATGACTTCTCGTCAATAGACAAGCGAAGCGACGAACAGACCAACCAAGACACAGCGGAAACGAAGGTAGTGAACCAGAAGTGAATCGCCAGTGAACACATGACCCAGTTTGCGAGACGATCATCGGAACATAGATGGATATGGTATTCCTCCGTGTGAGTTGGCTATCAAGACTCAGGGCAGAAAAGAGCATGGCGGAGTGGCGTTTCCGGGGTGCATTGAGTGGAAGGAATGAAAAGATGGATTCGAGAGAGAGTCTAGATTCCGCTGAAAATTAACGCGAGGGGCTTGGGCAGCGATATAAGACAGACCTCAATGAGGTTATTTTCCGAACCGAAGAGGAGCAGTGAGAAAGCCTCGCTGGTGGTGGCCTAGAGAGCAGCGAACCTCTGGCGAACACCTGAACACGTAAACGCAACTTGAGAGTCATAAAATGAATAGATAAATACGTCGTTATCCCGGCTGACGGACCGAAAAAAAGAGAGAGAATGAGCAGTCCCAATCCTCGTTAACGCAAGCGGCGGAAACTCTGGATCTAGAGACAAACGACAAATTCGATTCGAACACATGATATGCCTCAGTCGGCATGTAAACGTCATCAGCCATCAGTATTCATTACACAGATAGGGAGGTGAGGTAGATCCGTACTGGTTGAAATGAAATTGTTCAGTCAGGGTAGAAGGCAGTCTGCGAGATGAGGTTTACTTGGTGGGCTGGTCTTCTCCAAACTTTGAGCCAAGTAAGCGAACCTGTTGGGAGTAAATACTTGAGCCTATCGAGGTAGACGCGAATGGTAGGCAGGTGGTTACCAGGCGTCATTCCTCTGAGAACTGGTGCCTGCCTGGAAACCGTATTGCAGGTGAGTTCAATAACATGGAAAAACGACGCACCTCAGATGGAGGGCGACGAACGTAATATCAAGAAAACCTTGAACATTAAGCTAAGGCGCTAATAAGAACAAAAACAAGAAAAAGAGGCTAAGCCAGGACACTCCATAATTCTCACCAGTCGCTGATCACTATTAACTGATAGAAAAAACGAACCTATTTGTCCTGAACACATGATCGACCATAAATGGACTCGATTTAGTATTGAAGACTGCAGGGCGAGAGGAAAACGACCCTGAGGTGGGTAGCGCCTATATAACTTGGAAGGATGTCAACGCATGCCGCTGAGGTCATCCCGAACATGTAAGATATCTGTTTAAGTCATAATGCAGGTGAGTTCAACAGATAACAATGGAATGAAAGACGCACGGCAGATGGAGGGCGACAAAATAAACTCAGAAAACCTTGAGAATCAATCTGAGGTGCTAGCAAAACTAGCAAGCTATTTTTGGGAAAAAGACGCTGAGTCAACGATACTTAATAGCTCACACCATTAATTTAGCAATGAATAAAAAGAGTCAGGACGAACCTATTTGTCTTGAACACATGATCGATCTTGGGAAATGAACGTCATGATATGGATATAGTTAGTAAGTATTTCCTGTGAAATGAATCCAGGGCGGCTGGCCCATGGAGAGTTGGATGAGGCGCTGAGGTGAGGTTGAGTTATTGTCGGCCGGTGGAAAACGCCGTCCAACCGTTGAAGCTTGACCTGAAGCGCCCAGACTTTGAGGCGGGTATACACTCGTTTTCTGAGTTGCAGTTATTTCAGTCAGAAAGGAAAAACGAGAGCGCTGATAAACAAACTCGCCGTTCTGAAGCGAATGAAAACTCGCATTTAGACACATGACGCATCTTGAGAAACGATCCACCGAATTTAGGTATTCCACACCACACGGAGACGTGGCGGCCAGCAAGGGCGTGCCGGTAGATAAGAGTCAAACGAGCCCAGGACGGAGGAGGGTTGCGTGCTGAAAAAGGTATTCTTCCACCACCTGAGAGGATTCATGGGGTGTGGGGTAGTGACGTCCAAGGGGCGTTTACCTCGCGGTTTGGGGGTGGGGTGGGCGTCTGAGTCATGTTGAAGGAATTTGGATTGTAATGTTGGGCTATGTACGAGGAGTTCGAGGTCTGAGAATGGAGACCAATGCGTAGATTATGGTGTGGAGATTTGGAACGATAAAAGGTGGAGAAGGAAGGAACTTAGTCTAGAGAATGGAAAAGTGAATTCGCCGTGAATGGAGAGACCCTGTGTGCTTACCAAGCACTACTTAGCGTTTAGCCACTGGAATGACGCCACCAGGACACGGGTGGCATGTGAACGTTGAGAATGAGAAAATGACCCTGGAGTGGTGACGTCTGATTCAATCCAACTCGAAAGTCGAGTTTTAGACTTGAACATGTCTCATCGTAAGACCTGCATTGCAATGTGTGAGCGTCTGTAACGGTTACTTGACAATTGTCCTTGTTGTGCTTGAGCAGAGTTTAGATGTGAATGGTGGGGAGTAAAGCGGATCACTGGCACAGATTGAGTTGCTGTGATACAATCAAGGGAAGACAAAGCGTCCGAGTCGGCCTCGGGGCGCACGAAATAAAGAGAAACGGGGTACCGGATACCAACAAACACGAGGATCGTGGTTGTCACGCGTCAATGGCACATGTTCACATGGCGCTGACAACCAGGCACGGACCTCGTGCGAGCTGAATTTCTAAAAGGGGAAACGGGCTACGAGTCAGTGCGTTCACTTCACGTAGGTTGTTGTGTTTTGATGCCGACGATCTTGCGAAAATTCGCCGGGCTGTCTGGATCGATTATCGTGAAAGAAGAAGGCATATGATAGAGTGACGCGACACTTGTCTTTTGCTCTTCCTTCTCTGTCATGGCCGCCAGCACTAGCAGCGACCTTTACTCGCCTTTCCAGCAACAGAATATGCCAAACGAAGACAATCCCCCGTCAAGCGAAGACGGCTCTGGTGTACACTCACCAGTCCTGTTCTCCACTTCATACACCGGAGACAGTAATTCATGTATGTCCAATCCACCCTAATCCGCCCTCGCTTTTTATTCATCCGTCAATAAAGTCCGCTATCAGCACGATTCCACCCCGAATCTCCACCTTCCATACAATCCGACTACCTATCCGCCCACCAATCAACAGAGCCCGCTCCTCGACAGTCCAAGCGCCCATAGACACCCCACAACTGCGTTTAACAACAACTTTACCAGAGTCGATTTGCACGCACCGCGCTTCCCTGGGTCCCCTGTCGACTTTCGACATACGGCACCAGCATCATATCCACGACAATCACCCATCGAGGCAGATCATAAACACGTTACGCCACTCGTCCTCCCCGCAGTGGAACGTACTGTACCTTCATCAGCCAGTCCCGTGGCCAGTACATCCAAATGCAGCCCAGTGGCCGCCACCACCACATCCAACACCACCAGCACCGATCATCGTAAAGAGATCTCAACAGCGGTCATCGCTTGCCGTCAATGGTACGTCTTCCTCCTCCTTTGAGATACTCCTCCAACCAAACCCCGTTTATTCAGCCGCAGCCGTAAAATCAGATGCGACTCAACGCGTCCCGTGTGCAACAACTGTGTCCGCAGATCAAACGAGTGCGAGTATGACGCAGTGCCAAAACGTAGAGGCCCCGATAAACGCCCCGGAACCCGTCAGCGCTCATGTAAGAAGCGCCCTTCAGACGGGAGTGTGCCCCCTCCACCAAAGAGGAAAAGAGTGACATCGGGAGGGAGTGTAGCCACTCCCCCTCCGCAGTTATCACAGGCCGACCTTGCGCCTACGAGGGTGAAGGAGAATTTTGGCGATGCGAACTCGAAAAGGGTTTTTGCGGGGCTCCCGTTGTCAAGATATCATCTGGAACATCACCATCATAATCACCATGTGCAGTCGTCTGATTTACGAGACCGCGGTGCACATTTTAAGGTATCGTCGGGCGTTTTATCACTCTGAACCGTATCGCTAATTGTTTCTTTTCATAGCATGAGGTACCTTTATCTCCAGCCTACCGTCGTCCCACACACCACCAGCATCCATCCTCGTCCGCCTCTCCCCCGTACATGTATGACCAAAGCCATCATCATCCGTACATCAAACCTCCCTCTTCGTTTCCCCGCCAACTTGATGTGAACACCTTTCAGTCCCCAGCGGTGGATCAGGAACATGGACATCGTTTGACCCCGCCTAATCAGGGATATCACAAGGGTGAGAGTGAGCAGAGGGTGTGGTGGGAACATATACTGAAAACGCACACGCACGTTCTCCCCTTTCGCTTTCATTGTCAAGGTAGCTGATTAGATTATTATTCTGCAGAATTAAAAGGATCATTTCTGAGATAACGTTCTTGTAAGTCCATACCAATATCATACTATACCGATCAAAATAACCAACAACGAAACAAGGATCGAAAACACATCCCCGCACCTCTCATTCATCCCCTCCGCCTACCTCTTCTCCCAGCTCCAAAACGAAGGTACACCTCATCCGTCGTTAGTGCAGCCAGCGTTCATATTAGCTGCTTTGGCAACTGCGAAACTTATCAAGTCGAGCTCGGTGGAGGAGGGTGCGGAGGGGAAGAGGGCGGCGTTGGTTTTGCGGGCGGATGCAGGGAGGGCGTTGGATGATGCGTGGAGAGGGGGGTGGGTGGATGTTGGGTTGGTTGAGGCTGCTGCTGTGGGTGTTCTTTCTTTTCTCTCTTGTCATTTCTCGCGATTGGAGTTGGACTTGGGCCTTGCCCGTTGTTGTTGACATTTGAGTGTCTTATTCCCTCTGCTTTTCTCCTGAACTTTCTTCTCTTATCTTTCTACGTTCTCTTTTATATTTTCTCTTCAACAATCTATCTGCTTTTTCTTTCTCTCTCTTTCTCTTACCATTCCCCTCTGCCCCGCTTTTATTCTTACTAACGTCTCTTAATTCCGTTGTTCTCTCTGTACAATCCATCAGACTGACTGCCTCATTACAGATTTTAGCCCTCTTTGAATCCTGTGCCCATCCGGACCACACGCCCGACCGCTTCGCTCGCTCGCTGGTAACCCTTGACGAACTGATTCGATCATTATCACTAACGAGTATAGATGCCCACGATCGGGACGTGGTGCGCTTCCCGCCAGGCCAGGTCCCTGTTGTTTTACTTGACGGGGGCGGCGAGGAGGGCGAGAGAAAATGTTCTTGTGTTGGGTTCGCGAATGATTCTCATACGCGAATTGGCGGTGCCGCAGGTGGCGATTCTCATAACGTTGGTGAGGATGCCCATTCTGTCAGCGGTGGTGCTGGTGCTGGCGACTCGCCAACCAATTCCACGTGCTCGCCCACGCTTCCTTGGGACCCCGCGTGGACCGCGAGAGAGATTAGAAATGAAGAGGTACGCAGGCTCTGCTGGGGAGCTCTGGTCCTCGTGGCGGGGTTCAGCGCGCAATGCGCTGCGTTCAATAAGGACATGCCGAATTTTTATTTGATGAATCCTACAAATGTACGTCTTCACTTTACCCCCTCGCCTCATTTCCATCGCTTTCTAGCTCAAATTCCATTCAACTATATCCTGACACTAACTGCATCAACGACAGTACGCCCTTCTGTTCCCAGGCGAAGTATTTGACCGTGTGTCTAGACCCCCCACCTCCAACTCCAACTCCCTCTGCCCAAAAGAGAGCGTTTGGGCGTTGTACTGCCGTTCATTGCTACTGTGGAGCTTCTGCACCCGAGACGATACGAAGAACTTCCGCACACGGGACGACTGCTCCCGCGATGCTGCGGGGAGCTTCTGCACCCGAGATGATGTCTTAGTTGATGAGGAGCAAAAGGCGGAGGATATTCAGGAGACGTGGGTTGAGGCACAGGCAATTGAGGATGCGCTAGATGGGCATGGGTGTGGGTTGGAGGTAGGGGTTGTGTATATGTGTCGAGAGATTATTTCAAAGTGCGTACTTTTTTTCTCCTCCTTCATTTACTTTGAATTGGGCTGATGATTTTTTTTGTTCGACTTTGGTAGCACGCGGATGAAGGTTACCCAAGATTTACGCCGGTTCGTACCGACTTGCATCTCGTGCGTTTTCCTCCCAACGTTGAACCCACGGTTTGATTTAGCATGCATGGTCTGGATAGCGGCCCCAAGAACACCCCAGGCCCCCTCTTTAAGCGGAAGCAGGCGGAGGAATGGTGTAAGCGCTCCTTTCTCCCTTACGCCTTTGGTAAAAAAACTTATCGTGAACAGTGTTTTATCAAGACCAAGTCATACGGCGTGTTACGGCTACGATCCACCAGCTGAATACTCCTGAGGGATATCAGCTGACTCGACGTCCATTTCGCGTTACGTGGTTCTTGAACCAGCTTGCTATGTGCGTCTTTTGTTCGATTTTGTTCCCTTCACATTGCTAAAATTAGGTCGTATTTCCAGATGTCTTATGTTATGGAGAAATGATCGATCGCTTGACGACGCGCTCAAGCTCGCGAAATCCATCTTGCAAATTGTAGATGTGATGAATGCGTTGTGGGAATGTCCAGGTAGGTTTTGTCCCTCTGAGGTGATGTAGGGGCGTTCAGTTTTGTGTTTGATCAGCCAATCAGCAGCACAGCGACGCGCTCCGTCAACGGTTAACAGAAGCATGTAGGATCACTGCTCTTGAACCGCCGCTCCCAGCTAATTATTCAGTTCCTTCTTTCGTTCGTCCTTCGGGTTCGGGTTGATGTTGGGCTTTGATTGTGTGATATTCACGTTCGACTTTGGTTTTTTTGGATCTTTGATTTTTGGCTTTTTGGCCCTTCCTCACGAACAGCTATATATGCGCTTGTGAGTTCTATGTTTTTCGCGGTACTTCGCACCATAGCATCATATCCCCTTCGTACATACATGCATTTGCTTATCCTACTCGCGGCGCTCACCGCGATTAACTCATAACCCTTACCCCTCTCCGTTCATTCTTGCGTGCGGTGTTCATACTACTGTATGAATGAATTCAATTGGGTGCACCAACCCATGGCGGACGTGAGTTCAATGTCCTATGATCGATCGGTCCTCGATCGTTCAGTTGGGTGTACAGGCAAGTTTACCATTGTACCTTACAGTTCAATGGTTCCAACTCATTATGCGTAAATTCGATACTCATTACTATTGCAGATGAATACATTCATAATCAAAATGAACCAATGACTCATGAGCACCCCCAAATCTCTTCCCAGCGATCCATTCTGGGTTGAAGATTATTTCCCTAGTCACATGGATTACAGCGCCTCGATGAATATTAGGATCGGAACTGCGGTCCGCGACTTAGTACCAATTTCCGCCTGCATTTACTGTAAGCTTTTTGATTCATTAGCTTCTGATTGTGCGGCAAAATATGACTTGTCGAGCAGAGTTGCGAGTTTGAACCAATTAACCCAGACAGGAGGCAAATTTGAAAGACTCTGCTGCTCTAGCGTAACAGTCTTATCCATAGACGCGTTCTTAGTTATACATAGATAGGAAATTCTTCGGCTTGTAACGCTACGCGGGCGCTCAATCCCCACAAACCGATCGCCGCACAAATTTGTATGGTTTGCTGGGCTTCCAAACCGCGTCCGAATTCCGATACATGTGGGATTTTTTTGGTAAGCTCGACATGTCCAAATGTTAATTTCCTGCCTTGTTATAATCAATTTGTTGGGACCACGAGCGCTCATACCGTAGCATGTACATGGGCCCGGGGTAGTTATAACTTTGACATTTGAAGTCGAGAAAGCATACTTGCTCATCAGAAGTGTTGCATTCTATTTATAACTTCGTATCATATCACCAGGAATCTCCTTTCGTCATGGGAACACCTTCCTTGGCGCTTAGCGTCAAAAGCTTTCGCAATTTACCGGAATACAGTGTTCCGGCGGTCCTTCGGACAGGCTAAGCATATTTGCGTATTATAACACTCAGACACGAAAATTAGTGATTCTGACCTGGTAGTCACCTTCAACGGTATCTTCTCTAATGGAATATCAGTTTTTCTGAATAAACGAAGTAGAGGATCTAAGTAGTTGTGGTATTCAAGAGAACAAGGCCATGTGTCACAAAATTCACTCCTTCGGACACCGTGTGACAACGCCCAAACATCAGCTTATCACTCATCATCGCTATCACTCTCTTCATCGCTCCCACCCGCTTCATCCCCGTCTTCACTCTCCTCCACCAGAGACGCTTTCAAGACACGCTTGGGCTTCTTTGGGAGGTTCTTAGCCGCCACACCACTCGCCTTTAACGTCTCACATGTTGCTTTCCACTGCACAATGGCCTCCTCATGAGCGACGCAGACCGCTTTCCATCTCTCCTCTAATTCCACCTTCCTCGCCTTCTTACCCGCCTTCGTGACTTTCCTCTGGGCTTTATCCGCCTCCTTCTGCTTCCCCTCATCCTCCAGAGTCCGCTTCTGTAGAACCCACTCAGGAGCAGTAGCATGTCGTCCAAAGTTTTTGGGAAACATTGCTGTCCTGTCTCTATTCTTTGGCTGTTCCTTCTCGAATAAGGCGCGGTTCATAGCTTCCATGCCCATGTTCTGCACAATCAACTGCGCGCTCTGACCACTCATTATCTCGTGTGCCACAGCCAGTTGGACCTTTGCGTGCCCCAACGCTTCAGTCAGTGCGTTACACCGTTCCTCGAGGTCGTGTCGGGAATAGGAATGGAGTGGGGTGTTGGAATGGAGTAAACTCCAGTCAGGCACTGGGAGCTCATCCGGAATGTGTTCGATGACGGGGTCTTTGATAATCCCCTCCATCTGAAGGTGAGTGACTCGTGCTTTCTTGACCAAGAAGGACCCTGACGCTGTGCCAGCCAGTCCTACACCTATGCATCGCATACGCTTTGATGGTGTTGCAAGGTCAGGATTTGAAGCGGGATCGATTCGGCGCTTGTGCGGATTGTTTCCCCTTTCAGGTGAGTCTGATGGTGTGGTACCTGACCATGGCTGGGGCTGATCAGCATGTGAACCAGGAAAGTTTGATGGACCTGCGCGTGGTGGGGAGTCTGGGTGGAGACCAGCCTCTGTGAATTCATAAGAATTGAACGCCCCCATGAAAATCCGAACCGGGCTGGTTTGTGGGAGTGGGAAAGTGGACCGCGTTGATGTCGCTTCCGCCGGTTTCATCTGCTCTGGGGTAATCACGTCGGGATTGAATGGCCAGATCCCAGTCTTCTTGAACGCTGAGCGAATGTTTTCTTCAGTAAAGGCTATGAGGTAAGCACTCCCCCAGACTTTGCCGAAGTCTTCTTTGTTGACTCCCCTGTGATGTAGCGTCTCATGCACGTTGATCGCTTCTTTCCAGCACTCCTTCATTATTGCGAAACAAACAACATCCAAGCCTTGAAGGGCATGGGTGCAATGAGGTGGGTATCCATAGACCTCGATGTTGTTTGCAAGACAATACTCAAGCAAGTCGGCAGTAAAATGGGAGCTGTGGCCATCCACGAGAAGAACACGGGTTTCCCCAGCAGCCTTCACCTTTGTTTGTGGATCAAAGTCCTTCACCATCCAATCCTGAGCAAGGCCACCGTCAGTCCATCCATTTTCCGTGGCGGAGAAGCTTTCGGCTTTCGGTCAGTTCTCTTCTCTGACCAAGGGTTAATTTGGCTTACGAAGCACCAGACACATTATCATCGCCCCACTTCTTCAAGAGCCGCTTCCCTTTGAAAATGATTGTAGGTCGCAGAGCTGTTCCATCCGCGCATATGGTAACCAGGACAGTAACGTTTTCCCGGTTTGCAGAACCTGCCTTGTGCTGCACTTTTGTTCCCCTTCGGCCGACGACACGTTGGACACCTTGGTTAGCAGGTGGAAATCCACTCTCGTCCATACCGTAGATGTTATGCTCCTTGATCCCTTTGTCGATAACGTTCTCTCTGATAAGCTCATACCAGTGTTTGACAGCACCTTTATTGAGTGAACGAGCCCTTTCCGTTGCAAGAGGCCTTGACCAGTGAGTCTGAAGTTCATCACGGTATCGATCCAAAAACCTGGGCACCCATGATTCCCCAACAGGCTCGACAGGTTCCTCCCTCCCTCCCAAAATTCCGTTTGCATGCACAGCAATATTTGCCAAACTCGGGGGAAGGGCACGGTCGGACGACTCCAATATCCAGTCCACGAGGACCCGCTCCTCGGCATGGGTGAGCTTCCTTTTCGTCGCATTGAATGCGCTCATCGAGGTACCACCATTAACCAAGGCCTGTAAGGTGCTGCTGCTAACACCGTACTTGTCTGCAATTGGCCTGTATCCGTGTTTGCGTACCCCATCCGGTTTTGCCTGCTCACGTAGGTACTCGTCAATTGCGTGCTGCATTGTAGTATTGTCGACGCGCCGGCGTTCTTGCTGCTTCACGCGCTCGGATAATGCACGTCCCACCATGGCGATAACGCGTAATTAGACCTTGTGAACCAGTTTGGGAGCTTGTCAAACAAGGAAGTTGACGCTGAGAACAGTGGGAAGGTGGTAAAAAGATGTACCTGTCACGTCGTTGATTACCCCCACGTCCAACATTTCTGCTGTCCGCATTTTTTCTCTAAATGTCCCTGTTCTTTCCAAGTTCTCTTTCTAGAAGGTTTGTTCATCTAGGGTTATTTTTTTTGGGATACAAAATTGACCTAATTCAAGTGAGAGCAAAGATTAGCATAGCGACATATCACTGATTCGAGCTCTTTTGGTGTAATCGATGTCGTAGCACCTTAACAACTTCACCAACCAATCCCAAATTTTTTCGACATGATCTATGTACTTGTATAATGATGTGTACGAAGTATGACAACAAGTGAAGAACATTTGCGTGAGGTAGAGCTAAGTGTCCGAAGGACCGCCGGAACACTGTAAAGGGGAACTTCTTTTTGCTTCTCCACAGGGCCCAGATATCGCGATTTAATGCTGAGACGCCTCTGAACGGAAGTTAAACCTTGGTAAACGGCAATCTCTAGACCAATTCTATGACGGTCTAAACTCGAATACGCGCGAACGCGTAGCACATCCTATTGGCAGCTCAAACATAAGTTCAAGAATCGTTCAGAACAAGGGGAGTGTGAGGGGTTCGAATTCCTTGTCGAGTTCAGGTGTAGCATTGGTAACTGGACTGATTACCCTAATACACATACATATCTGCATCACGAACCCGCCTGGCTCTCCGTGCTTAACGATTTTGACGTGCATGGTGAAACGGGGCAGAAAACGAGAGATTCAAACCCTTTATAAAAACACGCACATCTATCTACTCAAGAATTTGCCGCCAGCGGAATTGCAGACAATAAAAAACCCAACTCAAAGGCTCCCAAAAACAGCGGCTCCGTCCAAAAACGTCGCCAACACCCTCGTCTCCATAATTTCTTCCGCACTCACTTCCATAATATCCCGATCTAGCACCACAAAATCTGCCCTCTTGCCCACCTCCAGTGAACCTAATGTGTCTTCTGTGAAGGACGCGTAGGCTGGGTCGATGGTCATGCCGCGGAGGGCTTCGAGGCGGGTGAGACGCTGTTCAGGGAACCTGGAGGCGACATTAACACTTAAATTTTTTTGGGGGGGAAGCGAAGAGGTGGGAAAGGGAAGAGCACTCACCAACCCCCTTTTCCGTGAGGTGATTTGCCATCAAAAGACACCCTTGTAATGGCGGCGTAGAATCCTGCAAGTGGGTTAACGCCCTCGACGGGAAAATCGGAGCCGAGGGTGATGCGTGCGCCGTTGTCGAGGAGACTGCGGAATGCGTAGAGGCCTTTTACTCGTTCTGGGCCCTGATTTTGTGTTTATGGGTATAAGTGACCGTATTTTGTGAAGGATAAGTGTGTAGGTGGTGATAGGGGCATGCGGGGAGCATGGGGGTAGTGGGAAGTGGGAAGGGAGTTAATAGAAAGGAAGAGCGGATGATCGTGATAGGGAAGAGGGGATAAGTGATAAGGAAGGAACAAGTGACGAGAATGAAAGAGGTGTGTTTGCGACTTACGAGGCGGGGTTCCGCGAACCACATATCACTTATTCTATTCGTATTCCGTCAGCATAACAGTTGGACAAGCGGGAGATAGCCGTGAGGACTCACACGTGTGTTGGCTGAATGCTAGCAATGACTATAAAGTGGAATCGTTATATCAATCAGTGCGCACTCAAAACGCTCATCAATCAATGTACCTCCAAGCCTTCCAAGACGCGCCATATCCTCCTTGGTCATGATTTGCGCATGCTCAAGCCGTGGTCTGAGAGCAGAAGAGTTTGCTCCTTTTAAAGCCTCCTCGAACGCATCTAAAACGACACCATTGGCGCGGTCGCCAATCGCGTGGACGTTCTGATTGGAAGGTCAGTGTTATATGTTTCGAAAAAACGGCGCACGTACCACTTGCCAGCCATCCTCGAGGAACTGGGGGATGACTGCGTGAAACACATGATCAGGAAGACGCATTTGGCCACAAGTAGATGGATTATCCGCGTAAGGTTCATATAACTAATGATTATAATTAATTAATAAAAGTGAAACGGGCCATGGAGAAGGGGGTGAAACTTACAGCCGCACCACCAGTCCTCAGCGCACCTAAATTCAGAAAACTAAGCAGATGATTCAATGGAGTGAGGCATGATAGTCCTACCATCCGCAAAGATCTTGACGCTCCTCGCTGTCAGCCTGTCATCCGGCGTTCCAACAAGAGGTGTTATCTGATTTCCCCAATACGGGCCGTTCTCATCAAAGTAAGTCATCCCATAGATTCGTATCTTGAATAAATCAGCTCGTGATTATCTTATCCTGACCAAAAGGATGAACTAACTTACAGGCAAGGGTCCCAACGCGGTTTGTCTTGTGGTTTAAGATTTCAAAGTGGGAAAATTGTTCAAAAAAAAAGGTAGGGAAGAGCCTGAATCAGTGAGGCTGTGCGAACACGAGGCCGGGGAGACGCAGCATACCGTCGGAAGAAAGCCAGGAATCGGGCTTGAATCCTGCGTCGTGCAAGGACGTGAGACCGTGTTGGAGACTGTGGTCCACTGTGGTTTTGAAGCGGCGATAGAGGTCGTCGTCAGTGAGAATCGGGTGTTTGATGAGTTCTTGAGCGTTGTCAATGAATACACCTGGAAAACCCCTCCATACATGAGCATAAGCGAAAGCGAATATCAATTTAATTACCTGTTGGCTCCCCATTCTCATCACGCAAGATAACACCACCTTCAACCGAATCGGGGAAGGGTGCATTTGCATCCAGGGTAGCTCGCGATACCCAGATGGCGTGACCATCACGACTTTGAAGTATGACAGGGTGGCCCTTGATGAGAGGATAAGCGTCTAAATCACGCTGCGTATCGATGTTCTCGTCAGATCGCTACGAAACAGGAACACGCGTTATGCCTCACCCAAGTCGGCATCTTCTCAACATCCCAGGACGCATGGTCCCATCCCCATCCTTCGATGATATGCGTGGGGTCGGATTCGAGATCCGGATGTGCTTTGATGTAGTCCGAAACGAAGGACGCAGTTTCTGGGCGGAGAGGAAAGGTTGAGTGTTTGTCAAGGGGATGGCAAAGATGGGAAGATGCCTTTGGCGTTTTTCCCCAGAGAAAGAGGGATTTGACGGCTGGCACCGTATTCGAGGATGTGGCAATGCGAATCTGTGTAGGACATTGGCAAGGGAAGGGGTACTAGGCGGGGGACGAACCACTGAGACCGGGGACAATGATAGTGCCTGGGGCGAGGTGGCGAACGGTGAACGATTTTCCGCCTGCTTTCTTCCATCTCTCACGGATATCATCTGGGGGGTTTCGATGAATAAACACCACAAGCATAGGAAGGGAAAACAACTCACGGAGAGAACCGGTATCTCTGACATAAGGGCCCTCCACTAACATACAATCAACTTGCGTGTTTTGCTCGTCTACCGTAAAGATTCCCTTCCTCTTCCCAGCACAGACAGCGTACGTCCCAAAGATGTTCGAATCATGACGTGGCGAGAAATAGGCGAGGGTGGACAGAGCCACTATAGCGTATAGGAGCTTAAAGCCCCAGCTGAGTGGTGGTTTCGAGGGTGCAGTAGGCGCTTGCCTTTTGAGGAGCGGCGCTGAGGGTGCGTCTTTCTCCTTGGCAGCTTCCGGAGGAGTTATAGGTCTGTGGTGAAGATTAGACATGGAGCTGACTTTGACAAGCTGCAAGAGAGTGAGAAAGAGCTCTTAAAGACTCTGTGAGCGACAGGCGTGAGGCTGGAAGAACCAATTTTTGAGGGGTGCATCACTGCATAGCCTCGAAGGTTGAGTTTGTGGGCGTCTATTTCACATCGGCACCCGCCGGCGTTTCCTCCCGCGTGATAACCGAAAGTAACCAAAGCCATAAATCGGTCCTGTCGATGAAATGAACACACCGACTGGGCGTAAGTTCATCGATACTACTGATCAAGCAAAAAGAAGAAGAATTCTGGAAGCCTAGGTCTACCCTTTCATACGGCGTTTGTCAACTTCTTACATTCAATCTCCATTCCAACAGAACTTAATTAATATAGCTCCTCTACGTAAACAATAAGGAATGTTGTTGTGATGACAATATAGTAAGTACGATAGGTAAAGAATGTGTTTGTTCTGTCGAAGATAACCTTGCGAGAAATAAGATGAGATGATTGGGCGCCTTGTGGGGGCCCCAAAGAGTTGATAAGTTTGCAAATCGTCGTAAACGGTTGGTGGTAATCCTCCGTAGACGCCATTTCAACTGATAAACTGTGGCTCTCGTAGTATATTTGCTATTGAAGTCGCGCGAATATGTCGGGATCGTCTTGGTTAATAGACCACGGGAGCGAAAACCGGCATATAATTGTAAGGGATAACAGGCGCAGACGGAGGCTCAATGTTGCGGCTGGGCATTTGAATACTCGGCTGTCGCACATTCGGCATCGGCATGGTTATTACACTGTTACACCGACGTCGACTTGGCTGATAGAACGTATCCGCAGCAGAGTAAATCGCAGAAGCAGGGGTGACAGACGTAGAATCGGGAGGACAAGTCTTAAGAAAAGGAATCGTTGCCCGTCGTAAAATTGGCATGGGCATCTTCGGGACGAGGCTGGTATATCGACGCCGTCTAGATTGTCCTGGTTGGTAAGATGGATCGGCAGAAGGACCAGAAACGGGCGGAGGAGCTGGAGTACTGTAACGCAAAGGCGCAGTGTGAGCGTATCCAGACGCACGCGAAGCATAATCTGAACCCAAAGGTGCCTCAGCAGGAACAAGCACCAGCCTTTTGATCGTTTTCTTCTTCTTTTTTCCTCGCGGCGACACCATGTCATAGCTATAACTCGGATAGCTTGTCCGGTCTTCACTGAAATCTCTCTTCACAGCCTTCTCAAACACCTTCAGCATAGGACCAAAAATTGCCAGCTTAAAGGCCAGATAACCGCACATTTGCCGCTCCATCTCATTGATCGCTTCATGCGTGAACTGATTGCGCGAAACAGTAACCCAAGCGGTGTTATTGTATGGTCTGTCGCTGAGGATCTTCGCTGCGAGCATTAGGGTCGTTATGAAGAGCTGTTCTCCGCCCATTCCGTTTGCCTGTGGATAATATTTTTGGAGACGCCGGAGAAGGATCAGAGAGGAGTATATCACAGAGGTGTGGACTTGACTTCGGTATAGAGCGTAGGCGATAAATCTAGGAAGACTTTGTTGGCCGTGTGATCGGGGCAGTGAGAAGAGACTCCGGATGAAGCGGTTGCAGAGACGGGCGATGGGCTCGAATCCGTAGTAGGGCGCTGATATGGAGAGTTCGCGGGGAATGGTGACGTAGTACTGTGGGGGTGCATAGGTGGTGACAGCGCCGGCCCAGCGGAAATAGTAGTGATTGTAGTGGTAAGCAGTCATTCGACAGTCGTAAGCTGTCGTTATGTGCGTGCAATGCATGTTGAAGAGAGGATGGTAGTAAATTAGGCAATGAGAGGGGAAATGAGATGCAGGAGCGGAGGGAGATCTTATAAGAGGTCAGGGGGTGGACACCATGCTGTTCCGCGTTGACAATAGCTCTCTGTGGGTCCCAGCAACGTTTTTGTGGACACTCGACGTTCAAAGCTAACTCTCCACAGCAAGGTGTGCAACCGTCACGCGTCACTTGATATCGACAAAGGTAAGTATTATTCTGAGGGGTCAAAGCCATGACTCGGTTTTGTGGCAACGCTCGTTTGTGGATCATTTCAAATGTTGGATGATCAGCGGCAAAATTCAGCACCAATCAACCAGTATTTAGGATGATGGTCAAGAACCTGTCATGGTGCAGATTGGGTCTGCGTCATATCGAGTGAAGAAGGGAAAGATGGGGTTTTCGCGGCAATGTCGGATAGTGGTTTCGGTTGGGTTTTGGGGCCACTGGCAATGGTTGCCAGTGGACAAGGACAAGACAAGGACAATACGAGTAAACAAAAGCGGTATGTCTCTGTTTGGGCACAGGAAAATTACCGTGCAGACCAACGTCTGTACTGCACGGCTTTCTCTAATGGCCCTCTTTGTTTGGTACATTGTCTTCTAAGTTCTGTGGGCCAGTGCCCGCACAATATCTACAAAACGCCAGGCCAGGCCCCAAATTTGCTACATAGCTCAAAAAAGACACAAAAAATGTCCAACCAGTGCCAAAACCGTTTGAAGACACGGCGGCTGCCTCCAGGTGACTTCCAAATTCAGATATATCCGTCTGATTCCGTCAAGGACTTTGGCAGGTGGGTGTTTTTAAAGTGTCCATGGTACAAAATCTAGCGTCAAATTTTGCAGAAAGCCGAGAAAAAAAAAGAGGGTGTAGATGTGACCAGACTTGACAAAGAGCGACTTCAAGTGGGTATAGTCCTCGGTCGAACAAGCCAGCCGTTAGGTGGGCTCGGGGGCGACAGAGGCGAAGAGGAGGCAGCGGGATAGTGGGCAGGAACGTAAGGGCCTCGAGGGGGTACATGACTATAAGCGAAAGGGGGCGCAGCCGGAGGAACCATATTCGCAGGAGCAGACCACCCTTGCCTCGCCTTCCGTTTCAAGAACCTCTGAGGCGAGTAACTTGGGTAGCTCATCCTATCTTCACCAAAATCCCGCTTAACCACCTCCTCAAACTCATACAACACCTCACAAAAAATCGTCAGCTTATAATCCATATACCGACACATTTCCCTCTCCATCTGATTAATCAGCCGATGCGAGAATTGGTTCTGCGAGATGGTAACCCAAGCTGTATTCGAAAACGTCGTGTCGTCTAACACCTTCGCAGCGATCATCATCGCGCTGATGAACAGCTGCCGTCCAGATTCCCCATTCGCCTCGGGATAATGCGTTTTGAAGCGGTGGAGGAGTAAAAGAGCGGCATATGTCACTTGAGGTCGTAGTTTACTCCGATATAAGGAGTAGGCGATGAATTGGGATAAGCTCTGGTGCATTGGTTCGCTGGTACATTTGAAGAGACTCCGGATGAATCGCGCGCAGAGGCGGGAGGGGGATTCGTACCCGTAGTAGGGCGCTTCTGAGAAAGAGAGCTGGTGAGGGATCGTTGAGGGGAATGGAAGGAAGGCTTGTGGGGGCGCGTAGGTGTGCGCACCGGAAGCCCAGCGAGAGTAGGAATGTTGGTAGTGGTGCCCGGCGGTTCGGCGGCGACTGAGCGGCGCTATGCTGGCCATGTACATGTCTAGGAGAAAATTTACTGGATAGTTCAATATTGGTGGAGGCAAAGAGTGAAGGTGGGGAGTTTATAAGGAACGGAGGTGGGTGGCCTCTGCGCTTGAGTCTTGACAATGCAGTAGGTTCTACGGGCCACAGCGGCGTTTGTGGCCACTCAAAGCGTATTGCCTCAGCCTTCGTCGACAAAGGGCCATGAGGTTTTAATTGTAAATTAAGACAACGCTGGGTTCATGTGGTTGCAGTGGCTCGTCGATTGGAAACCTGAAGAACGCAGTGGCGAGGTTAAGCGCCCATGGCAAGGGCGGTCCCGCCGGTGATGTGGCTACGACATAAACAATCATTGAAGTTGCAATTTTCGTTTATGAAAGTAAGAAGGCCAATCACCTTGAACGATTGAGTCACATTTTGCATGATTCGAGAGTTGAACGTCAAGCGCAAGTTGTGGCGCGCACGTGATGCGAATCATGCGATACGGAGTTTCAACTCGCCTCCAAGTGCTACTCTCCTAGTCGTCCACCCAACCACTGTGTCCCATAGATACCCTCCAGGACCGGAAAGTACACGTACTATCTTATTAGGAGGTGGAACTAGAGCGTGCTTTCAGTACAACGACGATGAGAGGAATGAATAGTTCTCCGGGATGAATCTGGGTCATGCGGTAGTCACTTCAAGTTGCCAACGAACCCGTCACGCCCGGTATTGTTTTCGCGCAGCAATCCATTTCTATATTTGTTAATTTTCGCAGGGCCTCTGACAATCCAGTGGAATGACGTTGGCGAAGAGATGCGGGGAACGGATTCGGGCGCCAAGTTGCAGATTTTTTTGTTGGGTTTCTGAGCTGGCGAGTGTCCGTCATTTTCAGACTTCCTTTACCAAATCACAATTGACAAGTCGCGTTGTGATTCAATTAGATCTAAATCTAAGATAGGTGCACTTTCAGGCCTTCAGTGAGTTGCGCTTACAATACAATAACCTCACCTGATCCTAGTGCGCCTGAAACATTGATACTACCAAACACTGCTTCGACCTCATCGTATATTCATCTACGTACTGTTACTCCGTCGCGTAGGCGGAAGCGCGTGGAAATCTCGCAGCTGGGATAGGAAGGATGCTCATCGAGGGGATCAAGAGAACCAGTTCAACAGCACAGGACTGTACTTCCACTGGCAGCCTCGGAAAGAGGGTATTTGGGCAAATGTTGACGTCTGCAAGGGATATTGTTCGTGAGTTGGTTCGTCCTGATCCCGCGGCTGGGTTTGCTGACAGCGTTGGTATTTATTAGTCTATGGCGATGCTGATGAGTGGCGGTTTTGCTAGGCGCCCGTACACGAAGATCGCGGGTTAACTTTCGAGGGCACATAATTTGTCAGGTTGGGGTTGAAAATCAGGTATGTATGTATACCGTTTACGTTCTGAAACGCTGAAGCGGAAATGTCCAGCCCGAGCCGTGGCTAGGCTTTGTAAATCCTGGCTTAGGTTGGCCCGCGGCTTTCAAGCCGGGCAGTCACGTTGATATCATTACTGCCACTCCGCGTCCCTACCCACCCATCTCACCCCTATTCCCGCTATACTACCTCACTCTCTCTACTTGTTGCAAGGCAGGACCATCACCTGACATATCTCCTCAAAGCCGTGCACATTCTGACCGCTTCTGACCTCTCCATGCCAACGCTCATGAGTAGTGAAATGGGATGAACAGGACCTTCGCAACAGACGCAACTCCGCATATGCCTTTTTTTTTCTCAGAGTTTTGGCTAACGTCACGGTGATTTGGATGAACGTTGCGGCGACCGGGGGAATGCTTTTTGGATTGGATGAGAGTTTGAGGTTGAGTGAGTTGTCAACAAGCGGCAAGTAGTGACCGGTTGACCGGTGAATGATTGTACCGACTACTACTGATCAAGCAAAAAGAAGAAGAATTCTGGAAGCCCTCACCAAGAACCTCTGGGCCTTGTCGTTAGGCGTACCGTTGCTAGGGAGGAATTTGGCCTTGTCTGTATCGGTCCCGCCATGCTGGAGAGAGATGGCGTGCCAGATGAATGTTGTCAGCTACCTATGTATACCCACTGCGCACGGTATACTAATGTGTAAGAAGTGTTATCGACTCACTACCAGTCTCTCGTAGGAGGAAGCTCGGCTTAGTGCATTCGTGACGACGGCAGGCGACCAATTGATATTTCCTTTATAACTCTGACGTCGATATATTCCAGCTTGCAAATATGGTATGCGCTTAAAGCGTTTAAACTCTACTTCAATTTTATGCTAATCAGCTTCTACTTTTCTGCATCAGAATCAGTCTCTCGGATGCATTTCCCATTGACATTCACGGCCCGGGACGCACTCACCTAGCATCGAAAGTGCGCTGCATCACCGCTATAGACCGCTATTCAACTTTTTCGAGTGGGTGGGTCCCTTGGATTAGTCGCTTTGACTGACTACTATCTATATCTTACCAGGTAAGCCCAAATGGGTACCCGCCGAATCGTGCGAGCACCATACCCATCATCAGTAATCATGGTGCTGCGAAGTTGGTGCTGCGGTACACTTGAAACAAACTTGAAAGCCCCCGATGCCGATAATATTCCATGAATCTTGATCTTGGTCGTAGAGGTACCATGGATTTCCGTTCAAGTTTGCCCAAACGTTTTCCGTTTGTTGCTCTTGCTTGCCTTGAATTACTTACCTCCTCCCGTTGCCCGAATTACCTCCCGGACTCGTCTACCGCTCGTCTCCCAAATTACTTGACGCCATTCCTTTTACTCACTCTCTTTACTCCGCCCATCCATCACCTCCCCTCCATCCCAACGAGAAAAAAAATGTCCTTCGACCAACGCCCACCCGAATACCACCACTCCTGGCCAGCCTCATCTTTCCCCCCCTCATCGAAGCCATCACCAAAATCAACCCTCCAACTAGCGCTCCAGACCCACCCCTCGGCCCCTCGGCATATTTCACATTCGCGTAGCACTTTGCCTAGGGTACGTTCCCTCTTTCCAAAATTAAACAAATACATGGATAATGAATTCAACAGGACGACTCACCATACTCTTACGCGTCTACTCAATCCCCAACTAGAACACCTTCAAGTTTCCTCTCCGAAAAGGTACTCCCTTCTAACTCCTTAAACCTGCCCTTCCTTCCTGACTCTCCTCAAACAGTTTACCCTCTCCCCCGATCCTCAGACATGGGGCACAAACCTCTTCCCTCACATCCGCGAACCAGACGACTACCTCCATACACCCGATCCTCACCACCTAGACTCCAAGCACACCACGGATTTTTTTTCAGTTAGGGCTATGATGAATGTGGGGGGTATGTTCGCTACGTGTGTTGCGTTGTTGGCGTTGTTGTACGTCCTCTTCTCTCTTTTTTTCTTTCTCCTCCCTCGCCCTCTTCCCCGAGTCCCCTCACTGTTCTTTTTCCCTTCGCCGAGGGAACACAATCCAGGTGCTAAAATTTTGTGTACCCGCATAGTCTCATATATCCCATTTCGATGCACTTTACCATCCACCAACAAGGGAAGTTCGGGGGGTTCAATTTGGGTGGGATCAATGCGTCTGGGCAGGTACGTTCTCTCTTCTCTCTCCTCTCACCCCTGGCCTCACTTAACCTCCACACAACTGAATAACCTGCAAGGTCCCAAGCATGCCGGGGAACTGGGGCCTGATCGATTTAGACACGCCCCCAAACCTATACACCAAACCATCCTACCACGATCCCTCACAAACACTCCAGCTCGTGTTCAGCGACGAATTCAATACCGACGGGAGGACTTTTTATCCGGGGGATGATCCGTATTGGGAGGCTGTGGATTTACATTATTGGCAGGTACGGCCGTCGTACGCTTTACCTTGTCACTTATCCTTTGTATCCTGCCGTAACTGACCGTAACATCTCCGACAGACGAAAAACTTAGAATGGAACGACCCCGCCGCAATAACCACATCCAATGGCTCCCTCCTCATCACACTCTCGGAACAACAAACCCACGGACTAGACTTCCAAGGCGGGCTCCTCTCAACATGGAACAAGTTCTGCTTTACCGGTGGGCTATTCGAGACTTCCGTCCAGCTGCCGGGCGCGAACAACATTGTGGGGCTGTGGCCTGCTATATGGGCTCTAGGGAATTTAGGTCCGCAGTTTTTTTTGGGTTCATCCGAGCTATATGGGTTGACATCAATTTATTTAGGACGAGCGGGGTATGGTGCGACCTTGGAAGGCCTGGTACGTCCCCCTGCCCTTCCTCTTCCTCTTTCTTCTATCAACCCCCGGCCCTCTTTTGCAGTGGCCTTATAGCTACGACGCCTGCGACGTCGGCACAGCCCCCAACCAAACACTCAACGGGCTCCCCCTAGCAGCGCTCACAAGCGGCGACCAGAAATACTTCAACGGGTCTTTATCATACCTCCCCGGACAGAGGCTTTCGCGGTGCACGTGCTCAGGCGAGTCTCACCCCGGCCCGACGCATAGTGATGGGACGTTTGTGGGGAGGTCGGCGCCTGAGATTGACGTTTTTGAAGCTACGGTGAGTGTGGTCGTTTTTGTTGGTTCTTGATCAAGCTTGAATTCGGTCGGATTTGTAGGTCTTGGGTACGCCATTGGTGGGAAAGGTATCTCAATCAAATCAATGGGCTGTAAGCTCCTCCTTCCTCCCATTACCAGTATATTACTAACGAGGAGTGGTATGTACAGCCGTTTAATAATGGGTACGCGTGGGCGAACACTTCTCAGAACATGATCATCCCGAACACGACTGGAACTGAACTGAACTCCTATGTTGGAGGGGTGACGCAGCAGAGTACGTCAGGGCTTACGATTACCGGTGGGTTTTTACTTCTTGGCTTCGGGGTAATGTTTTTCTAATATTGCGAGGTGGGTAGATCAGGGATGCTACGAATTGGAAGATGGTTGTTTTTCTAAGTATGGGTTTGAGTACAAACCAGGTCCGCACTTTCGTCCTCTACCCATTTTTGGGCTTTCATTTAACGAAAAGAAATTCGCAGGGTTCGATTCTGCGGTTCGCATCATCCCCTCATCAATCATTTATCCGATAATAACTTCGCTCCTGGACTGGATAGTACATAACCTGGATATCCAACTCGACCGTATCATGGACCATAATGGCTGCTGGTATGGACGCAGACACAACCGTTGAGATATCCGCGCGTCCTGTACCTCAAGAGCCCATGGTGCGCACCATCTCACGACTGAGCCCACCTCACATCATTTCAATTTCCCCTGCAGTACCTAATAGCAAACCTGGGACTATCAAATGGCTTCGGCACTGTTGACTTGGAGCACCTCACATTCCCGACTACGATGCGGATTGACTGGATACGGGTGTACCAACCCACCAACGCCATCAATGTTGGATGCGATCCAGTGAATTTTCCTACGGAGGCGTATATCAACCAGTGTGTCCTTTTTTTTTCTTTTCTTCCAACTTTCTTCGAGTCTGCTTGAATTTTCTATTTTTTGAGTCTGCTTAGACTCAACGTTCTTTGAGGCTGTTTAACTCTCTCCCAGTCCTGCTTCGGATTCAGAATTACTGTTCCTCTATACCTCCCCTTTTCCTTTGCTTCTCGCCAATGCTCTGTCTTTGGATTGTTTTTAACGGTCTTGGTTTGATAGGTACATCGAAGCATACACAAATCCGAACCTTACGACGTGGCGAGATGACTACAAGCAACCGTGGCCGAAGAATAGTTTCGTCGACGCGTGTTGAGGGCTTTAGCTGGAGCTTTTTGCACGGATACTAGATCGGGAGGCCTTGTATTGATTGGAGTCCGGGTAATCCCATAATTTTATTTGTATTATCGTTTAGGATGCGAGGATTAGAATCTAGCGTATGTACCTTGATCAATAAAATTTGTGAGTCCGCCCCATGCATGTGTTGATGGCGTGGCAGAGCCACGAGGCAAGGGTTCTGACCAAATATAGAACTCCGCCTGACCCAGGATACAGGTTTTTGGACACAACGGTCGTCGCAAAGTCGTCGGGAGGGACGCGGACGACTGTTGCTCCCTGGAGTTGGGATGCGATCAATGCCATTTGCATTCACCAAAGTCGCCACATACGAGGTTCCGGTGGTGTGGGATTAGTGGCGACACAGCGGTTTTGAGCCCATAAATGATAATGCATCTTGTTGATAAGCTTTCAAATGTCGGTGTCCAATATCAGATAATTCTGGTCATTTAAATCATGTTGGAGTATGCGACGAAGCTACGAAACACGTACCACCACTTGTGGCGAGTCCATCACTCCGCAGGCAACCGTTCGCGTGTAACAAATGAATTGCTCAAAAAATGTACAAATGCCATAATGCAGAAATCTATAGTGCTTGAAAGAAATGTGAGGATATAAGTTAGGTTCTCGCACCAAAACTTGATGCAACGGACATGCAGACAACACAACAAAGGGCCGCTCCAAGTTGAAACAACTTCGCCTATTGCGGAGGTGGAGGTTCGGAATCGGTTCCGAGTTGGTCGCTTCTCCTTAGACGTTTTTGAAGAGGTAAAGTATTGCCTTCGTGGCCGCCATCAACTTTCGGAGCTGACAGAGAGGGCCGCTTCTTGGACGTAGGCGAAGACAAAGGAATAGATTCGCCGATAGGAATAAGGCCAGGATTTGATCCATAAGACGATAATTCCAATAGTGCAGCAACGGCCGCATCCGATGGGCGGAAATCTTCGTTGCGGTGAGCTGGTGGGGAAGTTGCTCCCTCCGGCACATAACTGCAGCGTTGGTATAGGGGTAAGAAGGTGGTGCAAAATGAAATGTAGCAAAAGACGCACTCTTCCTCGTCTAGTTGACGCTTAAGTGTGTAACACCGAGTTTCAAGTTCATCTCGCTCTCGGGAAAGGCTTGAGGCCTTATCCCGAAGTACTCGGGCAAAGTCAAGGAGGCCGAGGATGGCTGCGCCATGTAGCTCAGCGCGTCGACGCCACATCGCGCATTGCGTGCGCAGGTTACGGTTTTCAGCTCTGAGGCGTGCAAGCTCATCCTCAGAAGTAGGGCTTGTGTCAGACATTGAGCTAGATGAGTCGCTTTTGGCAGAATCGATGAAGACCCTGCGGCTGCTCGGATTTATGTGAAGTCGGAGTTGCTGTGGGATGAGAGCTGGGCTGATTGGAGCTATCGACGCCGATCCAATTAGCCGATTATAATGCAAAAAACAATGACATTGACAGACCAACAGAATACAACGAGCGGCAGACCGGACAGGGGTGAAACTGAATGGGCGGTTTTACAGCCCGCACTGTTTTAAAAATGCATTCACTGCAAAAAATATGCCCTTGAATGGTTTATATGAGAAAAATATGCGTTGATCGCAAGAATGTTACGTACTGCATGGAAGAGAAATGGGTGTCTTCAAGTCGTCGACTCTGCAGATGTTACACGAGGCCATGATGGGAGGAGGCGTCTGAGATATCCCGATATTCATGGGGAAAGAAGAATCGTCTTTAAGTACCACGGCGGTGGAGGAATCGACCCTATCAGTCACTGTCGGCACACTCATCCTCTTGGACAGTGAGAGTTAATGGATCGAGAAAAAGTTCGACGGGGAGAATCTCGGTTCCCTCTATCCTGAGGTGTTTGGCAGGGCCTCTCACTCTAGGATAGTCGCGTTTGGTCCGAACTGTTCCGGGAAGGAGCATGACTCGCGGTATCAGGGGGTGACAACCATTCTGCAAGCGTGCGTAGTTTGAACAATTTTTATGTCGAATTGGTCGGAGGTTCAGAAAGACCGTCCTAGGCTATTCCAGATTTCGGTAATAGGGTCCCTAGCAATTTAGGATGAAGACGCCTCTAATTGGATATACTTACACACAAGAAACAAATCTTTCACAGACATTGAAAAATGTGAAGATCTCTCGAGATGCTGCAACCCATTCGATGATGTTTGCTAGAAAACAACCACAAACAGGGATTAGATCCGTCGGTGAAGGTTTGCGACCGATATTCGTCGCCAATTTGTCACCACAACCTGTGCCTTGGAGCCTGACGCGGCCCGACGGATATTGAATATGGATTTGCGATGTTAGGTGACGAAGAGTGGGCGGGAAATCCATGGATTAAAATATGTGGTTACGTCGCAAACGAATGCGTGCAACTGTATCGACTGCTTGTTGGCAATTGGTTGGCAAACAAGATATCAATCAAGTAAGATGCAGCAGGATGCAGCATGGCCGGTGTAACGCATCTGCAGGAATCTGAGGGGCATGCGAAATATGGTGCAACTTCTTACAAAGGCCGAATCGGAGAGCGCCAGGGTAAGAAGGTGGCTCATGCAAGGCTCATGATGTGTTTTCGAATTATCGTGTGATATTATGTAACCCTAAAAATAGTTCGCTCATCATGTGATGGCCAAACTTTTCTTCGTCACGACCTCCATTTTTACAGAGCTTGGATGCAGAATCTAACGCGACACGCTCATGATGCATGACGCCGACGTGGCTATAGAATGACATTCGGGCCCAATCATACAGGTGGGTTAACGAAACCGGGAACCGCCAATCGGACGAAGAAAGGTTTGAGGGCCAACGATGCCCCATCACCCAGTTTCAAACCCCCGGCCGTTGAGCGTCCAGGTGATGTCCTGGTCCGGGGTTGCAGCGACGGTCGTGGTCGTTCGACGGCTGTAGCTATTGAATCCGACGGCAACTGTCGTTTGGATGCTACGTCCTGAGGACGATGTTAGTACGTTCAATGTTCAATGTTCTGATGAGACTCTCATTTCTGCAGAATTTCTTGATACCCTCGCTTGGCGAAAAAATGACCCCTGGACTATGGGCTACTAATTCTCGCACCCGCTGATCGGCAAAAGGCGGTGAATCGTGCCGATGAGATGTGGATCTTGCAGATACGGGCTGGGGAGCCAGGATTCATCAGGGTGGTGGTGGTGGTGGTGGTGGTGAAGAAGACGAGGAGGAGGAGGAGGAGGAGGAGGAGGAGGAGGAGGAGGAGGAGGAGGAAGTGGATCGTGGTGAAGGGGTTAGTGAGACGATGACCTGCCACCCGCCGATGCGGTGTGCACGACGAAGGGCGGACAACCACGGCAGGATGACACAGGACGACACCCGCCCCCAAGGACGAAAAAGCGACGCCAGCCCTCTCCACCAGTGCAGGAGAACCTCCGACGACTCAGATAGAGTTTCTCAAGCTTGCTCGACACTGCGAGGCTACGTCGTCAAGAAGTTCTATAATGTTGTCACGAACTTCTTTCACTTCCAGGAGCGCTCGGAATACATTAACTTCTCGCCTGATTCGATAACGATAACGCGTATCCCCCCACTTCCCTCTGTAGCTGTTCGACTCCCGCTCCCTATGTTCGTCCGTCGAGCGTGGGCAACATCGAAATGCTCTCCTTTCCGTTCAAGGCGTGGTCAATTGTGGTAGACATTCTGTCCGCTCACCACCACCAGCACCAGTCGCCCTCCACCAACGTTCAGCAATGAATCGATTTAGCTCACAAGGAGGGTGTCGTTCCTAATTTTTACGACATCGCCTTTCTCCAGAAGTGCATCACTTCCTTCACCTCGGGCTTGGTTTGTCGGCGTCGACCCCCATTCAGCGACCCGGGCGTTTGCCGTTTTCCCCCTCGATCTTCCATTCGTCTCGGCGGCTTTTTGGTGTTCTTTTCACACCGAGTAAGCTGGTTTTTCTGGCTTTAACTGTCTATTTAGGCCTAGGCCTAGTACTCGAAAACATTGCGTGTTCTTCACCCGCGGATTACCTTACAAGCTCGAATGACCGAACGAGCCTCCGAAGCGATAAGCCAGCAACACGGTCATCCCCACCGCATGTGGAGATGGCCACGGATGAGATGTTGGATGTAGTTTGGCGTGGAATAAAGAGGCCACTTGAGGATGGCCTTGGATAGGTGGACCAGCGCGATTTTATGGATTTCACGTGGCTTTTCCCTTGCACGCTATTTTTCATTGGCACTTTTTAGGGCGTGTCGGTACTTCCATATCACTTTCACGCTGGAATGCAGGACGAAGCTCAAGGGGTTTCCCATCACCTACAATACCGCAGGGGAAGGCTCAATGTGATGTGAGGGTGTTGAGGACCCATAGTACACGTGTGTATCTTGTCCCCCAAGTAACGTTGCCGAAGGAGTTCACCCCGACTGTTTCTTCAGCTCTTACAAGTGGGTCGGCTTATGTCTGTGGGTCGAATCACTACAATGCTCGGAGACAGAGTTCGGTTTGTCCCCCATTCTCTGCACCAATTACATGGTTGGGCGAAGCCTCAGGCCTGCGACAGCGCATGAGCCTCTTGCATAGTCAATTCAGAGTTAAATTCGGAGCCATTGAGAATCTAAATTCCGTAGCTGACGTGGTGGAAATTTGCCAGAGCGGACCAAAGGGTTAACGACTGAGCAACGTCATGAGCGCTTGGGACAGGTTTGCCATCATCATCAACGTCGACCACGACATCGACAAGCATTGTCAAGCAACCTGCTACCGACACACCTTATAACCCCTGACTGACACTTTCTTCTTCGAAAGGCAAATCTCCTCTTGAGATTGCGTTGCGGAGATGGCCTTCTCTGAGTCTCCACGGGAATCGAACTCGACGGGCTTATGCAAAGTTCAAAGCTCCATCACCATTGGTGCAACATCATTGGTAAATTTTCTCTATTTCACCTGATTGTTCTCATCTATATAATCCTCCTTCTAGTATTGCCTTCATTCCGATCCTCGTTACGAAGTACGCGCAAGCAGAAGTTGGTCAGTTTCCCGGCTGTTTTTGTACTTTCAATCACGACTCTGCAGATCCTCAATACGGATATAGGCTATGCCAACCCGACGGTCCCCACCTGCTCTCGTTGCCGCCAAACCAATGCTTGGACTTCACGCCTATCCATCGCCCTTTCTCCCAGTTGTCTCTATCTTGCTTCAACTCAATCGTCAACGGATCTGTCCACCTCCTCATTCTCAACCACAATCCTCCCGTATCGGATCCGCAAGGAATCTTCGTCTTCGAATGCTAGGAACTATCGTCAGGTGATACTTCCTATTGTGCGTTTGGGTCTGATTGGACCACGGAGCTGGGTGTATCGTTGGAAAGACCTTTCAGTAAAGTAAGTCACAAGACTTTGAGTTCATTGCGGCTAACGTACCTTTCGTTTCAGATAGCCAACCTATCCCGGTGGATCGCGCCAGGATCACTCGAGTCCTATACGACACTGACCATCAGCTTTATATCACAGACGCGAACATCTATCTTCATCTTCATCTCACCACTTGACTCGATCTCGACTATAAATCACAACATGCCAACGCTCCCGCCCATATACGTTAATCGACGGCCTAAGCCCACCGCACCGTGCACACAATATCCACCTCCTTGACAGAGTCTGGGCCCGCCGCCCTCGCAGCACAATCTGCTGGGACTTGGAGTGTCTGTCCTTTCTTGAACCATGATCTGGCACGTTTCCTCGACTTAGCACTTATGGTCGGCATCGAACTTCCCAGTAGAGTTTCGAACGTCAATGAGATGTGGAGGAACGTCAGCCATTTATGTGCAGTACTACTCAAATGCAGCGCTGAGCCAGCGTCGTTGAAAGACGGCTCAGACTTGAAGGTTGAGGGTATGCTCAATGTCTAGTATTCAAGGTAATACTACCCAAGAGTATTGGATGCTGTGCCTGTACTGAAGGGGGATATATTGCGTGAAATATAACAATAAGTGTTCATAGTAACGAGACAGGGTTCAAGTACCAAAATGTGAAAACGATAAAGTGTCCGGGAAGACAGAGACGAGATTTCGCAGGCATGGAGGGAGTAACGAAGGGTGTGGAGTGAGTTGGAAAGAGTCCGAGATGCGTATGCGTAGAACGGTCGTAACAAGACTCGACAGTAAAACATATCTGCACCAGGCCCAATTCCGACATATCCCTACAATTGGGACATTTCGACCTGATCGAGTTCTTGATTAACAAAGGAGTCAGCGTCATTTGCCTCGTCGACTTCATCATCAAGAAATCCAACGTCGATGAGTTGATCGCAAATGAATGAAAGCAAACCCCGTTCACTAGCGGGTTGTCGAATCTGCTCCCTAATTTTCGGATATTCTTCGTGGCAGGCCTTCCGTATTTTTCCCCGCTGCGTAGAGTGGGCTAGTCCGAGAAATGAAATCGGTTTAATTCCTAAAGAGAGTGGAGTCAGAAAACATGAAAAAAGAAGGAGAAAGAATTCGGATGATGGTACTTCCAAATATTGCCGCAAACACACCCGTTAGGAAGGTCCATAAACCTCCAACTTGGGAAAATCCTTGTAGAACGGACTTGCTTCTGTAATCCTGTACCATCCTTGATTCGGAGAAATCGTATTGCATAGTCACACGGAAGGTGGAGATATTGCGACCCTGCTGAATGAGGGACTTGATGATGCCAAATGATCAGAATATACATTGGGTATACATGCTATCGCAATAGTTTCATAAGACTGGGAAAGGGGAGAGCTGTGGTCAACAGTAAACGGAGATTTAATGCTAGCATGATACTTACATCAAATATACTTGCAAAGGCAGACAGGTGAGGTCTTTTTAACAGCTGACGCAACTCCCAGGTGACATCACCAGCCCTGTTAACCCCTGGGGGTATTGCGGTGCCAGGTGTTCTTTCAACCACAGTAATTGCATCACTGGTGAGACCAATCATAATCTGCACAGAGTCTGTGATTAAGTCATCCATTGTGCCGACTCAAAGGCCCATCTCTGTAAAGTTTAAAGTTATCAGAAGGTCCGTAGTACAGTTTGGGTTTGGTAGTTGGAAAGATCTTTCAAAAGCTACATAGGAAGATAAGAGCTTCTGTTATTCCTGGACATTAGAAAGAAAGAAAAACATGAACCAGTGTTGCCTTTGAATCATAGATGCATGAAAAATTGGCTCCTAAGACCACAATGATACAATTAGTAATACTGCAAGATGTGTGACCCTCTAAAGATATTAGAAAATCCTTACATTATTGTTCTAGTGGAACCACTACAGTCATCAACTGGTCAATGACACAGCTGGGTCAATGTCACAAAACAGTTTTGCTCTCCCATTTTTGCTCACATTTCTTAGAAATTTTATATTGTTGTAAGGGAATACTATATCAATATAACTGTGCTTTTTTTGAGGCAAGAGCCTCTCTTGAACTCCTTAAAAGCTTTATTCATCGGTTTTGATCAGGCTTTGACAATTCCATTGCCCTGATCTGGCAACAATCTCTTGAAGACTGAGATTTATTTTGACAGTCCCTGAATACAAAATACATAGGGTACAATAATCAAAATTTATCTAGGAGTGTACTGGCTTGTAGGGACTGTCAGCAAGGAAAAGATGTGAAACAATGCTGAGATGGGTTACCAAATGTGACAGAGTTTGTGATGCATCCAAATTGGGTTTACCTGTCAAATGAAAATATTTCCTCCGCCTCGCCTTAGCTGACAGCCTAAAATGCATGGATGACCTCTGTTCAATACATGAGACCTCCAGGTGAACTAACATGAGTCCCTTGAGGAGAATATCTCTCAGATGTAAGTCAAACCAACTTTTGATGCCATATCCCAATCAAGCAACTTGTGACTGTGTCATTGAATGGTGTTGATGCTGTTTTGACCGAAATATTCAGTCCTCAACAGGTACGCAAGATAAAAAGTTTTAAAGTACTAATTTGTATAGTGTAAATACTTCATCAGCTTTTGTACAATTCAGTTTTTGAGGAGCCACTGTGTGAGGGATGTGATCCAGTCAATAAAAATGTTTGTGTCATTGACCGGTTGATGACTGTATGCCAAATATGTCAACCAAATATTACATGTCATCCACTCAAATGAAATTTGCAATCTCTGGAAGAAAATTTCTTCTACAAGTTGTCCTCCCTTCATCTTTCATATGCATGGGATTGCTCCCTTCTGTATGGAAAAGCTTGGATATACCAGATGTCTTTTGGTTTTCAATGCTCATACTTATTATACTGCATCACCTGGTCAGGTATGGTTGTCAATGTAATTATCAGGTTGTTCTATCATACTAACACTAGAAATTTTAGCTGCCTTAATCTGGAGTGTGAATATGGCTTTGCCGATGTTCCTGCCCTTTTCTTTGAAGTTACAAGTATGTTACAATTTTTTTTTGCCTGAACTTACTTGAATATGGCTGTAGATATTGCACCTTATATGACAGAACTGGGGTCAATCAGTTCAAGGTCATATGTAACAGTGATTACCTATACTGTTTTAGCCTGGGTCATCTTCATCAGCCTGATGCTAGAAGTGTTGATTTGGGTGGGATGTATGGCTTTCTACATCACTCAACATGTTTGGAGCACAACAACTCCACACTTTTTGGGACAAAAGGTTTCTCAACCTCATAAAGTCTTGTTTGGCCATGCAGCATGGAGGAGACATTTCAGGTTAGTGATGTCTAAAGAATAGTTAAAAAAATTAGTCTGACAATTTACAGTGGAGAGACCAAGATAATTCAGTTATCAAGAGGATTGCTTGCAACAACCTTTATTTTAACACTTCTCTTCTCCTTGGTTGTCAATGTTTTTCTAGATCCCATTCAAGAAACTGGCATTACACCAACAAAAGATATTCGTTCCCTTAGCTCATCTTTGCTTCCATCGGCATCCGATACATGTTCATGGAGTGTGGTCCTTGTATGTATCACTCTTTTTAAATGTCTCTCAGACATATCTGAAGGAGATATTGTTTAATTAGGTCACTCCACACTATCCTAGAAGATCAGATCTAGAAGACTTTTCAAGCATGATCAATGTCACACCATTACCGAGAAGCAAGGGTCAGTTCAATATGCTCACTCAACTCACTGAAAAAATATGACAGATGTAGATCCACCAAACATGATTTGGTAGGGTTTAAGATTGTCTTCTGTAGTAGTGTTTGAAAGTCTGGTTAGGTAAGGTTATTGGGTGCCCAGGGGCTCTAACCGAGACCGAGACCGGTTAGGGTTCGTTCCCAGACCCAAAATAACCTAACTGGACCGAAGATAACCGATGAAAACCGGTTAGTTGCAGTTACTAACCGGTTAGGACCGAAAAAATAGAAAATCGATTAAAACGGCGTATATTTTTCATATTCCTTGCAGTAAACATTATTGCCATGCGTCGTAGCTTTAAAACAAGCCCAAGAACGCTAAATTCGGTGAAGAATTGACAATTTTATAATAATATTCTTGAAAGCCTACTATTTTAGCCAATAATTTAGAGATTTGACCATAACTCTGTCAGATTTTTAGCGTTTCTCATGCTTTTAGATGCGTTTTGAAGGGGCATAATAGGGTCGGTTGTAACCGGTTATAACCGGTTTTTTAACGGTTAGTTAACCGCAAAATAACCGGTTATTTCATTTCCAGAATTGACTAACCACTAACCGCGGTCCGGTTTTTTTGCGGTTAGGTCCGGTCTGGTCTCGGTTATTTTCCAGTTAATTAACCTAACTTCCAAGCACTATTCTGCAGTGAGAGCTCTGTGATGCAATAAAACATGGTGTTGAGAGCAATAAAGGATCAAAGATCCCATCTGAAGAAGTGCTTCAAGGAAGAGAAAGATTGCAAGAGCAATGTAAACAGCTACACAATTTATGGTGGGTGGTTGATGCCTCAAATTGAAAGCTGCATCTGGCATAATTGGCAATGACGGCATGGATATGGCAATGAATGGAATATAATATCCAATACCTAATATGTTATATCAACAGAGAGTTACTGCTCATTGATAGTGAGGTGACTACATACCTGCTACTTCAAGCAATAGAAGTGGAAGATCAAAAAGTCCAAAAAATGTGTCCAGGTTGAATGTCCTAAAAACAATGAGAATAAAAAGACTAAATAAATTTGAAACTTACAAGAGCGGGTGGTGAACTAGAGTAAAACTGACCATGCCCAGTGCAAACCAATGCTGACCTCAAGGAAGTCCATCTGACCAGTATCTGTACTCCCAATGAAGTGGGCCAGAGAAGAGGAGTAACATCAGAGAGAGAGGAGTGGTGGAACAGCCATTTTGACTTGTGATCATGAAGGGTGCTGAAAAGCAGCGACGCTGCATGTGGAAATTCTACTTTTGGACCGTTCTTCACGCAACACTGCACTCTCATCTCATTTCCGACGCTTCTCTGGGTTTTCGCCATTCATTGCAAGCATTCATTCACGTCGTCGAGTCGCCCTGCGCCTTCCGGTCCGATTTGCGGGACCCCTACCTCACCTGTTGCCGGATTTAGTTGAGTTGATTTCTGTTATATTCCTTGCCCAACCTCAGTGACTTGCGATTATTTCGTCGATTTTTCATCTTTTTTATTTTTTATTTACTTCGCCATTTATTTCATGACCTCTTCCCTCTCTCCTACTCCATTTATCGTTACCGTTTGAAAATTTCTCGATTTGGTTGTTTCTTTTTATTCACACCTTTTCCTCGATGCAAACTGTGTACTTTGCTAGAGAAAATATCAAATTATCGTCGGTGTGGCCTCGCTTATACCTATTATCGTTATTTTATTGTCGCTGATTATATTTGCACGCTGTCGACGGTCATTTCACACGTCGCCAACGGATGAATCCCAGTGAAAATCGACCCTAAAAAATGGCCAAATGGATCGGTGGAGCCCGATCTGAACAGGGGAGATGGCCGGAAATTGGCAAATATATCGATTTGATCCGGAGAAACCCGATCTGCACAGGGTCAATTTTCACTGGGAATGAATCTTTGGTCTGTTGTCGCTTCAAGTTCAATTGATCTTTATAGGCCTGTGTAGAGGACATATCTACCTATCCCAGAAAAACCGGAAACCTTAACAGAAACTTTCAGAGCCATTTTGAATCTCTTCGTATCTAAAGGTTCTTGGTATATTTTGGACCGCGTTGTTGTCGCATCAGTGCACATGAGGCAACTAGGACTCGTAGGAGTCTCGTGTCCGTAGAATCCCCACTGAGATCCAACTGCTGGCCGTGTTTCCCATGAGAGTGGGAAGGCATGAGAGAAATATTCCTCGCAAAGGGAAACCAGTGCCTTCACCCTTGTCCTTGTCATATCAGATTACCTTGCGTGCGGGCTTAAAGGTGTTCATGCGATTCCGAATTACCGTTTATCAAAAGTTTCAGAGTCCTCTGAGAATGCCCAGCACGTACAAAAATGAACACGTCCTGCCATTCCCAACCCAGATATAACGCCAAATATGGACATGTCCATCTCAGAAATCCGCCTCTGCAAACATCCATTAGCCCAGGCGCTATTGGTTCCGAAATGAATACAAGAAGCGATTGGCCAATTGATTACGTAATGCCAGACAACTTGCACTAACCTCCCAGCAAACAGCCATCGGTCTTCTTCAACCAAAACAACACATTCAGAGACCCAGTTCTCTACGTGAATGATGACAGAAACACCAGTTGCTTACCCTTTTGCTTACGCGTTGCGGCGGAGGTTTCGGAAGAGGACGGTCGACAACAGCCGTCGATGCCACCACGGTCCACAATTGGGTGAGCTTGTCTCGAAAGATCTCGAATTTGCTGTGGCTAACATAGCTTTTGTTACAGATCACCCCGAATTTGCGGTGCTGCAGCTGCAAGGACCTGGTGGATGAGGTGGATGAGTGGGAAGGCAACTGACCATTGTCAGGTACGCTCACGACGTGTATCACTTGAATACGTGGAACTGATGTGTCATTCTAAAAGATTAGATGTTTGCCTGGATCTTTTTCAGCAACGAAATTCGCCAACGATGTCGAACAGACGCGGCTCTGGCGGCAAGGAGCAGTGATGAGTTGATTGATATCTGCGAGATACGAGACGGTGAGACTGTTGAGATGGAGACCTCCGGAGAGTCAAGCTAACGAATCTGTTAAGCAGGGTTCGACATATAGACAGCTTGGGGATCACACTGTTCTATCAAACGATCACCAACAGCTTGAGAACGTGACATCTCTTAACTCTTTCGGCTGGTTGATTGATAACGAGTCAATGGCCCTGACCTATCTCCCGCCCATTTAACATGGACCAATGCTGGCCTACGAAAATCTCAGACAATCCTGGGGGGCTCGAAAGGTACCAGCGGTATATCTCTGTCTCTGTCATTTGCGCGGCCACATCCCTATCACTTCCCACTTCCTCTCACTTGAGTCGCTGCAGCGCAATCGCTGGGAGTGTCATTTCTTCGTCAAATTTATTCTCAGCTATGATCTGGCATGTGTCAAACTCAGCGTAAGTCGTTTCCTCGACTTCAGCTCTTTATGGTTGTTGGTATTGATCCAGGGGTCAGTTCCAGGTCCGTCTACAGATCCAAAGTTACATCTTTCATCCCCCAACTACGTCTCATACCGTCGTCATGCTCACGATGACTGGGGAAAGTCAAGGTAGTCTCCGCGCTCCTACAACCCAAATTCAATACGACCTTGCTCAGGGCACAGATGCCCACCTGGTCCCTCGTCATCTTTTACCCATCTCTTCGCGGCGTTTTCAATCCCTACCTCCTCACAATTGTTTGAACCACCTCTCATATTCGCCACTGCGGACCCCTCAGCTCTCAAACCATGACCCCATACCTGGGTCAAACCATACCGGCTCAGCACAACCGCCCAAGCTATCGTAAATGAAGTTGTGAGTCATGGTTACCACCAACACCGTCTCGGAGCTCACTAAACGAAATGCAGATGTTTGCCTATGGATCAGGACCTTTAGAAGGGTTGGAGGTAGAGGACTCTCTCAAATTTTCTCCAAACGTAGCTATTCAGTCTCAATCGATCGGTGCTGCATTATATATAAGTCTCAAGTTATCCAAAATGTTTTGGTTTGATAGCGCCCTTCAGTCTCAAGGGTTCGACGGTGTAGATGGCATTCTCGGGTAAGAGGATCATCCTGTTGGTTGCCTCCCTATTTATCTATGCAACGCAGCATCGGCCCAGTTGACCTGACAGTTGGTAAGTCCAAGACAAATTCTTCCTCCCCAGTTCCTCACTCTGACGCGCATATAGGCACTTTTTTTCCGCAACAACCTCAACAGTCCCGATGGTGACAGACAATTTGTTCAAACAAAATGTCGTTCAGGTGGAACCGATAGCTCCAAGTACACAGGTACGATTAGCTACACACCGTTAACGACGACCTCACCCGCTAGCCATTACTGGGGAATCAATCAGTCTATTCGTTATGGACCTTAGATGATTATTCTCTCAACACCGGCCGGTACCGTCGACACTGGTTCGTCCTCTTCTCTTTTCTGACTTTGATAGCACGTCCTTATACGTGTCGGCTTTCAACACAGGAACTACCCTGATCCTGATCGCCAGTGACCCCTTCAGCAGATACATGTCAGCCGCCGGTGCCGTTCGACAAGACCACTGGTCTCCTTCACATCACCTTGTCTCCTTCGCATCACCCCCGAGTACGCAAACCTGCAAAGTCTATATTTTACCACGAACGGCGTAGGTTTTTCCGCAGCTCGTAGCGCAATTCATAGCTCACGAAGTCCCAAGTAGCTACTTTAAAATAAAGTTCCCAGGATATGTAAATAAATCAAGCACTATATCTTTGTTTTACACGGCTTCTTCCTCAAGCTCCAGGCCCAGGACCACTGTCTCACTCACAAGCCAGATCTGTTGCTTGACACGCGTAGAGTTACATATTAAAGTACATATGCCTCAAGAGATTATAAACCACGACATGCCATTCCACCCTCAGAGTCCAAAGTAGAAGCTTGAGCAGGCGTGCCTGAGGGACCCAGGGTTTTGTTATCGTTTGGTTATCGTCGTTAGGGAGGCTCATGATCAGAGGGGCTCATGTGGTATGGATCAAATGTATATAAAGTAGAGGGAACACGAATAGATACAGAAAATGAGAGAAGCGAAAGAAACGGTGGTGGTACAGATCTAGGGGGGAAAGGGAATCGCTCTAGCAGTTCACTGTTCACCAGCGTATTGGCCTGCCAAATTTGGGACGCAAACCCTCGCTGGCCAACCTCAATATTCCATTCCTAAGCTTTTTTCAAATTCTTGACTGACCCAGGACCACCCTTTGACTTGACCTTTTTTTTGAGGCAACACTCTAATTTGATTTTTTGGCTACGCGAGCAATTCTAGGCAGTTCCTGTCATGAACTTTACTTATTCAAAGTTTGCCCTTCGTCGAACTTTCTCAAATTCAAACTAGGCCCAAGCCTCAACCTATGTGAAGTTTCGGAAGTTCCCATTTGACCCCAATGACCCTAAGCACTTCGTACCTCTTGAATCAAATAGTATATGCAACCCTTGGCAAAGCACAATCCAGACGGCCAGCGACTCCATTCCAGTAGTGGGCCGACTAAGTGCCTAGCCGTAGGTAATTTGGATCTGGTGATGGATGGTGCAATTGGTACGTCTGTTCAATGTCTGTTCTCAATGTTTGCATTGCAGCCCTCAGCCTGAAGGCCTGAGGGGTTAACGTTTTATCATCAACTCGGAATGTTGCGAACATTTCAAGTTGATATGATTGGCTCGTCGACTTCCCAAAAGGCTCTCATTGTATGTACTTGACAGGGCTCAGAAAGGGTACCATAAAATTGGTTCTCGGCCAATGGCGCAATGTGGCCGCCATGTTTCCGACCCATGACCACCGCACCCCATGGACGCGGTATCGAGTCGTCGATCCCAAAGGAACCTTCTAAAATTAGTCAAATTTTGAAATACAGGAAATACAGGATCGACGTCAGGGTTTGCTCTGCGAGAGAACATAAAAGCGATGTCCGTAAACGTTTCATCGCTAACGGATGGCTACCCCGGCCACTTAACGTTCTCAGTTTTAGAAGGTTTCAAAATATGTCAGATGCTTCTGGGCCACCACGCCTCGTTCTCGACAACACGTGCGTTTGATTCTTTTGTGGAATTTTGCTTGCCTCATTGTCAACTGCAGATTGGGCGCAGCTTTTATCGGAGTTGTTGTGGCGGGATGGTTCGTGTTTGTGTGCTTTATGACCATCCTTCTCTGACGTTCCAACAGCTTGTAGTTCGGAGGTCTGTCATTTCGCCGCCTTCCACTTATCATTTTCGCCGATATTACTTTAGTATCTTGCGTTCAAGCGTGGTACTACTTTACCCACCAAAACGATCGATGGCATCTCAAGCTTCTCGTGAATAACTTTTTTCTATTAGAATTCCCTCCCTTGCTCACACTCAAACGTAGGTCAGCGCGGTGATGATGTTCGATACGGCACACCAAGCCCTTATCATGAACACTGGTATGGGCATCCCGGATTTTGTGAATTTCTTTGTAATTAGGTGGTGTTTAAGTTTACGCATATGTCATTTCAAACTGGGGCAACATGTCTATTCTGGGAGAACTCGTTCCGTACGCGCCCTTCTCCTCCTATTCTCATTTTCTGAATCGACTTCAAAATTTAGGACTCTTTTAATTGAAGTCTTATTCAACGTGCGTCTTCACATTACCTCTCTCTGCCACGGCTTCTAAATTTCCGGTGGTAGGGGTTGACTGCGTTTCTCGTTCAAAGGTTCATTCACTCGATTTCGCCGAAAATGATAGGTTTACTCTGTTTCAGCTTCCTCGCAACCCGCATTTGGCATTGTAAGCCCTCCCCTCGTAATCATTACTCCCCTCAAATTCGATTCTCGCCTCATTCACAGTAAGCAACCGAAATATATGGATCACGGGCCTCATTGTGTGTTCCTTCTCCTTAAATGCAACTCCATGTCTCATACAACATCACAGAGTTTTCTCGTACTCGGAGAGTTTGGTATGTGTCCCTTCATTCATTCCTACCTATTTTTTTGACGCGACTTGTATGATTCAGGTTGCATCCTCGGTTCTTCCCATTATTTTTTCCCCGTTTCAATCCGCTCACTAGTTGATTCCATCCAGCATATACCGCCATCTCGTAGGTCGCCGTTCCTCTATTTGCACAGGGATGTTGACCATCGCGATGCAGATTGCAATATAAGACTTTCGTTCAGTTGACAGAGCTCAAAGTAAATTCCATCCTCCGATTCTGTACATTTTTAAAAAAAAAAAACACTTTTTGTAGACCCTATCGATCACAGTCAACGTACTGGCGGCAGCAGGGGACGTCCTCATTGCTGGCACCCTGTGCACCATCTTGCACTTCTCTCGCACTGGCTTCCATCGGTCTTTCTTTTTTTCTCTTCCCTACATGCGGCTACCAACTAATAAACGTTTCTTATGCAGAACTGATACCATTATCAATAAACTTGTAATAAAATGGCGTGTTCCCTTGTATCGTTTTTCTGACTTAATCATTCTAGATTATTTTTTCAGTAAACACAGGTCTCATTACCAGGTACGAACGCTACTATCGGTTGAAGAACTTGTCCACTAAAACGAATTTAGCCTGTGTGCCATAGCGTCCCTGGTTTCAGTACGTTCTTTTTATACTATCGGGCAATCTGGTGATGATGCCCTATGGCAGATCCTCGCTGCCGGCCAGACGTTTATTTACATCGCCTTCTTCTTCTGCATGGGCCGTCGTAAGCTTGCCTTTCCCTCCAACTTCTCCAGCCAAATAACACCACATAATAAAAGTCTACACAAACTCCCTTCTTGCAACACTAAACGCGCGCAAGGGTATCCGTCAAGCTTCCGATGCGATGCACAGCACCAACCCAAGCGAGAGCCATGCCGTATCCCTAAATCCACTAAGCGGACTTAATCCTAATACAGTGTCCAATGGAAAGGTGAGTTTTCTAAACTCAACGTGCACTTCCTCTACTAGGTAATGTTTTCTAACGGGAAACTGGTTTTGACAGCAGCAGGCAAATATATCGATCAAGATTGATACCCAGACAGAGTTTGCGACGGATTCTGGGGACGATATGAAAAATCCTCAACGGTGACGGTCCGAGATCTTTCAACTATGAGACATTAATCTCACGGCGCTCAGAGCCCCGATTATCTCAGGGAAAAGGGACTCGGAAGGGAAGACATTTAAATATTGTTCTTGACTTATTACCGTTGTGTTACCGCTGAACTTTAATCACATGAGTAAAGATTCGATAAAATTTGTGGCGTATATTGGACAGGCAATATATGAAGGTGAACCTGGGGGAAGAAAGCAAACACACCACCAAAGTTCTCCAGTCCAGAGAAAGCAGCCCTTGCCCTCGGATCGCCAGCCTACAAAACGAGAGAAGGCAAACAGAGCAATAGTTGTTTGGCCAACGCAAGGTCGACGTCAAGGGCGATGGTCAAGTTGTTGTTCAACTTCAAACACATCTCACGGTGGCTCAGACATCTCGTGAACGTTTCTTCGCATATACCTAGTACTCTACCTTTACAATCCGAAGTATTTGTCTCCCAAGCCAAGTTCTATGCCGTCCCCGAGCTCGCCACATAATTTATCTGTGAGTTCCTCCCGAGCTCCTTCCACTGCACAATCTTGGGATATGATAATGATGTTGAAAAATTGGTCGGTCCGACGAGAAAGGCAGGTAGTGTGGACTTTCGGTCCGAGGCTGAAATAGCCGATGCAGTCTATCAGCAAGTGAAAGGAGGTGGCGATTGAGGGGAAGTGGGAGCGATGGAGTGGGATCTGGGTAGATGACGAGAAGGGGGATAAGGAAGATTTGCAGTCGATCAAAGTAGTGACGTGGAGATAAGAAGGGTTCTACGTTGATTCAACTGAACTTGTCAAAGGGGATCGACACCTCGAAACACATGCGAGAGCCGCGACGGCCACATCACAAGAAAGCCGGCAAATCTTCCCGGAATTTCCATAACCATGCGATGCGTGATCTTGTATACTGAGACATTAGCTCAAGAGCTAGCTATAGGTCGATTCGTCAACCACAAGATCAGCATGAGGGGGCAGGCGCATACATAAGGCGGCGTCTGGCAGGACCCCGAGGGCCCGCTGTGCGGACAAGTCGCGCCCCTGCGCACATGCACCAGATATTTTGGTTGTAGGGCGGGTGGACTTCACCGGGACGACATGCATGTTAAACGATATCGGTCCCCTCGTTCATCTAGGACCAAGAGGCTGAGATATAGAGAGCTAAGTGGCTGATCCCGTCCTTCAGCAGCTCTCAACCCAAGTGGACAGCCAATGAAGTTCGACCGCCGGGTCCGCATGCAGAGAGACAACTTCAAATGGAGCATCTATAAACAGCCATCTAAGGATGTACCAAGATGTTGATTCCACAGCAGAAAAGTAGGTCCCAGTAGCCACCTCTACCGTAAATGTCCATAGTCTCTAGAAGGCGATCCTATTGAAATGGGGTGTGTGTGTGGATTAAGAACGATGCCGCAGGTATTCATCCGACAAGGGAAAGGCGAGGTGTGGACGGCAATATGGACGCTACTTCATCCGAAAGACAAGAGCAACTCATACTCTGCGTCCCTGCCTCGACACAGGTGACAGGGCAAACAATTAGCAGAAGGCGATGATGGCGAGGACTGGACGTGGGGGGTTGGAACGTTGAAAGTTATGAGCGGGAGTTGTGAGGTACGTTGAGGTGGAGATGGTGGGTGAGCTCGCGTATCGGGAAGCTGTTCCGTTCCAGCGTGTATCATTGACAAAGCTGTGAAAGGGGATCGATAACCCCGAAATGTATGCGCGGAAAAAGCAGAAGGCGACAACATCAGAGGAAACCCAGAAGGTATTTCCCAAGAAGCCGACTGTGGATCCTCTTGAGACGTAGTACAAGAGGTAGCTGTCGGTCGAATCATTAACCATAAGACTAGCATGAGAAGGAGGCGCATACTTGAACTGATCTCTAGCCACTCTCCCAGAGACGGTTGAGGGTTGAACATTCCGCGTAAAAGAAACTGGGCTCAGTGAGCCGGACGTCTTCAAAGATCGCGGATGACCCGGGTCGAGTTCAAAACACGTCTGACTCTCCGAACGACGACGGGATGTCGTTCGCCTGTCCTGCAAAAGTGAGGGAAAGGGTGGACTGCTGGGGAAAGTGAGTGAGTTTAGCTTGTCGAAGTCAGGAGGGGCGCGAAGGAGATGGACGAGCAGAACAAGTGGAATGACGAAGCTGGAGGGCAAGAAACGTGAACGAAAGTGAAGGTGCCAAGGTTAGTAGGAGACGAAAGCGAAAGGAACGGCATGGAAGGCACCAAAACGGAGACAGTAGAAGGAGGTTAAAAGACGGGAAGGACACCCACCTGCGCAGAGTCTGAAGGCGCATAAAGTCAATCTTGAGCTTTCGTAGCGACTAGCCGCAGTCAAAGTTAGGGTTCGTTACCTGCTGCACTACGACAGTGGAAAGTGAAGATGTTGTGCCTTTCCATTTCCAAAAATGCGAGGTCGTCCACGCCTACAGGTGTAGAGCCTAGAAAGTAAGAGTCGGACTGGCGGAAGTGGGTAAGTCGGCCTGGTCGAGTAACATGTGAGTTGTCTGCCGTTCGGTTGATGATAAGGGGGGGGCGCCTTGTGGAAGGTGGTCAAAAGGTATAGTGATTGGCACTGGAAGAACGATGAACCTGGGTGGTTGGAGCGCCGATGGGTCTGGGTGGTCGACGACCGTCGCCTGGCAAGTGGATGGTGGTGATGAGTGTTGACAGAGGACAGTGGTATGTCCTCTTCTGGCACGACGGAAGCGGTGTACAGGGATAATTGGCCGTCCCGAATCTGTTACACGTCGTCGAGGCAATTATCCGACACTGCAGAAATGGAACCGTGGCATCAAATGGCGAACAGGATTTGAGAAGACGCGAGGCAACGTTGAATAGAGAAGCCCAAGTAGGTGGAGCTCGGTATTGTGGGTGAAACATGGCGGCTCCGTAGGTTCAGGAAGCCTTGTGTCTGTGAGGTGAAACTGCACGACAATGTGGCCAGATTTGGAGGACCAACTGAACCACCACGTAGTAGCACGGCAAAGAGCTTAAGAGAACGAAGTTCAGAAGGAGAAACTGGCGGTATAGATAGCAAACGCACTTGAGAGTTAACCAACCCAGCTTCCGCTGTCAAATGTCCATTGGAAATGCATTCGGACTAAATCATCGTGTTGTGAGGTCTTGAGGGTGTTGAGCCAGCCGATGACAAGGATACCCAAGGGGTAGCTCCGCGCGCCGTGTTGGATGTGTCTTGGTTCGTCAAGGCATGATGGTGGTCAAGAACAGCCATGACTATCGATCACGACCCTTGGTCAAGAACAGATATGTATGACCTGGCCGGCGTACGATCCAGTAGCGTTTTTTCGACGGGGAAGTAGGGTGTTGAAAGTACCGTATCCATGGTTCTCGAAAGAAGAGATCAGAGTTGTTGGTGGAGGCGTCGGAACAGGAACGGGCGGCATGAGGGCCCTACAAATTCACATTGGTGATAGTCGAGCGGCGGCGATGACGTCCGCCATCCAGACAAGGATGGGGTATCGCGAAAGCCAGGGGAGAGACGAGACGCGTGAGGGACGAGCTATGCGAGGAAGAGACAGGCGGGGGGGTCAATGGGTGAGGGTGAGTGAAACAATGCATTCGGGGTGGAGGCATGCTCGCGAGTTGATTCGAAGTCGTTGTCGTGGTTATCAGGAAGTCTTAGTCTAGACATGAAATCAGTGATTCGGATGATCCAAAGATGGGCCTAGGAAAACATAGAAGAGATCGGATTATCACGTGATGGCATTGATGAGGAAAGGCGTAACCGTGCGACTTTCACATGCTCACGCCGCCTCTCACACAATTGCTGCTGCCTACGACGTCTCACAGGACTCCATCGAGCTTTTTTGTGAACCATAGAATGTAAAACTGGCAAGAACAAGTTCGAACTCGGGGAGTTACTTGATGGTTCAGCAGGCAAGGATCAGAGTTAATAGAGGTCTGAACGAGTGACTTCGAATCGTTGCAGAGAAGCATTTCGAAGTTTATGATCCATTTCGATTTATCTGATGCCTGGTAGCTTTTAGATTGGGCCTGTTGAACCGTGATCGATTGATCTGCGCAAATGTTCTCGTTCATTGTTGTTCAATAGCAATGCCATTTTTGCCCCTCTTGACACTCTCGCTATGTCGACTCAATGAAACAATGGCCGCCCCTCTCCTTCATCCAACCTTGACAACTAATAGGTCTAGTTTCCGTCTTTTGACGTTGCCGAACCTTATCAGCACTAACGTTGAGTCGATCTTATACGTCGGCGGTGCCTCGTCTCCCCTCTTCGATGACCTTGAGAAATAGAGAACAATAACACAGAGATGTCGGGTCACATCGATCCTTTTCGTTCTTTTGGAAGTGATAGGGATAGAAAGGCTTCAAAAGCAGGTATATATTCTGGTGAGCATCACGCGGAATGTCACCAGTGTGGCAGTTGGATCATGGGCAGCCGGCGGGGTAAGTATTCTTAAAAAATTATACGCTGAGATACCTCCCCTGAAGTTTGAATTCCATGCTCAGCCCTGTACTGGTAATACCCCTAGAAGGTCTCGATGGTTTTCAGTGGAGCGTTTGCATGTGTTGAATCTGAGGACAACTAATAGATGGGCGGCTATTTATAGTATTACTTATACCTTCCATTCTCAGAGTCCATGCGCCGGCAGGTGCCAAAGTACTGTGCCATGGCAGTGGCTCGTCAAAGGCACCCTGTCTGTGCGTTCAAGTGCTGGTAACGGATTGGGTCTTCGACCTTTATAAGATGGCTTTTGTGGCAACTAGGGGCTCGAGTGGAAACGTGAGGACGTTAACCTGAGGTTGGGAATGGATTACTACATTGCCATTGATCTACAGTGCGTAAGGAGGGCGGTTGGACGGGAATCTTTTGTTGTGTGGGATGGCTTGTGATGGCTTGCTTTATTTGTCTGACAGCAATTGAGCAAAACAACTAAGTTTTGAAAGTCAACATCTACATGAATCCGATTATCCGAATCGTCTGAAAATCGTCCTCGAGGTACGGTTTCTCATGAAGTGGCTAATTTTCTTCTCTATATTCTTATGGTGTTGACGAACGTTCCCATTGCCAGATCCTCGCCGATTCCTCGGAACCGCCTCCAAGTTGCCTAGTTGAGTCGTTTGCGCTGCCTCAAGGTAAGTGGCCTTGCATGTCTTTCACTAAGCCTCATCTGTCGAGTCTGCACCTTTCCCTCTCTAAGGCTGTCCTACACCAAACAACTCGGCTTGGTGGTCGTGAGCCTCACACCTAGACGTTGTTCGGCGCCTATGATTTATCTGCCGTTTTCTCGTGAGCGTTGTACAAAAGTATGATTGTTTTATTCCTTCACTATTTTCTTAAAGCAGCTAACGTCAGGTGTCGATTGATAATGAATTGGACACGACTCGAGTTGCCCCGCGTACGTACCCTAAAATTAAATATTCTCACAGGGCAGTGTAAAATTGGAAATGTTGTGCAAATGACGAGAGAATCCGCAGAAAGGACAGACAGATGTCAATCTTACTGTCGCGGGTACCTGGAAACAATGAAATCTTGCCTCACGATCGTCAGTTTTTCCCAAATCGAGGTCGAGGCTGTCCGAAGCCAGCCCAAAGCAAGTAACATTATTAGTTCCTCCTCCCCTTACTTCTGACATTGCCGCGTAGATCATGAGAACACACATTCAATCATTACAACTATAGATATGGTAACAACCGCACAACATCAAGTTGAGGAAAACCCCAAATATCCGCCTCTTCCATCTCTATTACACCAAAGTTCCTCTAATCCACTCGACCATGAATTCCATTAGTCTACCTGATCCTTGCCTTACTGCTCAGACGATTCGTACTGGCCTCGTTGACCCAGATGTAGGAGGAATTGCAGTAGGAGTGTCCAGTATGTTCAGTGTCTTCGAAAAATGGGCGACTTCTCTGACGTATGTATAAACACAGATATGGCCATCAATATTTTTCTTCGTAAGTTACCCTCGCGGAACTTTCTAAACATATGCCACATCTCGAGATAATAGCGATCCTCCTACGCTGGTCAGAGCCTGAGGATGACCTCAAGACTTCGATCTTTATGCTTATATCGCAAGTCTATCCCATTCTCATCGCAACGGCGTCAAGCATTGGGAGCGAGAACCTCTCCTTGTTCGATGCTCATTATGCTGTCGCCGTTACTGCTTCACCGATAACAGTCTACCTTGTCTATTCTTCATTTCGAGACGTTTTCCGCCGTCCGAATACTCTTTTTAAGAAGCTGGCGTCGTCTAAGGCCGTTGTGCGGTACCTCGGCCTGATCCTACCCTTTCTCTGGCTGTTTGTGAGTCTCATGACGTCTTTCTACACAAAGGCCTTCAGCAATAGTCCACTCTGCCGGGGAATGACACTATCTCTGTGGACTGAGTTCCAACTCGCATCCAATTTTATCGGCGTCCTTAATGGGTAAGCGGGATTTAATAAACGACATCGAGGAAAGAGGAGGATTGGGAATGGTGTCGCTAGGCCTCTGGATATACGGAATCTATCTAGTTCGCCACAGATACGACATATTTTATGAATACCAAACCTGGCAAGATGAACTGCTAGGTCTCCCAACATGGAAGCGAATTTTCTTAACCGTCTGGCATGTACCGATGGCGTGTTGGTAGGTCATTTGATCTTAACACGCTCGATGGGATAACATGAGACCGCTAGGTCCATTATCACGCAGTCTCACCCGTGGATGCTTTTCCTCGTTGTTTTGTGTTTTCATTGGAGTTGGTCCCTTGGCATAGCCAGAGGGTTAACATTCGATGGTTATCAATTCAACTATGGCCAGGTAATAATGGTCCGATGATCATAACCGTCTGCGTTTAACCATATTGCAATTCTAGGTGACTTCAGTCTTCTCTATAATACCGCCCTTCCTTGCCGTCGGCGAATTACTCATCAAGCGATCGACCGATATATGCAATTACTTCAAGAGCCTGCCCCGGTATCTCTATACTGGTGTCCGATTTTTACTGACTGGGCGACCAAACTCCTGCAAACAAGATCTTTTGGAAACACGGCGCGCTTCCTGGTCACCCCTCCAATGGCTAGGTGGTAAGTCGAACACCAAACTGTGTGTGTGTCAAAGTTCAAGTCGTCAAACAGTCATCGTTGTGTGGCTCTCCGTTTCGTCACTTCAAGCCGCCTGGATTTTGGGATGTTCGTATCCGTCACGTCCGAACTGCGAATGACAAACTCTGACGCTCCTCGATTTCAGACGTGGAAGGAGGGTCAAAACCCAACCACCGTAATATAGTGACCGCCCACCACAAGTTGTGGAAACCATTTTCCATGTCGTATGTTCACCGCGCTCATCGCTCTACCCGCCCTGACACGGTCAATCAGTGTACGTCAGTGGAACTGGTGTGGACCAGTTACTTTGAGCTCGTAAGATGGTGGAAGACCCGTGAAATGACGACAGCGTCCCCAATGGACAAGTTACTATATGAGAAATTCATCAAGTATTTGAAGAGGACCTTCCATCTCACAATCGTCCTTCCCATTGCCTTCGCCATGTGCGCTGGCCCATTATTTGCCCCATTTGCTGGCCTGCCTCTCGCCCAACAGGTAAGACGAAATGTATTTACGCGAATACCCCTGCTAACGAATCACACTTATAGTACCAATGGACACACCTCTGTGGTGACTCTTTCGCGGGAGAAGCCATCATCCAATCTCCCTCACTCGGTTCTTCTCGACAGCCTTTCATGACATTCTATTACCCCGAAACCCCAGACTCAACAGCCAAAATCCACTACTTCGACTACGTAATGACGAACGACCCAAACGCATCAACCCAAACGCTCTCATTCGCCGGCGCAGCATCACAAGGGGTCGTTCCCGCCGACCTCCGACCAAACATCCAATCCGTATCAATCGCCTCCCCCGGAAAAAACAATGCCATCTCAGCGCAATGCGTAACCACAATAAACTCAACTTCAGTTCCCGTCCCATGCATGACAGGGACTTATCAAATTTCACCCTATCTCAACTTTTCACTCCAAGACTCTGGGAACACCACTTATCTTCGGGCGGTCGATAAAGAGTGGCAATTCATCGATGATGCCCCAAGCTTTGTCCTTCGATACTCCTCATCAGATCCACGCCAGCCACTGGGAAGTATAGCTATTGAGACCGCTGTCACGGAGCGCAACCGCTGTGAGGTCCTCAAAGTCTGCCTTGGCTCCAGGAAATTGGGTTTCGATATCCTGGCTCCCCTCGGTGTAGCGTTTATCTCTCAGAACAACTTCGCCGCCTACTGCACGCAGCCTCGAATTTATAACCTTTAAAGTTATCAATTTTGTTATATTTTCTTTCTTTCTCTCCATCTTTTGGGCTTTTTGTCGTATAGGGAATAAACTTGTATTTGTAGAACCTAAAAGCAGATTGTTAGATTGAATATTAACGCGGAAAGGATACCTGATTCGAGATTGAAAACGGCGAAGCTCCCAAACGCTTCAATTTGATGTGCGGCGAAGGGACCTCCGATACAACAAACAGCAATACAAGTTAAGGACTGATGAAGGGAATATATAAGACCTGCATCCTGGGGAAATAATCAATTTCGATACCTAGCCAAAACGACTGACCGCAGCACAAATCCTGGCGTCGAACAAAGGGCAAAGTGACGTGGCGCCGGCACTACAGCTCCTATTGCAGTATGTCAGTCCTACATATTTTAGCAGCGGGGGGAGTCACTCACCGGGTCCCCAGACTCCCCATTGTCCTTCAAGCTTCAAGGACAGCTGGAACCTCTCACACGGGTAAGAGAGGTCGTCGTCGTCGTTATCAGGAAGTCTAGACATGAAATCAGTGATTCGGATGATCCAAAGATGGCCCTAGGAAAACATACCAGATACAAAATAGAGGGTGGAATAGGGAAGTGAGGGACTGTAGAAGTGCATTGATAGCAAAAAGAAGGGAAGAAAACAGCTCGGTGCCGCTCAGCAAGCTGTCATCACAATGACAAAGCGGCATTCCTGATCGCATTTCGTACTCTTGTTCCGATCGTCCTTCAAAGCTCCCTGGCCTTCAAACAACTTCGGCGCAGCAATTGCCTCTCTTCCCGTCTCCTTGCAAACCTTGGTCCCTCCGGCTCCGCACGCCAATTCTTTTATACTCACGATAAAATTTCCCCGATGACGGAGTCAGTGCTCAAGACCTTCACGGGGACGTCACTCACGTACCTATTGGAAAGATCATTCGAGATTCTTTGCTTGTGCTCGCGTTGAATATCTATTCAATGCAACTTGGCAGCCTTACAACCAATATGAAAATTCGACGCTTTGCTTGGGTCATGACCCCCTACAAACTGCGACTTTTCCGAAAGGTTTTTCCAAGAACCGCCGAAAAGAAGGCGGATACATATTGCATGCGCTGGCCAGGAATAGGATTAACCCTTGAAGGGGCTATGGCGAAATTGATGAGTGGCGCAACGTCCAGGTGACCCTTGCTTTCTACATATAAAAGATGACTTTTCTAAGCCCACTGGCAGGACCTCAATCATCATGGGGGAGCCCACCGTCGTTGGCATCGCTCTCTCCAATTCTGCCCTCGACAAGCAGTTGCGCGCTTCCCGTGCTGCGTTGTATCCGAAGGAAGTGGTTGGGGTGATCGCTGGTCTGATTGCCGCCGTATCTCTGTTCCATGTTCTCAACCTTTTCTACATCTTTCTCACTCGCCCCGCCAAGCGAGGAGCTGTATCTCTGCAAAGGATTCCGCTTGCTGTGGCGGATGTAACCCGTTCTATCGGGTTTAGGTGGACGATCTCCTTCGGATTATCGTATTCTTTGAATCTGGTAGAGGTCGCCTTGACGGCGGCATACATATCTCTGCTCTTTGTGTTCGCATTGGTTAACAGTGAGTTTTTTCATCTTTATTCTTGATCGCTCAACTTAAAATCATGTCTCGTTAGCAACTTCAACCACTGGAATTAAATTTGAACCACATTATTTCGGAAACAGGGCTGGCGATATCGCAGCGTCGCAGATCCCCATTATTGTTGCTTTGGGTACCCGCAATAACATTATTTCATGTCAGTTGTACAACTTTTCCGTTCTATCTTTCTATCTCTTACGATGTCATGTTGTGTAGGGATTACTGGCATCAGCTACATCAAGGTACAAAAGAGTGTTTCAAAGTCACGGAGGAGAGCACTCTAACTATTTGTATCTAGTTGAGCTATCTCCACAGAATGACGGCTCGCGTCTTGTGTGTTATGGTTTGGCTTCACGCTCTTGGCAAGGTAAGTTTTTCACGCAAAATAGCACCTTGTTGACTTATCCTCTATGTAGATGAAAACGGGTGCCCCAGCTACCTTGCCGTTGGTCCGTGTAGGCTTGTTTGCCCTCAGCTCCCTCGCGCTATTAAGCATCGTTAGTATTCGCCCTGTGCGTGAGCGTGCTTATCAATTCTTTTTCGTCGTACACTGCGTCCTCGTCTTGTGAGTATCTATCCTCTTCTGGGGATGTTGGCTTCCGACTCACTAGCGAACGAAAAGGATGTTTCTCGTTGCTACATATGTTCACCTGAAGGATATTCAGTAAGTGCCAAATTTCTTTAGGGGTATGCCAACTAATAAATAAATCTTATTAATCAGTATGGCCTACTATGGAATCTTACCCGCAATGATACTTTGGGGTTTAGATCGTTTCATGCATTTTGCGCGCATCATTATATTCAATTTCGGTTACTTCAAACCAACACCTTCAACGTCGGAAGACTATGATGCGTCCGTTGATGTTCTCTCTCCTCAATTTCTCCGTATCACCCTTCGCCGACCAAGTCATTTTCGCTGGGCAGCCGGTCAATGCAGCTATCTCTCGTTCCCCGGAGTCTCGTCCTGGCCGTTTGAGGCCCACCCTTTCACGATATCGACGACTTATGGCCCTGATCCTTCTCCATCTGGGAACAAGCTCATTTTTTATGCTCGGGTGCATGACGGCTTCACACGAAAGTTGCGGGACAGAGCAACAGAGGGGGAAAAGTTCCGAGTGTTTTTGGATGGTCCGTATGATTCTCCCCCTGCACTTGTTGGGTACTCTACTTCTATCCTCATTGCTGGTACGATTAACCTTTTTGACACACTCAATTATTTGGCTAACCTATTCAAGGGGGTTCTGGAATTGCATTCATACTTCCTCTCCTTATCGATTTGATTGGGTGAGTCCTCTCTTCAAAGGCTCCCATTTCCTGTCTAAGCACAAATCAAAGTCAAGCAAGGCGTGGAGAAACGACGTGCCGACGGGTTGTCTTTGTATGGTCGATCCGGGAATCAGGTATGTCAGCACCCCAAATACGTGTTTTCAACGCTAACCATCGGAAAAAGAAAATATACACTGGATCAAAGACTCCCTCAGCCAATGCTTACATGGTTTTGTCCCAGGATTATCCGTCGACGTCCAAATCTATATCACTGGGAAGTACGCCGAAGGGCTTTTTCCTGTCGATAGTATCGCAGAGAAAATCGAATTTTCGGGGTCATATTCTTATGGATTCTCTGTTCCTGGCGTATCAGTTGGGATTGGCAGGCCAGACCTCCAAACCCTATTGGGAGAAGAGGTTCAAGAGGCCTCCGGACCAGTTTCCGTCAACGGTGCGCCATCAGCTGTTTCATGGTTCAATAATTTCAGCTTATTTTTTACAAGTGTGTGGTGGCCGGTCCTTAGCAGAAGCGGTGATGAAAGCTGTTCGCTACCCGCGGCCTATGGATATTTTGAGAGGTGGCCATACCGTATCATTATTTGTTGATGGATCATTTTAGAGAAATGATCATCCCCGATTCTCGCAGTCATTGTGGGTTGTGCTTTTCAACCTACGCTCATCAGAAATTGCGATCATCTCACAGAAACACTTTTCAATTCCTCATAGATCATCTATCTCGAAAGCTTGTATCAAATTTTGTATATTGTGTAGTATCGATTGTAGCATCAATGTGGGCAGTGCCCCCTTTTCCTCGAAAAACGCAGTCCTCTTGATATCCATCTGCATCTAAAAGTGTTGACGTTGAAATTATGTGAAGCTTCAGATGGCTAACTTTCACCTGACCTCGGAGAACGAGGGGAAGGCAAGTATTTCGCGAAGCGCGGCCTGGGTGTCTTTCGCGATGTTGATCAAAAACGCCCTCATGACCGAACTGGTGGTAGCCCAAAATTTACCATCTTGACTGGTCATCGCTAAAAATACACGGTAATGCACGGTAGGCATGACGGTGCATGGCAGTGCATGGTAGCTCCCCCGCACTGTTGGTTGTGCACGGCTATGCACGGCACTGCACGGCTTTTTCTAATGGCCAGACTGCTGGGCGATCAGAAGTGCTTCTCGATATACCTGAGAAAAATTGTAACAACCATTTACAACCCAAGACCCTGCGAGTCACGAAATACATATCGCTATTGGACCAGTAACCTCTTTCCTTAAAAAATCGATTAACCGAACACCAAATATTTAAAACATATACCTCGCGAAAGCTGTATATTAATTCTCGAAATAACCCACCCCAGGAACCTCAGCTTCGACGTTCAACCGTCAAACTCAACCGAACAACGCCAAAGCTATTGTGGTCAATAGGTCAATCTCTTTGGTCCTGAAGTTATCAAAAGTAACGTTAACGGCGGGGGCGGGATCGACGAAGGTGAACAAAGGGTGAGCGACGGCTGAGGATTCCCAGCGAGGCCAATTGATTTTAGACAGTAAGCTTTTCGTGTTCTTGGTGTTCGGGTTGAGTGTGTTCGCGAAATTGACTTCAAAGGAATCAACATCGGAGTGTAAAGAGTCGAGAAGGCGCTCACTCATCGCATCCATGCCGATTAAATCTGGTTGTGTACCAGTGCCATAGAATTCTGCAAGATCAGACGCATGAGCCGCGCCTAGGTACGGTGTAGCCTTTCCGCGCTTGTATGCTGAACATCCCATGTGTTAGTTGACTCGATTATGGGAAGGAAACAGACTTGCAAAATGAAAATGTGGGTTGGGTTTTAGACGCTATTTTGAAAAAGAATCTTCGAGGTGCCTGGAAGAATAGGTCTGTTTGTATGGCAGCGATGCGTTTAAATTGAGGGCTGAAAAAATTATAAGCAAGAACGTTCAATGCGAATGAAAAAGTACGAACGTGAGCGCATTTGCTGTTCCTGTGTCGAATGGAGCTCCCTAAGATAAGGTTGAAAAAAATGGTTATAAGTCTAATAACGTGTTCCGTAAGCGTACCTGAGTTGGGTCTTCAGGATAGGCTTTAGCAAGGGCAGCCAATTGGTCGTCAGAAATTCCGGGAAGGTAACTATGCTCGAAATTTACGGCAATGGTACTCTCATGAACATAATGATCTTACTTGGACTTCAAATAGCCAAGGTATTCGTCGTTCGTCCTGTGGATCGCTAAGAAAGGTATGAGATCTGGGGAAGAGTAATGGACGCACGTTATATTCATATTGGCGAACGCGAAGAGCCTGAAGAGAACCGAGTTACGAAGAGACGGCTTCAAAGTGAATACACCTACGTTCCCTCGTCATCGCAATCACCATTTACGAATGGTACCTGTATTATAAAATCAATCTTTCCCATTCGTAAATCATCAATTTCAATCACTTACCTTTGCATACAGGCCCTCAAGCAGAGATTGTTGAGGAGCACGCTTGAAAAACTGCCCGTCAATAGAAGGTCCCCACGGAAGTGTCATGCTTATATAAGAGAATGAACTAGGAGATTTGTTGATAGCGTCCCCGAGTGTATCAAATGGGACGGTGCGTAGGCAGGCTATAGGGTCTGCAGCACCCCTACATCCCGCGTCTACTACGAGCTGGTCAAAGTACTTCTGGTTGGCGGTAATGTCTCTCAGAAAGGAGGGAGAGCCTGACTCCTGTGGGCCAATTAACGTTTAACACTCGACTCGCTCCATGTGAGATTGAGAGCGATACCATGAATGAACCGCGGAAAAGGCCTTGCGCATTCCCGTCATTAGCGAGAAAGTGGAAGCTCGCAGACATAGCCCCTGCGCTCTCCCCCCAGCTTTTGGAAGTGGATCAGCATTTGAAGATTCATGGAAACTCTGCAACATACGTCATCACTTTTTGCGGGTCTCCTCCAAACGCACAAATGTACTTCTGAAGCCACCGAAGAGCAAATTGTTCTAACGGGGAAGAACGTGAAACAAAGTTTTCTTAAAGAGTGAACACACTTACGGTCTCTGAGACCAATATTTCCTAGCCCCGCGTTCCTGGCTTCTTTACCTTGCAAAAATCCGAAAGCTTCATCGTACAAAGTGTGAATGGTTGACAATTCATGAGAAAGAATAAGACTCACCACTAAGACGGTAGTTCGATGATACGTAGATCACTGGTTCTCCCAACGCAACTGAGCGAGCCACGATCACATCACCCGGGTATGAAGCACTATCTCCCGCCTGAAAAGCCCCTGGAAGATGTTCAATTCAATACAATGGGGTTCAGGGACGAGACACTTGCCGCCATAAATCCACTGATAAATACATGTTAGACTCGAGAGAAAAGTGAGAACTGGCAGCGTACAAAAACAACTGGGAGCTTCTTTCCCTCAGGGATGTTCGCCGGCTTGAACACGTTGATGAAGAGACCTAAATGCAATAAGTTATTATGACGTGAAGATGTGCGAAAGGCAGGGCTAACAATCTTCAGAAACTGAAGCAGGTGTCGGCACAGGGGACGTTATACCAAGGGAAGCCAAGTCCTCTGCGCTTACGCCTAGTGACTGTTGAAAACATGCCGCTCCGAAGGAAGTCGCCTGACGAACGCCCTTGAACGGAATTGGTGCATTAGGTAGCGCAAAACGGAGTTTTCCGACACTTTATAAAAGGGCGTGAGAGATCGGTACCGAGAACGAGTGGAATCACATACGGCGGTGCAGCGAACGGAATCCCCAAAAATTTCACCGAGTCTCCCGTTAAATTTCCCTGGAACGAACCATAGTCCAAAGCAACAATCGGACCTTGGGAGGCCTCGGTAAGCTGGGACGAGGAAATGAAAAACAAGATATATGGCAGAATCCTGGTGAGCCCGATCATGACGAAGCCCATTTGAAGTCAATAGCAGGCTGACGAAACGTCAACCAGGTGTACAATTTATAGCTGAAGGATATTGACTTATTCTGGGCACTGATCCCGTCATTTTGAAGTTAACGTCATACCGGCTCTGACCTTCCGTAGGCGCCAACCAATAGATTGAGATTCAAATTTCCTTCTGAAAAAGATGCCAGATGGACGCATGATGATGGCACCGGAGAGCGGCCTCGGCGGACCTGAGAAGAACCTGAATGTGAGACAAATTGATGATATCTGGAAACAAAACTTACAAACCACTAATTACGGTGGTAGTAAAATGTCGGGTTCCGAGTCAGAAAACCTCAACAAGTGAAGGGAAAGTCACGAGACAGCTGCGCAATTTCAACGCCCGTAAGCCAACCTCAAAGAATGCAGATATTGTCTTCAGCTGCGCCGGCCCTGTATCGAATATCTCCATTGCAACTCCCAATGGGTCGAGTACCCGGTGCATGATGCGGACGAGTTGAAAGGGTTAATTTCCCCTTAACGTGATGGTAGAATTGATGCGGTTGCGGGTGGGGGTTTCATTCGAAGTTCAAATTCCTATACCAGACCCTGATGGAGATACTGTCTTCGATTCAGCGCTCTGCGGGATGACACAGAGATGTTGATTGAAGGTACCAGCGAGCAATTTCAATAGATTACTGTGACGCTCTTGATCCAATGAGCAATAAGCGACGCACTATCTCAGATTTTCAGGTCATCAAGAAAGAAGACGGAAAACACACCTTAAGCACACACTGGTACAGACAACAAACGATCCTGGCGCCCCGAACACCAGGGCGGGAGGTAGGCATCAACCAGAAATTCTCGAAGCGGGCGTCCTCATGTAGACCGTGCAAATTTCCCCAGCCATTGGCAAGACTTGTGACTTCGAGGTGGATTCGGGGCTACAGTAAGTTAAGGATTTGGACAGTTGGGGCCTGCCGCGGCCCGTCGATCTACCCAATCAAGATAAGATCAATAATATAGGTAGGAGTAATTGGAGCGCCTAAAATTGCGTCTTCTCCGAAAAAGGGAGACGATGTGCGCGTAACCGGACAACTGACTTCAGTGTGGGAGATTTGTTAGCGCGTATCAGGGGAGTTTGCTACCGAACGACATGGTCAAATGGATGCGCACCGATGCCTCTCTCGACCATCGCATCTAGTCATACTCCACAGGTACCAGCCACCTCGCGCTCAGTCAGGTTGAGTCTCCAGCGCCAAACTATACAAAAAGTCACCTTGGGATCGGCTTATACTACATAAAACATGGAACAACGTCTAGAAGGGTGCCTAGGGTCCGAGAGTTAGTCCGATATGTTGCCCCTGGAAATACTATACGCGACTCCATTGAGTGTATGCACTTATGACGGAGTAAAAGGACTCACAGATACCGCGCATATATGTACGATCTCTCAAAACGCAGTTATCCTCGATCTTGGCAGTTTGCCATAGAAAGCCTTTGATGAACGAGGAATCTCTGTGAGCGTGTATCAGAAAGCAAAATACAAAAAATCACACCTGATCTCAGTAAACGCCATTCCTAAACATAGGAAGACCACTGGAGAGCAAAGGAGAAACAGAGCGTCGAGTAGAGGTGGTAGTGGGAGAAAACAGGAAGAGAGGTATGGAAAGGGGCGCAACTAATGCCGTAGCTCAAGGGTTGAAGTTGCCCTATCCGAGGAATGGCATTGGTTGTAGCATTTAAGAAAAGTTTAAGAAACGCACCATCCAGATCGTGTGTAGAGGTAGCTCCCTGATCAACGGTTCACGAAGGGACCGCAGCGAAGAAGAAGATGTGAGGGTGGAAGGGGGGATAGGTTTTCTGATACTCGGTACAGGTGATGAGCAAAGTTGTTGGCTACTCGGGAAATGAACAACGATTGCATGTTGGATGGCCAAAGAATTAGGATGGCATGGGGACGATTCACGAATCAAAAGGACACGGCAGAGTCGCCGCCAGAGGTCGAGGGTCGACCAACGTTGGACGTATTTCTGATGATGAGCCTCAGCTTCAAAACTGGGGATAAGATCCCTCGAAAGCTGCACCATGGGCTGAGGCCTCTTGAATTCGTACTCGGAAGGCCTAAACTCAATCGAATTCATGGGGCGAATGCTCTGCGGGAGAAAGCTCAGCGAAGGCGCGAAGGTCAACACGGACATCAAACACACTGGAAACCATTTGATGAAGTCCAACCTTAGACTCGGAGCCATCGAGGATTCAAATTCCGTGGCTGATGTGGTGGAAATTCCAAGAGAGCGGGCCTGAGCGTTTGGGACAAGTTTGCCATCAACGAAGATTCAACGTTCAACGTTCAACGTCGACTACGACATCGACAAGCAACCTGCCACCGACACGGCCAAAAAAATTAGAAATGAGTAGAATCACGTGTGACGTCGATAGGTTGCCATAGGCCGGCAATGTCCGACCACTCTTCTCTGACTACTTCGTGCAGCGTGCTACGTTCAAAATCAATCAAAGCTTGTCTAGATGATGCCTCCAGCCTTGCCGAACCTTTCAAGTTTGGACGATCACATACTAGCCCACTGCATGCCTGTCGGCATCAAGAATGCCCCACCACCACTGGGATTCAACGTTCCATTCATCGTCTGGGCGAGAGCTCGCCTCTTGTCGTCCCACGACTTGAGCGCCTTCAGGAGCTGCAGGATCTTGTCCCTCTTTCCTTGTCGGATATCGTTGATGCTCACGCTCCCCATCGTCACGTCATTGTCGAGCAAAAAGTCGAATAGAAGAAAGAGGCCGTCGAGCTTGTCGTCCGTGGGACCAACTGGGAAAGCAGAATCAGGAACGGGGGGCGAAGACGGCCTGCCTTTGATATATTCTGCAAGACGCAGAAGCGCAAGACCACCAAAGAAAGAAACGGTGGGGTCCTCGACTTGTAGAGAAGCAGAGAGATGGGAGTTGGCCCATTCCACCAAGGCGTTATCAGCTGGGCTGAGCTGCTTCAACAAAAGAATGAGCACAACCATGTATATGACGGCCGATAACACGCACCGCTGAGCGTACAGAATTGGCTCTACGCATCCCCCTCGACGGTATCGAGGGAGCAGACTTTGGGGACTTTGGGACAGTTTCATCGTTTTCTATAGCCGTATGTTCAGCAAAGAAAGAATTCAAGTGAGTTTGGCCGCTACCCATGTGAGAAGAAAGCCCCATAAGTACACGAGCGTCACGACTTGACAGCTGGTTGGGATTTTCACGTCGGAGTGCTCTTTGAGTAGCATCGCGAGCAGTTGGAGATGGCGGGCGTGGAGCGGGATTCATGGCTTGTGCGACGACCAGAGGAATCGTTGGGATCTTGCACGATGAAATGACTGGTTCTATAGAATGAATAAAGTCAACAAAATCAAAAACGAGGGATCTCTGAAACAACACACTCGCGTAATCTCGACCAATTGTAGCCTTTATGATCGCCTTCATCCACTCGCGAATGATAGACTTCTCATCAGAACTGAAGAAATGCGGTTTGTCTGCGTCATGGTCAATTCTGAATCCATAACGACCAGGATCCAAAGTCTCGTCCACGGTCACTTTGTACCCCATAATGTCGAGGTATCCCTTTAGCCGAGTTTCCTAAAACATGAAATCAGCTCAACTCCATCTAAGAAATGAACGTCAAGAACACCCACCGAAACGCTAGAACTCTTCAACCAATACAAATGCCGACCCTTCAACACAAAATACCGCAGTTTCCACGAATTATGCCGATCGCTCTTCTTGCGCATCCACCCAACGTGATCAGACTCTCCAATCTGTCCAAGAATACTCTGCCCCTGCGTAACACCGCCTCCAACTCCAATCAAACTCTTTCCGTCCACCGACGACCCATTACTCTGCTGAACAGAAGAAACGCCACGTTTCCTCAAAGTCGATCGCTCAATATCAGCAGCAACTTTCTCGTTCCTCTCTTCCTCCTTTCGCCCTTTCTCGTGGCGGTCCTTGAAAGAAGACTGTGGTTCTTTCAATTTCTCCTTTGGCGATCCGGTGGGCGTAGACGGTCGTTGAGAGTGAGTAGATGACGATTTGCACATCCCCTTGGGAAGACCGAACATCGATGACTTCTCAGCGTGATACTCGTGCTCGCCGGCGCTTGGAGGTGGCTTTCTACTCTTCCCAGCGAATGGCACTGCGAACAAGCTCAACGTGTTACCAGGCTTACCGCCATCCGTGTCCTTTCGCACGCGAGCTTGCTTTACTGACCCGTTTGTCAAGGAGGTAGTGTTTTTATCCTCATGGCTATGAGTAGGCGCTCCTGGTGAAGAGATACCAATAGAGTGCTTAGGTGATGAATGGCCACCTGATGTAGTCGAGTCGTGCGAGCGACTATTTAGGCGCCGCCGACGCATGCTCTGTGGAGGAACTTCAACTTCTCCCTACAATAAAATAAAGAAGCAATTGTCATCTCCGGAATCAAGATAACACTAGAAGCAGCACAAACCTCACCCATATGCCCACGATCCTCATCTTCATTTTGTTCAGGCTGCAAAATGATTTTCTCCTTCAGCGCACCATCACTAGGCGAAAGTGTCAACTGTGACGGACGGCCCTTCTTCAAACCACCATTAGCATCCAGCAAAAACTACATCAACCGCAGAAACGCAACATACCGTGCTCTTGCCCTGAACGTCTTCAAAAGTCAACGCAGTCGGAACACCCTCATCCACAACAGGCGGAATCTCAAGCCCATTCCAGTGCGAGTATATATCACCAGAGGACGACCCACCCTCAGCAACTGCAGGTCCAAAGTGCCCCGGCCCACCAAAGCTAAATTGGGGTAGCATCCCAGCGCCATACGCAATTGGGCTCCCAAGCGAGCTCTGTACGCTCTGCGAGGAATCATGCCCCGACGTCCCCGAGGAGGAATGGTGAGTGTGACTTTGGCTGGAATGTACGCGTGGTGGAGCGTCGGAGGCGTTGTACATGGGTGACGAGCGAGACGGCATCTCCGTCATTGGATGGTCAGAGTAGACTATGGAGGGGGGTCCGAGACGCAGGTCAGTTATGGCGTTTGCGATGCGCGTGCGTTTCCCAAACGCCATTACTCCGATTTCAGTCTTGAGTAGGTTGACGTCCAGTTCGAGGAGAACGTCGCCTGTTATTTCTTGTTCTATAATTTGACCCCGTCTTTATGAGATATCGTGGTATATTTGTGGATAAGTGGGGCTCACCAATAAATTTGTCACAGATAGCTTGGTCAAATTCCTTATTTTTCAACCACTCCACGACTTCTTCGACTGTCCACTCGCTAGGGTACTTCTTCCCTACCTCCTTTTCCTCCACTACAGGTTGATAAGCAGGAGCAAGAGCAACACTCGGTGCATTGCTCGAGAACGAGGACATAACGCTGTTGTGTTTTGATAGTGAAGCAGCAGTTGGGTCCGTTGCTGCTGGAGAGGGTAACCCGAATAACGGCAACTCACGAATGCTACTGGGTTTCTGCTTGTCCGGTGCAGAGATGGGATGGGTGTAATAGCGAACCGTTCCCTCACAGCCGATGGTAACCTGGCAGGAGAGGGGATCTTTTCGTCCAAAAGAGGCGGCAAATTCGATGGAGGAGGTGACTGGAAGACGGGGAATGATGTCTTTGTAGCGGTTTGCGCCTCCAACTCGTCCTTCTCTTGCAGATGGTCCCCAGAATCAGAGGATAAATGAGTGATCGTCGTAGCCGCGTCCATCGACAAATCCTGGGCATGGCCACCCTTGCTAGCCTCGCCATTCTCGACCTCCTCGACCTCTTCCAGGATGTAAGGTTTTTCCCTCTGGACCTTGCTTGACCGGGATGTAAAATCCATCCGATCGAAAGGGCCCCCTTCGTCGTCGCCCTCGTCGCTCCACTCAGCCTCAATCGGAGGGGCACTGACCATCCTTCCAGTACCGCTAGACGACCCAATAATGCCAGTCATGATCGCTTCAGCCTCCTCCACCGCCCTCCTTGCCTTCTCAGCCAGTTTCGTCCGCGCGCCTTTATGCCAATCCTGCGCGCCGTTCACATCGTTTGCACGTTCCGTATCGCTCATCTCAAAGTCCGTCTCGTCCGTCTCCGTGTCCCCGCCATGTGAGCTTGCAAATGTGAAACCTCCCTCCCCATCCGCGCCCCCCCTTGCAAGCTGCTCAATAGTTCTCTGCACATCTGTCATTCTAAGTTCGTCTCCGTTGCCCCGCAGATCTCCGTTATCTGGGACTTCCACATAGCCTTCGTCATCGTGATGCCCACTTAGGAACGTTGGTGTGAGTTTTTTGGGTTGTGGAGAGGCGATGGTGGTGATTTCCGGCTCTCCGGTGGGGGCGGATGAAGTCTCAGCACTAGCGGATGGGGTCGATTGAGGCGCTGGGACCTCGGTAGATGGGGCAGCTGGAGCGGTATAGCTTTTTGGGAAGAGGCCGACCTTTCCTTTGAGATTTCGTCCCTATGAGAAGATGAGAATGTCATCAATTGTTTTCATTGAGAGGGAAAGGCGTATCCAACTGTCCCCAGTGGATGTCTCGGCGCCTAGGTCTAGATAAAAAGATACACACCTGCCACCAGCCATCACCGTACATGTCGTCCTTCTCGATGACCTCTATCCGGTCTCCAGCTCGAAAGGAAACTTCATCCTCGTTCTCTGGCAGGAAATCATGTAAAGCATATACGTAGTCTGGCATCACTCCTGAATAGTGTATCCCTGTCAAAATTAGTTTGGAATCGTTGAGAAGGGATACGCAACCCTAATAAAAAAATGATGCGACCATGGGTCGTATGTCTTTCTCCATTGAACAATGTGATTCGTTTGTCCGAGATGATGCGAGACGATCAGGCATTTGTATGTCAGAGGCCGGGCATACTAGATCAATCCCGTCTTTGGGTTTTGCTAGGGTCAGAATAATACGGACTTGCCTCGGGACACCGTCGACGGTTGTCGTCGCTCGTGCACATCAACACGTCATTTGTCCAAAATGGGTGAATCATGTTTGGAATGGGGGGTACTGCTTAACAAGGTAGCGATCCTGGACCCTCCTCCGCTTTCTTCAAGGTGACGACGTCTGTTTCCGTATTCGTTCATAACTTGCCCGGGTTGATTCAATCAGACCTCCATGTTCTGCAGGGTTCAACATGACGACGATGCCTTTCGCCAGGAGCACCACCATTGCTACATCCACGACCCATCGAATGCCCTATCTCTCGTCTTTCCGCAGAGAGCCGAACGCCGGCCCTCCAGTCCCACCTGAATGCGATGAACAACCCTGTTCAATGAGCCTAAGGATGGGGAGGACGAGCTGAAGGACAAGGGGAAGAAGAATGCGGTCGAGTCAGTACTCGCCCATGACGGTAGTGGCGCTTTTCCTTTCACCCGACGTATTCTACCCTTTCCCTGAACCTAGTGTTTTATTCTGGTGCGCTGAAAGTGGCTTTCCAAACGCGAAGTTGTGACATCCTCCGAAAGCCCGCAATGCTGAAGCATGTCTGCCATCCTCGTCATCATGCCCCGAAGCCAAGCTCCCTGCGACAAAGCCATCACATGGCAGTCGAGACATCCAACCTACCGACGAAGAGGCATGCATTCCATGACGTCAACCCAGATTCCGAGAACGAACCTGATGACAAGTTGTTGCTAAGATGATGACGGTCGAGAGCAAGGTTGGCCTTGATCAAAGAAAACGTTTGTCTTGTACCATCACCACCACCGTTCATGAGTCGAGAATCGTAGCAACGACTAGGCGGATCGAGTTCCGCAAGGAGGTATGTATCTGGTTTCTCTGATGTCAGTAATCAAGTTGACCCTTATGTTGAACTAGACGAGCAACGACTTAGCACCTAAAGTCCACGCAACATATCAAAAATCAGCGTGTGTGATCACTCTGAAGGCGCTACGCGTTCGAAATGTCATTCAGAAAGAAGAATGAAGGATATGGGGGATATTGTGAAGGTGTGTAGTCCCCAGCCCGTCGTCGCCAACTTGAACTAATAATTCTTATTGAAGGCGCTAATTCGACACAGCATCGTAGTTCTTGACGCTTTTTAAGACTTTGTGGCATTTGTCCCTCGTCATTGGCGAACTTTGTGCCCGTAACATCGAACAACCAGCGACGCTTTTCGCCCTTCGTGCAGCCTTTCTCGGAGCCGGTATTCGACTTGGTACGTTGACTGCGTTTACCACTCACATGTCGTTTGACCCCGTTTTTCTCTAAGGTCTGATTCGGATTGACGCCGTCTGTTTTGCTGCACGGCCGATGTGTGGAGCAAGTGTGGGTCTGATCTACGACACAGTGTCGTAGATCTATCTGCCTTTTCCCCTTTTAGGGAGTGTGACGATCTATACTTATCCTCGCCGCAAAGCGATAGATCCCGAGATAGTCAGGAAGACCTGGGATGGAGTGCCCCACGATGAGCAGGGGCTGCCAGATAACTGGATCTCTGAGTCCGGGGTTTTAGTGGGTATGAGAGGGCGCAACTGATAGCTTCGGCTGCGGCCGCTCTGAGTCCCACACTTCTGAGAAAGCGTGCGTACCCGCATTTCCGCAATCAAACTTTCCGTTGTCAAAGTTGCGAGTGATCGCACTTGCTTCAGTCTACTTCTCGTGACTAAAAGTACCCTAATGGCATTAACTGACTGCGCCTCTTGGCCAAGCTCAAGGGTGTGCTTCTGATGTGCCGTTAATCAGATTTAGGGCGAAGCTTGGCACTCCCACTGCAGGCACGAACTTATTGGTCCCTCAGCCCCCAAAACCTGGTTGGAATTAAGAGTGCCGCAGCACAGTTCTTTCCCTCCCTTCTGTCATATCGATATGCTTCGTCTTTCTCTTCTTTTGCTGCTCGCATCGAGTTGTAAGGTTGCCACCGCGGTATTGAGGGCTTTTCTTAACTTGGTGTCATTCCCAGAGTCATTTACGCTTCCGACAGGCTGAGACTACGAGCGATCAACAATGCGGTACTGTCCGTGCTGGAAACACCTGACTTCTCATCGTCTATGACCAATGCGCTTTTCCTTCAGACGATGTGCATCACTGCAAATGCCAACAGCACCACTGTGGAATGTCAATAGGAGGCGTTCCACCCCATGGATAAACAGCTGCCTACTTAACACACCTCACAGATATTTTAACAAGCCGAGGGAAAGAGACCCTTGGTTGGATGGGAATGTCAGTTCATAGTCCTTACTGCGATTTTGTTTTAGAACGCTTCGCAGGGGCTTCGGTAGCCAAATGGCTAACACACCCATGGTCATTATGTGGTCTAACAGCGATGGGACTATAACTCTCTCTCAACGCCAAGCTCAGCGAGAGGTCATGCCAACCGTGGTCGCAAGTCCCCCTCGTGTAGCTACTTTAAACGATTCTCTCAGCATTGTGGGTGGTCAAATCGGTTTATCCCACATTTTCTCATTATCGATAAATAGACCTCAGGATCCACACCACAACTTGCTTACACCATCCCCGTACGTGATGCACTTACGAAAATTCGGAACCAACTCATTTCTCGTCTTGAAGGCTAACAGCGACCAGAAGCAGAGCGTTATTTACGCTTTTGGAACTCAAAACCCAGGTTCATCAGCGAAAGACGCAACACTGGTGCAGCATGTTGATTATGGCGTACTTCAGTTAGACTTGACCAAGTCGTCGTCGACGTCAAATGGAAGCACAGGGGGGACCTCATCCTCCGGGGGGAGCACCTCGTCTGAGGCTACCCCATTGATGCCTTATCAGCGAATGATTGTTGCTCACGCAACCTTCTGTTCTGTCGGTTTCCTGTTGTTTTTGCCCGCTGGGGCTCTTTTGGCGAGGTATTCAAGAACATTCACAAGCGTGTGGTTTAAAGGACATTGGATTGCACAATTCGCGTTGGGCAAGTTTATCCCTCCCATTTTTCTGCTGTGCAGGATCCAACTATGTTTTGACAGCGGGTCCGTCTATTGTCATTGGAATCGCTCTGGGCATTCAGTCTGTTGCAGAAGCAGGTGCCACGCATCTAAACGATAGTCACAAAGTATATTTTTATCCCCCCTCTGCGGCGAATATCTTATCTCGTCGAATCAGAAATACGGCGTTGCGATCTTTATTCTTTACCTTCTCCAATGCGGAGTGGGTGCAATCATTCATTGGGTCAAGGCCAGTGATCGTACCCGTAGACCTTTCCAGAATTATTTCCACGCAACCTTTGGGCTGCTCATCATCGCCCTTGCGTTTTATCAAGTTCACTCGGGATATAAAGTTGAATGGCCCAAGGCGACAGGACGTGGTGAACTCTCCAATGGTGTCAACGTCTTCTTCTTCGTCTGGTTAGCGGTGAGTCATTTGCGCACTCATTTGAGTGCCTTTTGACAATTCTGTTCTCTAGGTGGTGCCTGTAGCATATTTTGTTGGATTGAGTTTCTTACCGAAACAATTTAGGCAAGAGAGAACGTCGGTCGTCTCACGTGGTGACGGTGACCTCAAACTAGTTCAAATGGGGTACAAAAATCGCCAGTGAGGAAGAATTAATTGGAATCAATTTGTAACTCGCTACTACTTGGCTACTACATACGCGCTGTCATGTGACTGTTTCGCTACCCCTATGAACAAGCTGCGTTACATACAAAAATCTTTAAAAAGTGCTTATTGGATAACAAATAGACGGAAGCCTCGTTTCAGATCCAACTCTCGCAGAAGGCAAGGCCGTGAAGAGGACGAAAACGAACACAAGTTGACCTTCTGCCCAGCGGTCTGCCCATGCCTAATCTCCTCCCCCCTGACTTTCAATGCGGCCCTATTCACTGATGAGTCCCACCCCGTTGCAGTTTCGATACCCACGTCGTCTCCACTCCATCCCTTCATGAAAAGCCATGTCATTCGAAAAAGCCAGTCGTTTCACGCCGTCGTGATTCGTAAATGATTGCCAACCCCTTCTCTTATATCCGTCAGGCAACGACATAGTGACTGAGCTTTTCGATGTCGACCTCTTGGATTTGGTTCGGATCGTTTTGACAAGAAAAATTGGATTTGGAGTCATCCTGGTGAGGACTATAATTCGCTTGTTGTTCTGCCGTGGGGTTTTTAGAGGAAAGTTTTGGCAGCTCATGCATTTCGGCCTTCACGACAAATGACTTTCGCTTCTTCAACTCTTCCAAAAAGAATGTTTTGTCTGTGACGTCCCGGCGAATTTCAATATAATCCGTGGCGAACTCTCCAATCTGTGTTGTCATGTGAGGGAGACTTTTGGTTACGGTGCGACATTTGGCGTACCTCGACTTCATCCATACCAAGAATCTCGTCTTGTTTCGTACACCGCAGGCTCAGACCGGGAATGGCGTCCACGGTCTTGGCTATAAGGGCGGTGAAGACGAAAGTGTAGGCGGACGTAGCACATATGTAAGCAAATTGTTTATACAGCTGCTTTACCCATTCGTCGGGAACGGCGGTGGTCACGCCGTCCATTGCCATGATCGTTGAAGAGGCGAAGAAAGAGTTGAACAGGAGTCCAATAATTCCACCTATGGCGTGTTCAGCGAAAAGGTCCAATGCGTCATCGACATGGAACAGAAATTTCACTGTAATATGTAAGAACCATGATGCTGACCCCGGCTACTAAAACTTACATTTCGTTGCAAAATTACACAAAACTCCAGATACGACGCCGACGATGACAGACGCCCATGGATGCAGATAACCCGAAGACGGGGTTGCTGCCACCAGACCGGCAATAGTTCCAGAGCAAAGGCCCACCATACTCCAGCGCCGGTTGATTCGGTAATCCAGCAAACACCAGACGATCCCTCCAAAGGCGGCGGCTATCATCGAATTCCAAACTGCGAAAATGGCGCGGAGGTTTGCTCCGAAGGCGCTACCTCCGTTGAAGCCGATCCACCCAAACCATAGCAACGAAGCTATGCGCAGTCAGCCGAATATCACACATAAAATAGTTCAAACGACGCACTGCCAAGTCCAACCAACGAAACGTTATGAGGTCGGAAATTGATTAATTCCCGCTTTTGTCTTCGGCCAAGAACCCACGAGTACGCAAGGCCACCCATACCACTGCCAATCTCGACTGGACCTCCGCCTAATGAAAAAGGACTGTCACTTTAGAACATTGAACAGTTGCATAACCTGCTCACCTGCGAAATCGAGAACACCCCACTTAGCGGCCCACCCATTAGCGCTCCATACCCAACAGACTAGAGGACAATATACGAGGGTCATCCATATAAAAATGAAGACCATTGCAGGCATGACTCTGCCACGCTCAGCGACGCCCCCTACTAAAATGCCTGCCGTGACGCAAGCAAACTCCATCTGAAAAAAACTGTATAGGATGTCGGGGAGCAGCGGTGTTCCTGGAGATGGTTCTCCCAATACTTTCATGAGGCCGAAATTTCTTAGGTTTCCAACAAAACCACTGGTGGCTGTGGGTGAAAAACCCAAGGAATAACCCCAAAGGAACCACTGGAAGACGACGACAGCGTTACTTGCCGATACAGCCCATATCAGTGAAACTGGTTCAGCGTGTTAGGAACGACAATTATTTTGAGTGACTACATAACGCACGAGCACTTTTGCGCCGGGACAGGCCGGAATAAAGAAAGGCTTGTGGAATATTTAGATGATGTGGTTCACTGGCGACTTGAAATTACACACCCAGCCCAGGTATCATAAAAGAGACCATCGCCCCAGAAATGATAATGAAAGAGAGATCCCCCCGATCATATCTGTGGGTGCATCAGTCAATTGAAGGGAGAGTAAAAAGCTTCGCACGAGTTTGTTGAGACAGCACGTATTAAGTCCATTGAGTTACACAAAAGAAGTCAAGCGTAACACGCTGGCGGCGCAGACTTGAAGTAGGTGGGATGAGGAAGAGAGAGAGAGAGGAGGTGCACTTGAGGTGGCGTTTTATGTTGCGTTGAAGGATTGTCCCACCAGAACATGATCGGCCGGATTATTAGAATGGTCGGTTGAAGAAGGATCAATGAGGGAGTAATTAGAAGTCGCAGAAGTGCTTGCAAAAAACCGATCGTGTTATATGTACATGAGTTCGTTGAGTTTGCGTTGAGTTATCTCGGAAGATCCCGACGATTTAGACTCCGTCACATCGACGGCAATGGCGGCAGGACGGACCCTCGACAGCTTATTGCAACGTCCAGCCTCAAGACAGAAAATTTTGTCTCAAAGCACCAACAAATGTGTGACTGCTGCGATTTAAATTTTCTTGAAATCGCCCCAGTGTGAAGGGTATGCAGGCATGAAACCTCGGGTAAAATGCGGAAACACATGAAGCTGGACAAAGCTGACATGTAGATTAGATTGTTTCGATTCGGTAGCTACCTCTGAGAAGAAATCGGGATGACGACTACGCACACCTTCGATTCTTCAAGATAGCGTGTGCGTTGGTGCCAAAGCGATGTCTTTTAACAAACGTCTCTTCTTTACTACGTTTCCATCGAGTTGAAATTGCGAACAGTTTGAAGAAGTGCTGTCTATATATATATATCCGCTGACGAATGGCTATTTCTCGGTTAATTACCCTCGTGCATGATCGATCGCGGTGTTATAAGGGGAAGGTCGGAAGCAGTGTGGGGCGTAGGGAGAAGCGGCTGTTATCAAAGAGAGGTGGAGATGAGCGCCGCCGTCGTTGACTTGACAACTTTTGCGCCGAACATTTCAATCACACTGCTGACCGATATGCTTCTCAACCCTTCTACTTATCTGACGCAGAAAGCGAATTGGGTCCTCAATTTTTTCAGAAAATCTCTGAATTCGAAAGTGCGGCTAAAAAACCGCCGCACTGTGCGGCAACAGGTGCGGCGGGAACTTCCGCCGAGCATGTCACGGGACTTCTGCTCAACATCCTCACCATTCTAATAAAATTCTACTGCTTTACGAAGCCTCACGCGCATGCCTGACAATGCCCTCGAGCTCGAAAAAATTATTACAAATCAAAGTTCTAATATCTATGTGTGATGACAGTTGTAACCACTGACGTGTCGTGAGTATCATCGGTCCTGGCGTCCGGACCCACCTTCTGATTATCTTTCCACCACCCAGCCCATTCACAGTGACAGCAGGGTGGGAGGTACTGACAACTGTTGACAGAGATTGAGGGTGCTGCGAGAGCCGCTGGGTCACGCTCGGGGCAGGGGCAACTGTTACTGGTCAGCCACATTATAGCTGCAGTTCCGTGACACTGTGCTCCCCATCTTCCCGTTCCTTCACCGGAATGTGTAGTTACATTAATATAATATGTTTAAAGTTGAAAGCTACGAAGTTTGCGGCTGAGCGAGCAAGGTAAACGCGTCGCGCTTGTATCTTGTACTTGTGTTGACGCGTCTCTATTGTTTGGCCAACAAACACGTGACCCGGATCGCCGCACAGATCTGCCGCACAATGATCGCCGCACTTTCGAATTCAGAGATGTCCTCAATTTTTTTGAAGCCTCAACCATCATCTCAAGGATCTGAATTTGCAAATCGGCCAAAAGGTAAATTGCCGAATGCCGTCCATTCTTGAGCACGTGAAAGGTTCGATCGCGATCATCGTAAAGGGCCTCCAAAGGCTTGCGAGGCCGTGGCATGGCTTGAAACAGCTTGAACCGCAATAACTGTAAGCAGGGTTCAGTGAATTAACTAGCATTGATTGATCATATTACGCCTCCGAGTGGGTACTCGCTAAATTGAATCAAGATCCGTCAACATGTCCTTATCCCATCCAAGACAAATAAGTACGCAACACGTAGAAATATTCGAGCGGTGCCCTCCCAGTAAGCACTGTCACTAGACATCCGCCGGACCTCAGGCTAATCATATCAAAAGTTTCTTTTCTATCTCAAAAGGAATCGAGAGGGAAGTAGCTCGTTTGCAGAAAGAACCAAACTTGAAATACAAGCTATGTACTGGACCTTATTTATCTCCTTGGAGTTGATATGTATATATCCTCTTATTTGCCGAGCTCGGTCATTACTGTGCTGGGGCCCAAATTTCGGCAATGCACCTCGAGAATGAAGGCTTGTGAAGCAGGGAAAATCTTTTTCCATTTGAAAACCAAAAACGCTGGCTGTACGTCCTAAATTAGTTTGCGAAACGATCACCTGACGTCATCAGATACAAATTCCTTGATGGCATCGACGAGATTGAACTCCGCCTAATGGAATCGGCCAAGACAGATCATGAGAATTTAACAGCCATCACGAAACGCAGATATAAAAGCTTGAGCTCAATTCTCCGTCGCCCATCCCACGTTCATTTTTTACCACGCTTTTTTGAATTTCTGGGCATGGCAGACGCCGCACAGATCGTTCTCAACGATACGTGAGTGTCATTCGCTTCGGTATCATCAATCCCTCAAACTCTCTCCAATGTAGCTTGGGTGCAGCTTTTATCGGAGTTGTGGTCTCTGGATGGTGAGCATTCATGGTATCCTTGTAACAGCTCTCTCAGATTAACTACTCCATAGTCTTTTTGGAGGTCTTCCATTTCCCATCCTCCGTTTATTTAAAAAACTGACAGAACTCTCCCAGTTTCTTGCATTCAAGCCTGGTACTACTTCACACACCAAAGCGACCGATGGCCCCTCAAGACTCTGGTAAAAATTGGTTTCAGATGCTCTTATCTCACATACATGGTGCTCACTTCGCATAGGTTGCGGCCGTAATGGTTTCCGACACGATACATCAAGCCCTTATATCTCATACCGGTACAGACATACCTACTTTATCGCTTATGCCTTTCGTTGACTATTCCCTTATAGTTTACGCATATACCATCACGAATTGGGGCAATCAGAGTTTCCTTGGCGAAATCCCTCGGTACATAGTCTTATGCTCCTATCCTCCACACCCGCTTACCGACTCTGGGTATAGAACGCTGGTGGTTCAAGTTCTGTTTAGCGTGCGTCTCCCAATCGCTACTAATTTTTTAAAACCTTCATGCTCAATTTTATGATAGGGATTGACAGCGTTCATGGTTCAATGGTGAGGCCACTACATCGTCTCGTTCCGATTCCTTCACTAAGATTTGTACCTTAATAGTTTCCTGGCATCGCGCATTTGGCGACGTGTGTTGTTTTTACGGTCATTTCCTTCGGACTAATTCTCAATAAGTTTATAGTAAGCGATCGAAAAGGATGGCTCATCGCTATCATCGTATGTCCTGATTTTGAAGTATCCCACGTGGTACCTTGGCTCACAGCATCCCAGGTTTTACTCATTGTGGGGGAGTTCGGTTTGTCATTATTAGTTCCTCCTCTTGAAGCTATTTCAACCCGCTTCCGCTGCAGGAGCCATTTTAGGTCCGCCAATGCGCCCTTCTATATAATTCAGTG